GTAGAAAAGAGTACAAACAATATGAGATATAATATCTGAGAACGTAGAAAGTACTCAATAGTTATATATGAAATACCAGAAATGTATGCCATTCAAATTCTACATAGCAAATGATGAAATACAGTATACTTGAACTCTGTGTTTTTCTGTACAGGCCACAGCCTAACTATTACAGCCATCATTATGACTTATGATCACTGTACATTTAATTAATACTTTGAAGCTTTCTATAATTGAAATAATAACTGTAATTTCAGTGAATATATGATCATAAAAATGGTCTTATAATCTCTTTTGATTGTCTATTGTAATATTGATGAACATTTTTAATATAGAAAACTTCATATCAGAAGAGCACATTTGGTGAGAAAAGCTGAACTGGTCTAAAATCTTGTCATAATGCCTGTTGATCTAGCGCAGTGACTAGAATCTTTGCTAACTAACATGGTCGGGGCCTTCTTGAACTGTTGAACATAAATACCCCAAAACCTCTCCAGGAATATGCTACACTTGGTAGGGTTGACCGAGGCCTTACAATCTTCGAAAAATTTGAAACTTTTGAAGATGAAGATTTGTGGAAAGATCATCATTCCAAGAAAATCTACAATGCCACTTCAAATAATTCATCAAATCTTGTTAGTTTAAGATAACAAGTACGTGTCTCATTCTATCAAGTCATCAGATAGATCACATAAAGAACCAATAGAATCCCTATATAAAAACACCATCAAATATAGATTAATTATTTGAGTCTATAAACAGAGTAGCACCCTATTAATAAAATTGTACCCTTGAGTCTATAACTGCTTAAAATACTCAAGAAATGAACATTTATCATCAGAATAATGACCTTTTAAATATACATTTCAACACTGTTTTTTATCAATGTAAATTATAGAGAAATTCAATAAGAGACCAAAGTATTGAAAAAACAATGTTTATTATTGGTCAAAATAGAATATAATCTAACAAGGTAAAAAAAATATCAAATTACAATCAAATGTTGACCTAAAATTAGCAAATCATCTTCTAAAAGCTTCTATTTTCTAACTAATTTGATGCAAGCTGTGTACTGTATATATAAATGCCTTGTACAGTCAGCCAAGACCACTTTATATTGTAAACCACAGGATTTTCTTGGATAAAATTACATTCAGACTCAAAACAAAGCGTGCTTGCTGGATAATCAAGAGCTCAATTTTCATTGTGTCGCCAGACAGTCAAGATAAACACAGTTCGGCACGGAACTGCAAAGATTGAAGCATGCAATGATTTCCATTGTGATACGAAATACAAATGCAGAAAGGAAAACTGTCTAATCCTATTATACTCATGGTATAATCACATAATCTGAACCATTTTTATCTTGGACAAATTGCATCACAGTAATTCAGTTCTATCTCTACTGTATATCTCAAGTGAGATATCTACATTTTGCAGTTAACTCTAAAACTTGGCAGTCGGTAGACATTTACCCCTGAGAAAAATATCTTATTAATTCCATGCTCTTTGAAATGTAAAACTGTAAAACAGGATATTAAAGGCAATAATAACAACATGCAGATATTTTCCAAATATTTTAAATATACTGACGTAGTGTGGTATATTCAGGAGAAAAACATGGAATGCTAAGGTTCACAAGTAGGGCATTGGCCAGGTAGGCGGGTACTAAATGGAATTTGTTATGTGGGCACAGTACAAAAATACAAAATGTAAAGTTCTAATGTCACAGTGTACCTCTTACATATCATTTCTCTAAATCAAAAATATGAGTTGTGAAAGTTTGATTATCAATCAAATGTTGCTGCAAAAATATATGCATTTGACATTAGTACCTCCATAGGAGAATTTGTGATTTACTAGGTTAAAACAAGGTATAAAGGACACTGTCTAAACATCAACAGTTATTAATTGAAAAAAGGTAGATTTATCAAAAACTGCCCTCTTCATTCATTGAATAAAATTTTTCTACAAATGTTGATAATAAATTTCTGCTACAGAAATAACTTATGATTAGTTAATATGATGGTTAAAACCTATTGATTTGATTAAATTATGTTGTCTATAAGGGGCCTGCAGTTCACAAGTAGTTCTTGCTTTTTAACCACAGCCTCCAATATAAATGATCAACACCTGTGAATGAAAGAATGCAAAATGTACAATTATACTGCCAGACATAACACAATAAAAGAAACATCAGTAAAACTTGGAAGAAAAGAATTCAACCCAATAACAGATTGGTTAAAATCAATTAATTCTAACAGCAGAAAAAGTTGAGAATAAAAGTTATGACTCACAAGGCCTTACAGGTGTCATATATGAATTAGCAAGCACTAAGATTAATAATTTTATAATATTAAACTCTTTGTTAGATTAATAGAGTAGAGTGAACCTCTGAAATGTGAAGGAGTGATGCCAATATTATCTGTTTGATTGACAATGGATGGAATAATATTATTTTTTCCAGTAATAACTTATCTAATTATTTATTATCTATTTCTTACGTTAAAATTAAATGCCTATTAGCAAACTGTCAAAAGGATGAACTATTGAACTATTTTGACCCAAAATGGTAAAATTAAAATTCAGTCTGTTGAGAAAAACCTTTAGCATCACTAGGCATGTCAAAAATAAAAATAATACCAGATAAACATTTACTCGCACAGACTGGATTCTACACACAGATTATGTATGATCTTTAAGCTTTATTATATTGTAGCTTGAAACTCTTTAGATTCCTATTACTGTCATGGACGTAGCGCCCGGTACGCTGGGTACGCACAGGCGTACCAGATGGTTGCAAATTCGCTCCAAATACAACCAAATTTCAAAATTTTCCTGGGGGAGAACCCCCACTGCAGTGGCGGATCCAGGAACCAACAGGGGGGGGGGGGGGGGGGCAAAATTTGAGATTAGATTGGGCCCAAATTTTGAAAATTTGAGGCCCATTTTCTTCAAAATTTGGCCTAAAATTAAAAAATAAGGCCTGAGAAGGCCCAATAATGACCAAAAGGCCCACTTTTTGGGGCCTTAAGGCCTCTTTTGGCCTAAAAATTTTTTGGGCCCAACTTATTTTTTCTGGGCCAACCTTAGGGGGGGGGGCCGGGCCCCATGGGCCCCCCCGGATCCGCCATAGCCACTGGACCCCCCTGAATGCTCGACTTTTGATTCACTCCGAGTCAACTCTTGAACGTGGTGGTGGCGTACACCTTACAAAATAGCACTACGCCCATGACTGTCAGATACTGAGAATATTACATAAGCCTGTTAGCAGTTGTTTATCTTTGGGTTTACATTGATTGATTTGCCTAGTCAGTAACCATCTGTTAGTATAATTGAATCATAACACAACAATGTGAATTATACTGGCATAAAATATATATAGGAAGAAAATTTATAAACTATGGATTTTACAAATTCAAATTATATTTAGATATTTGGTATGGCATTGGTCCTTTAATTAGACATTTGGTATGGTATTGGCATCATGATAAACCATGACATCTCATTTCTTCTCAACCCTGAGAGACATGTTTCAGGTGAAACAGAAAGATGCTATGAGTATCAGAATGTGGTATTGGTCTTATAGTTAGACATTTGGTGCTATATGTCTTATATTTGGACATTTGGTATGGTATTGGTCTTATATTTAGGCATTTGGTATGGCTTTTATGCTTCATTTGGGTGATATGGGAACACATTGAAATTTGACAGATTGGTATGGGAACACATTGAAATCTGAGGGTTCAGCCTAGGACCCCCGCAGAATTTTGTAAACAGTGAATTTGTGACCCCCCATGGACAAACTTCAACTCACAGGGTCGCTTCACCCAGGGGCTACATATATGCAATTTGTAATCATAAGTCAATGTAGATATAGCCCTACGGTCTAAACAGCTACATGACCCCATACGAAGTTCCACCGAGGACCTAGACTGTATCCTTCGTCTGAATAAATATTCAGACTGTAAGTCACCTATTGTAAAATGTGGTGTTGTATAAATGTTACAAATAAGTTTGTTTAATGATAAAATGATTACCTTATAAAGAACTTACAATATTATTTTTTTGTATATTGTCCTCTTACTGAAGATATTCATAAAATGTACAGACGCTTCTTGTAGCGAAGCCATTGATTAGGTCAAGCCATTTTGGCAATGCCAATTCTCACGATAAACGAGATTTAGCCAGTGACGTCAGTCTATTTGTAAACAAATAACACGTGGAGCGGACGGAGCAACATAACGGAAGCGTATGCTAAATTCCATTTGTGCGGGAATTTGTTAGATCTAGTCATTTATTATCATTATCCCGATTAATTTTCTTCATTTATAGTAAATAGAGCAGAAATATTCATGAAGAAGGCCGAGGTAATCAAGTGGTCATGTGTTGTCAAAGTTCAAAATTTGCATATCTCGTTTGGATCTCGTGAACTCAAACGTCCTTGACATTGATTTCGCGATGTACTTATGAACACATCCTGAAGTTTCGGTGAGTCTGAACATTTCATTATTTTATATCAACTTGTACCCGCCTTATACAAATATTTTTGCTTCTAGTTTAAGATGAACATCTCTTCAACATATTCACCAATTTTCAAGGTGAACATTCTAATAATAAACGAGAAATTAATGTGCAAAAAATATCACCGCGATTTCCACAGGAAATATATCAATCATAACAGACCGAATATTATATTCGGTCTGTTGGATACATACTAACCGAGGACCCTTACTAACTCCTTTGAAAATCTATTACATCTACATGATTCAAACAGCTGAAGTAACCTTAAAAAGGCGATGCTGTGTTCATATCATTGATCTTAATGCAAGTAAATGTATTTTCGAGTAATAGGTGCTGGTACACAAATCTATTCCAAACAGGACTGTCAGTTTCACTGCAAAATTTTTAAAATAAGGGAAAACTTCCCTTATTTTTTGAACAACATTTCATGGTTGTCTTATTTGTATATTTTTCTAAAAGCCACCGTAAGTACTTACTTGATTTCTCATGGTCATATCCCACTACAACAAAGTAGTCCGCAAGCCGAGCCATCGTCAATATTCCGCACTTTTGGGTAAAATCCACTTTCAATTTTCTGAGGCCATCTTTCTAGATTCCACTGCGCATGTTGACTGCGCATTTCTGAATTTCCGGAAAGTGCTGCCATCTATCAGTAGCTACGTGAGGAATCTGACAGGTGCTTTAATTCCCGGGAAATCCTTTAGCTTGGCATACATATTCTAAATGTTACAAATCCAGTCACTTGCGCAGACCTTAATTTATATTTTGTGTTTCCTATTAAATGCTTTACCTCAAATTTGTCAAAAAGGAATTTTATATGATTTTCCAAAGTAACAGGTCCCTTGAATTATTTTCGTTCAGAGTGTGGCGAGATATCACTGACCCACATTGCGTCGGTGCGACAGCTTGCAGTTCGACAATTTTCTTTCATTTTTAAATAATTGCTGCATGGTGCACATCGGGAACACGTGGAATATATATTAGGAAAAGTATTGACGTTTGGTAAGTTTATTTGTGAATCGTTGGTAGATTGGTTGATTCAAAAGTAACGTAAAGATTTCAAAAGTCCATGATTCTCATTTTTTTCAGATTCGATTGAATGTTGTGTTTAGCCATACATTTTGAGGATAATTGAGTGGTTGACCCAAACTGACCAGGTAGGTACGAAGAAATACTATGCTGTGAAATACAGATATCCACATTCGTTTATGGTATCTAATCATTTCTCACTCTAGATGCTTTTGAGAGTGTGAAAAGTAACAACAGCGGTGTAGATTCCAAATTATTAAATTCCACAGGAATTATTCCGAAATATGAATATATGATGAAAATAACCAAACACTGTATAGGTCTACTGTATGAAGAAACCAGCTTATTTTCATATCCAGAAGTGTTTGCGCATCAGGCCCGTAGCCAGGATTTGCCAAGGAGGGGTTCAATTTTCAAAAATTTCCAGGGGGGGTTCACATTTGACAATTTTGGCCCAAATTAGGCTAAAATCACTTGAGGATTGCTCAAAATGGTCAAAAATTGCATGATTTTGAAAGAATTTTTGGCCAGGGGGGGTTAGCCCGAACCCTGCGAACCCCCCCTGGCTACGGGCCTGAGCATTGTGTAAATTACCTCTTTGAAGACTATCCCATTGAATCGGATAGACTTATACGCAATTCTTTTAGGGGCGTGATAGACGGAAATTCATTACATAAATATCTCCCACAATGCATATGAGCATTGTGTAAATTACCTCTTTGAAGACTATCCCATTGAATCGGATAGACTTATACGCAATTCTTTTAGGGGCTTGATAGACGGAAATTCATTACATAAATATCTCCCACAATGCATATGAGCATTGTGTAAATTACCTCTTTGAAGACTATCCCATTGAATCGGATAGACTTATACGCAATTTTTTTAGGGGCCTGATAGACGGAAATAAATAAATATAGTCATTACATAAATATCTCCCACAATGCATCACTTCAAGTAGAACAAATTTTCATTAGTTCGTTAATTAAACAAATTCTCCCAACCTTAAAACCCTGTTTTTGCGTAATGTTTGGATGATAAAGTTCACTAATATCAAGTTACTACCCTAAAAATTGATACATGTCAAACATTTAAAAACATGAAATCAAGCCCACATCATATACAAGAGAACTTACTTCTTGTTTCATATTGAGTTATCGGGTCTAAGCTTCAGGGAACAAAGTCAGTGACATCACGATAAAACATTTCATGATTATCGTCAGCTTCGAAAAATATTTGTGAAAACACGTTGCTGTTGTTATATATATGTATTTTATGGGTGATTGTATATTTGCAACCCTGTAACTCCTTATTGGATTTAAAATCATCACACACGTATTAACCCCAGATTCTGATAATATACTCATGCATTTTGTATACAGGTTAGTTCATGTACTCATGCTTTTAAATTTCCAATAAAGAATGATACATAACAGGATTCTTTATTCATTATATAAATTGGTGGATCATGGGGGAGGGAGGGGGTTATACATATAACGAGATTCAAATCACATTTGTTATTACCCTTTAGACATTAGTTTGATTTTCCTTCATCTACTCATGGCCCCACTCATGTACAGTAAAACTTTTTGCTGAGAAAACAACTTCACTGTTAGAAGACGTTCATTACAAAGAGGGTAGTTCAGTAGAGTTTGTACAGAGGAAGGTGTCTACTAGAGACAGCTGTTCACTAGAGAGAGTGAAAACATAAAAACATTTAACATTTATAATTTTGTTTTTGATAGTTGAATAATAACATTTTCTTCACTTATTTTTGAAATTAGGATGTAGACATCAGGCACATATATTATTTAAATATACTTGAAATCACTCGTATTCATATCACTACTTTATATGTCAGTAGTTTTTATTACACTTATATTCTAAATGTAACATTTTAGTTCAACTTCCTGGTGTATCATTCTATAGGGCAGTATTATTGATTCACATGTTGTATTGTAAATTAATACTTCTGGCATTTAGGAAGACTATGAGACTCTATAAATGATATGATCCGATTCTTCTTGTGGTATGTATCACATAATTTAGAAATGTAGAATAATAGAAGCCACTTTTAGATTATATTAATCCAGTGATTCGATTGTAATTACCCTTTGCATTCGTTTGACTTCACTTCTTAAAAGAGAGCTTCGTCTTCACTCTTTCAAACTAAAATAAACCTGTGAACTCACCGCACCAATCAGTGTTCATCGGCCAAATTTGACCGATGTTCTATATATGGTCATTCTTCAAGCTCGCTGATTGGTGGAAGAAAGGTCAGCGCGTAGGTCAGAAGTGATTTATTACCCAAACTGTCACCGGTACCCGCCATGGGGCTACTAAACTGCAATATGGTCTCTACTAGGCAGAGTGTAGTTTAACTAGACTCAGGGTAATTGTAATAATTTTGGCAATCTTCAATAGCACTAAAATTTATGATGTTGCAAAAATCTTTGAAGCAGTATTTCCATATAGATCACCATCTTGACTATATATGCATTAACATTTAAATTACATTTTGCAGTGTTAATGTTCTGTCTAGGAAAAATAAATCTGCCACTTTTCCCTATTGAATACCTAACTATGGCCATAGTAATTGAAAATGGCATCTGTTGAGTTTTATTACTACATTCGTTAATGCTCTTATATCAATATTATATACTCTTTAGTTAAACCAGCATATTCTTTCAGTATGAAATACCTGGATGGATCCAGATGCACAGTATAGGGAAGTCTCATTCATGAATCTTTATACAGATTGATCAGGTTTAAACAAAGATCTCTTGTCCAGCTAGAATGCTTCAATTATTGGTCTCTCTTTCTGTGTACTAAGCCATTACTGAACAACATCATCCAATAAATTTCATGGATTTTTTCTTTCAAAGGACACCTAGCTCGATGTACATGTTTCCTCTTTTGACCCAGAGGAAAGCGACAATGGAAAATCTCGGTACAGGGACAATTTAGCTAGTATTATACAGGGTGTCAAATAAATATGTTCTCCCCCTCAATTTCAAGAAAATAAACAATGAGAATTGCAATGTGTTTATTATTACACAGAGCTTTGCAGTCATAATTGTAAATACTTGTATCTTATCTGGTACTCAGTTTTTACTAACCTTATTTATCATTTATATCCATTTCAGTATATAGTGTGAACAAATCTTTATCCTATTAATAAGGCAGTGTGCAAATATAACACTTGATATATGTAATTGATCATTGAAAAACTCTAATTTGATATATCCAGGGAACATCATTGACAATTTCTGATAAGGCTGCGACTGTGTGATTAACGTATACATAAAAATAACTTCTGAGACTTGAGAATTAGTATGCAATGTCACTCAAAATTGAAACTTCTGATTGGGTAAGGAGGTGAAGTCTCGTTTGCCAGAAAAATAGCCAAAGGCCGAACAAAACTAGGGGTTCCGGGGATATCCCCCTTGGAATATTTTTGATTTTAGACCTTAAATGGTGCGTTCTGAGCAATATCAGGCTGTGTAATGGGGTACTTCTACATCATTTAGGGTACGCAACTGTGTACCCTCGCGTATGCCTGGTTACGCGTCTGAACAAGCCTGACAGCAGCGGATCTAAAACTAACAAAGGGGCCCACATTTTAAGTCTGAAAAAATATTTTGGGAAAAATGTTTTTAAGATTCAAGGCCCTTTTTCTTGATACTTTGGCCTGAAATTAAAAGTAAGCCCCAAAAAGGTCCAGTGATGCCCCTAAATTTTCTGGGCAATCTCTAGATCCCCTTAAAGTGAATAATTAATGGATGGAATAAAACTACTGTATTGAAAATGGTATTATTGTATGTAATCTGATAATGGTTTGGTCCATAATCCCTAATGAACTTCCCATTAGGTCCCTAAGGATTAACTTAATAGAATCATCTCCCCAATATATGACATCACCACTCCAGTATGAAAAATGTCATGGTAGTTATGTTTTGAAATATAAAATAATGAGAAAGTTTGTGAAATCACAAAGGATTAAAGTAAACAGGCATTAAATTGTATAAAAATAACTGGAAAATCTGAATTTTAAAGGTGAAAATGGAGTCCAGTATAGATGTTACAGGTTGTCTTCTGTATGGGGATTCATAGGAGAGAGAGGTGGCATATTGGAATTGATAATTGCGTTTGCTGTCTCATCTCACTTTATCAACGCAATAAAACCTGACAGCATGGATATCACGCAATGTTTTTGTCGTTAGAATTCTCAGACACACATCATGTTACCAAGAAAGTAGGATCTAGAAAAACAATTAGAATCTGAAATCAGGCACGTTATCATCATAAGGTCTAATTGGGAATAAATTACAGTATATAGATTTCAAGATAAACCATAAAGAGTGCCTATTGATTGTATATTTTGAGAGGATTTTTCACTTATTTTATTGATAATCACAGAAAATGTGTGAAATTATGCCTTGGCCCTGTTTTGAACTTTTCTGCATGGGTAAAATCAATATTCCTTTAGGTAACCAAGTTTATTTTTTCTTAGTTATTGACCCAAAACCAACACATCTAAATGTCACACTTATTATGTGGCTATTCTATTGACCCACTGTTTTTCTACATTCTTGACTTGTCTTTAACTGATAAATCTACTTGTTCTACCTTCACAGAATGCTGGGTTTCTCATGTTTTAACCTTTAGCGTGCTGCCGGCGGACTCGTCCGCCGAGACTAAAATGTCTCTCACAACTGCCGGCGGACCCGTACGCCCGATTTCAAACTTTTAAAAACTTTACTTTTTCGCGCCATTCGTATTGTCCAATTAGATTGCCCGATTTATTCAGTGCCTAACATGACTTCCTGTTGACCTAGAAATGGCGATATTTCGAAAAATAATTCTCAATTCAACAATTTAAACAGTGTTTTAGTCGTTTTTAGTGAACGAATCGTACAAAATGGTGGACAAATACGATCACAACGAAAATGTGGAGGAAATGGATTACGATTTCGAGCTCTTTAGGCTCTTGGAAGCCGATAACGGTCATCGAAAATAGAAACTAGAATATTTTCTGAATTGAAAAATTGAACATTCGATCGCTGCAAATTCAGATTTGGATTCTGACCAGACGAAGAGGTGGAGCGGCGGATTCCGGAGGAGTATTCATGGTATATTTATGCCCAGTCGTGTTAATGTACGAAAAAATTCATGAGAACATTTTTTTCATGAGCCAGGCCACTGTATCTTCCCTTTGTGAAAATTTTATCCAGATTCATTCAGTAGTTATTGAGATATTAATTATTTAGTCCAGGTATATCATTTTTTGCACTCTTTGAAAAATAAGCCAGTTGCGTGGGATATATTTGCTGAAATAAGGCAGCATGGTAAAGGTTAAAATGTGAAGAATGGATGAATAATTCAGACAAGCACATTTAACTCTTCAAATAGAAGAGATGAATTATGATATGTATATCATGTCAGATACAATAAGGTTGTTAAGGATGCAGTACCAGGTCAGCGTAGAAAAAGTTCCAGACATTAGATTTTGCTCATATTTGTTACAATGTATCACTATGATGTTATCATCATCCAAGTGCAATATGAAGAGGATTGACCGTCTGGTAATTACAAAATAAAAAATTATTTTACCTACCCAAAATGAATCTTTTTACTTTTTTGAGTTTTCAATAGAGCGGGCACCTTTCGAACCCTGGTTTTCCTATCCACTAATTACCCAAATGCGAGTAGGTAGTTACCAGTTTCACCACCAGGTGGCTGATTCGGGTCAATTAACATGGCAGGTATATAAGAAAGTTCCCTTAAACTTGAATATTATCAATTTAAGCGGCTCGGTTTTCATATAACCCTTATGTGTCTGATACTTATACTAATGAAAATATGTCCAGTAAAGCAAAATATTATCTGTCCACTATTTCATTTTTTGTGATTTTATAGCATGGGGTCTATGGGGAATCTCCCCGAGCTAGAAGTCAGATTTTCAAAGAAAATTATTTTTTCAAAGTTGATAAACACTTTTTAAAACCACATTTCTAGATGTAATTTTACATGTAGATTTCAAATATGATATTACTTTGACTGAATTTTGAATTTTTAATGACGTAAATCAAGATTATTTCTACTCGCATCTGGGTTATTGCGACTCAAGAACAAGTTTTCCCATAAAAGTGAAAGGGATAAAATATGCTTGATAAAATGTTTGCAATTTAATTCTTTTCTGGAAACACCATTATCGAAATAAACTATTGAATAAGACTAAATGCGAAAATGAGGTTCTTGGGAGCTAGCTTTCTCAAAGCGTAAGTCAAACCTGCGCAAACAGACATGAAAACCGACCCGGTACTGCATCCTTAAGTCCAAGAGGGAAAATGTGGGAAATGAGCCTAACAACCATGACATTTTTTTCCTGAGTTTATTGAGTTGACTTTTAAATGATCAAATCATATTGTAGGCTTCAATAACTACCTATGCAGAGTTCTGGATTAAGAAAAATCAATGTTAGCCAAAATGGCTAATAATTTTTAAAATGAGTAGCCAATTTTTATTAATATATTATTAGCCACAATTTTCTGAATGGTCTGAGCGAAGCATCAAAATTTGTACATTATTGGCATTTCTGAGGCTCAATTTGAGCTATTTTGAAGCTTTGATTTCAAGGTTTTTATTTCAAGTTGTATTTCCTCAAGATTTCTAAAAAGATATTTCTCAACAATTCTTGTTAATTCAGAACTTTGAACCGATGACACACTTAGATTCATATTTAATGAGAATCCACTACAACCTGTAAATATGTTACATTGATTTTAATTAAAAAAAGATTAGTAAATTAAGATAAAGTCAATTCAATTTAATTCATCTTATGTAATATAAGATATATCTTGATGACTTCATTAATGTCAGGCACTTATGTAGTTATCATGATGAAGGAACTCCTTAGAGATTTTTCATATGACTTTGGGGTTTCTCGAGAATGGTCCATCTCTTGATACAGTAACACTGGGAAAAATGTATGATGATTGCTGCACAACATTTGACATGTAATACATTAAGTAATTTACCACCTACCTACTAATTTACCATTGTTAACACCTTTAATGCCCAGATTGATAGATATTTCAGTCACTAATAACATCCCATGTCATAGAATTTTGAATTCCACCAAGATTGGTTTCATTTGACATTTTTGTATACCTTAAACAGGTTATGTTCTAAAATTTGTGTAATGGGTCAATGATTACTAATTTTATGAAATCATTTATGAAATGACGAAAACTGGAAAAAATGAAAAATGCACTGATTTCAAACCCAGAACCTGTTTTTAAGGTGTAAATGAAACTGACTAAGCTTGTATTCCCGAATGCAACTAACGCCTGTCGGCTACCGAATTAACCCACTATTTTATTGGCAAGTCATTTAAATATGAATAGTACCTGCCACTATTCCATTCATATTTAAATGAGTTGGTCATAAAATAGTAGGTTAATCTGGTAGCCTCTAGCCATTTGTTGCAATCGCGAGTACAAGCTTAGAAAGTGTAAAACCCTTTTTCTTTTTAACTACCCCTTCACTTTTAACTCATTAATAATTGCAGAATTAATGCGAAATTTATCAGGCAGGGCTTAGACTTATATTTTGGGAATTTAAAACTTATTTATTTAAAATATATCGATATTGGTGAATTTTATTATTTCTGCCTTGGTGGCCTCCTTATAACAGTTCAAAGTAATACTCAACATTGAGGTTAATACCTGCTATCTAAACATTTGAGTTTACACATATCTCCAGTAAGTGTTTACATGGCTCTTATCAATAGCTTTTAAGTGTCATATCTCATAAACAATATGTTGATCTTGACAGTGTGCCAATTATATAGGTGTATTGATAGTAATTTTGAATATTTGATTAATATTTAATTAAGGACTATTTTGTTTACATGTATCAATTATCAATACATGTTATATACTCTAGCTTTGTGGACAATGTTCGGTATTGGGCAGTCAGGCATCTGTCACAAATGGCAGGTGGTGACATTTTGCAGTTAATGCCTTGTTTGTTTATATGTTCAACTATATCTGTACAAAACCCCTTAACCAGAGTTTGACAATGGGAGGAGGCACGGCTCTAATATTTCAATTTTCTGTTGAGATATTACTCTAGTGACTGTATACTGGAGTGTTTACTTGCGCAGAAGAAATTCAGGAACAGATCAGAAATGCACTGAGGTTTTCACAAAATTGATTGTCTATTCGACCACTTGGCGCTCACTTTTATTACAGAGTTGAGTTCAGTGCAATATTGAGACCTACCGATGACTTATAGGACCCCAGATTTCTACAGTTATTACATGATCGTACAATTTCCTGCTAAATACCTGTTAATCAATGTCTTAACTATAAATATTATATCAGGTATTGTTCTATTGTTACATGTATAGTAGCTGTAAATCAATCTACAGTAAAACCTGTCTTATCCGAATGGTACTGGGAACCAGCTTAAAGTGTCCACATTGGCAGGTACTCATATTTCAAGGTTTTTAAGATGGAGATCTTTGGCATATTTAAAAACAAGACTGAAAAAAGCGTTCACATTGAGAGTTGTTCAGATTTGAGAGGTGTTCAGTTTACAGATTTTTCTGTATTTGATATTCGAAATGGGATTATCTGATCTTACCATAATATAATCATACTGCTTCAATTGAGCATGCTATTACATCTGCAATATACAGTATACATACAGGCTCAGGGGTCAGAGTGGGTATAAACCAAGAGACAATAAGGCTCATGAAGGAGTACTGTATTCAAGAATTAATTTTCTGTCTGCCATCATGAAAACTGTAACATTTGTTTCTTTCATGTACTTTCAGGTGCTACTATAACAACGTGTATTAAACATTCCAAATATGGCTCCTCGGCATTTCTTCATCTCTACCATCCTGGCAGTTGTGGTTACCATAGCAATGGCTAAAATCCCAATTAATAAACATCTGAAAGTTGTCACTATAGAGGTGAGGAATCTTCTTATATTCTGTAATTTGGCTAATATCAGTTATAAAAATTTTGTAGTTCTCTCTTTACTTCTTGGTATTCATATCTTTATTGTATCCATATATATTTGACCCCAGTCTCCAGTCTTATTGTATCCATGTCTATACTCTTACATCTTCAATCTATGCATATCTTATTCAATGTATCCATATTTTTAATATCCAGATCTTCACATGTATCAATATCTGTATACATTTACTATATCTATATCCATATCTTCACTGTATCAGTATCTTTACTATATCCATATTTTCTCTATCCATATCTTCACTGTATCCATATCTTCCAGACTGAACCATGGATGATGATTGACCCCAACAAGACAGGTTTGGCTGCCTATTCTGGGTACATGGCTGACTATGTCAGAAGACTGAGTGATATAACTGGCTTTTCATATGAGTTCTACCCAGCTCCTGATGGTCGATATGGCAGTAAGAATGAAACAACTGGTGAATACGATGGCATGATTGGAGAAGTGATAAAAAAGGTGAGTGGATGTGAGGTGAAAATATCACATAAATATAAAACCAAAGCAAAGGAGTCTACATAAACATTTTCAAACAAATAGATATAATAAAGTAGAGTATAAAATACTGTCATTGCCATTGAATATTTAAGATTTAATTATGGTAACATTTTTCTTTCTTTCATAAAACAAATATACAATGAATGAATAAAACAATACTATAATGGTTAACTAATGCTTTGTCTTCGTGCTCATCCAGTCGCCATCTTTGACTAATTAGTGACTGGCAGTGAATCTCTTCAATGTTCTCATTATGAACAGAAATGTAATAATTGTGTTGCTTAGAAGGCGTAAATATATGTCTATTTGACGTTTCATAAAAAGTTTAAACGTATCTTTAGATGCGATATATCCCTGAATTTAACTGTGCAAAAATGATGAATCCCCATTCTTGTCCTTATAAAAATGATGAATCCCCATTCTTGTCCTTATAAAAATGATGTATCTCCAAACTGTCTATGTAAAAATGAAATATTCTTGAACCAATCTATGTGAAAATTATATATCTCAAAACTCGTCTTTGTAAAAATAATGTTATAACTTCCTCTTACAACACGTTTTCCTTTATTTCAGAATGCCCACTTTGCGGCTGGACCTATTTCCATAACATCACACAGAGAGATTGGTGTGAACTTTGTCCAACCCTTTGTCCATACTGGGAACACCATTTTAATACGTAAGCCCAGCAAGGCAGAGGTTGGAGCATCACGTTTGACTGGATTCACAGTTCTTCAACCATTCTCAACTGGACTTTGGTTGATATCAATTGCAGCATTTTTCCTTGTAAGACTCAGTTTCAAAAGTTTGTTACCAAGTTTAGGGGCTTCACTGTTCATTTATTTCAGTAAATTGTGCTTCCACTTAAAAGTGTGAAGCACATACAAGTCCCACCCCTTTCCTAGAGAGTATGTTATTGTTAAATAATAGAATCTTTGTAACAGAATCCCAAGAAACCTCTCATTTACTGGCTTAATTCTGTCAACAGGATGCTCAGCGGTATCATATATCAATTTTTGTACAAAATCACAAGAAACTGCTCAGCAAGCTCTTGTAAATATATGAATATATCACCTCAAGTTGAGTTAGTATTTGAAGCTGTGTAATAGACTGTACCATTTTCTTATATTTTGAACTGTAACTACAGTACTTGTAGTTTTTACTTTGTTTAAATTTATGTCTGCTATTCTAATAGCTACTGTGCAAGCACTTATTGCAAGAGTGTAACACTACGGTATTATGGTTGCATAATGTTATTTGGACAATGAATTATTTTCACTAAGTGTTTTATATTTATTTTAGACTGCTTTGTTTCTGTGGTTGTTGAACAATTACGACCCATATGAGTATGGTGTCCGTGCAACACTTGGTCACGCAACTGAAAGAGAGGCTGAAACGTTTGGAATCCAGGGCTCACTGTGGTATGCTTTCACCACATTACAATGGCAAGGTAAGATATCATTTCATGGTTGGTCATGTTTGAAAGAAATAGCAAGGGATTAAGTTAAAAGATCTGGAAAAAATGGATTTTAAGTCACCACCAAAAACATCATTGCAACAACATTTTTGAAAATCGTATTTAGACATATGTAGAAGCAAACTACACTTACTCTGTCTCTCCGTGTCGGTCCATTATTTGATAATTGAATTTTGCTCTTTGTCTTAGTCTAGCAAAGTATTCTACATGCAGGATAATCATTTCTGTTTACTTTTCAGGATTTGAACGATCACCCCATTCTGTCGCAGCTAAGGTTCTCTCTGGATTCTGGTTTGTGTATGTCACACTTACACTATTGACATACACAGGAAGTCTCGTCAACTGTCTATCAATCATTGGAGCAGCACCACCCCCTCAACGTCACCACATCATCAACAGCATAGAGGAGTTATTTTCCCAGAATCCACTTAAGGTTGATTTTGGATGGTTAAAAGGTGGAGCCACCGATAGTTATTTCCAGAATAAAAGGGGACCTATGTATGATGTAGTAAGAGCATATATCGATCAGACTAATAATACAGTCGCAACAGTTGAAGAGGGCTTAAAACGCGTCCGTGAGGAAAATTATGCTTTTATCGTGGAATTATCCTTTGCAAAGACATATATAAATCAGAAACCATGTAATTTGATAACTGTAGGAGACACATTCAGTAAAAGAGGATATGGCATTCCTATAGGGCATGAAATTAGTGATGAAATATTGGAACCATTCCATCAAGCCACATTGGGTGAGTGCATTAGTAGAATTTATCAAAGAGTTTTCAATAGTGAAATATAACTTGGAAATGATCGAATTAGAGTCAAGTAGCCTTGACTGACCTGGTAAATAGTCAATACTTCAAATGTCACACTTCAAGATTTTTCAAATTGAGCTGAGTCGAAAAATTGGGTTGATGCAAAAGTTTGTATCTGCACTACTGATTCTCATCAGGGAAATTAACAGTTTCCCCCAATACTAAAATAGCTAGCTGGTAAATATTCAGGTTGCTGTGTACTAAGATCATTTTAAAAACGGGTAACACAAATCACTACTGGTGGAAGTCACTGGTAGTTATCCTTTGAAGTCAGGGAGCAAATAATAACTTTGGCAATGATAGATTTTGCCCTGAATATAACATGGTCGTCTTTTAGTAATTTTGTGATTTGAGTTGTTCACCCTTATACCATGTAGGCTTTTAAATGTCTTTTATTTTCAGAAATGAATCAAAATGGTGAGTTTGACGCTCTAGAGAGGAAGTGGTTTGTCGATCGTGGCGATTGTTGGAGTGAAAATGCTAATGCTGAAGGAATGCTCAAACCTGCTGAGACAACCTGGTTCACCCAGGGTAAGGGAGCACAGGGTGTCATTCCGATCACTATACCCATGTTCTGGGGGCCACTCACAATTCTGTGTTGTGGAATGGTCATTGCAGCTGCCGCTTTCATTGGAGAAGTTCTATATTATAAATATAAAGGGAGAGTAAGTAATACACCTTTTTTCTGCTTTCATACTGCTTATTTTTTATTTGCATTTAGTGTTTAACTATAAAATAAATATATGAGTTTTGTTGTTGTTTTGTTTTTAATTACACACATTTATTGATTTTTCTGCATTTTTTCTGCATTTATATCTGTTAAAAGCTTATATTCTTACATTCTTGGCCATTAGCATTTCTTGAATCTAGTATTTCTGTACTTTAGTAAATAAATGGCTGTATATCATTGGACTTCTTATTTTCAATGGCACAATACAATAAAAAACACAAAGGGCAATATAAACCTCTGAAATTCAGTCAATCCTTAATCACTTAGAATGAAATGAAAATGTTCCAAATTAGTCTAAATGCCAGAAGTTGAATTGTTCAATATGCCATTTATTTACTGTACGCCTATTTATCTATTTCATATTTGTTGTTTAGAAAACATTACAAAGAATATATCAGATTATTTACAAAAAAAAATTACAAAATCTGGTAAATTTTTATCGTACCTAAAAGTAACAATATTGAAAGATATAATATTATCCTCAAATTTCATCAGACAATGATGACACGGTAAAGCTTGGTAAAGTAGCATTGGTCATTGTTGATTTTTAGGTATGATATTGTTCACTGTGTGCCACTAGGTCATATTTCATTATGTAGCATGTAATACAAACATGTTCTGAACATAAGGAGAAATGTCCTTTACAAATTGCACGTGTCATCATGTGAGTTTATGTGCATGTGTCTTTGTGTCTAGGACTATGAGAGAGCTAAACGTTTTAAGGGACTCCCCCAGCAAGACAGGTACTATTATCTCTTATATTCACTAAAATCCAAACTATGGTGCCAAAATATCAAAGTTCTTAAATGGTAATGGTAAAAGTATCAATGTCCGTCGTAAACTAATGAATTTTGATACTTTAAACCTTTTTGAACTAAAACCTAAATGTTGCTTTAAAAACAACTCTTTTGTTGCAACAATTCAAGGGAACCACAACAAAGTGTCTATTATCTCTCAGACCCCAACCAAATTAATGGAAATTCATATTTTGATTCAAATTTCTTAGCATAATTTTTCTTTCAATACTTTGAACCAAACAAAGCAAATTGTGAACATTGATACAAAATCCAGATCGTTTTCTCTCACTTTCTTCTCTATTAGATTAATATTATTTTCAGCTGATCATTAGCTTTTCTTTAGTTTAGTAATTAACTCACTTTACTTTTTTCTGCTTTATATTTCTTTTTGGTAAGGCTTTTAGTTTTTTTTCTTCATTGTATTTGTTTTTTTTCTAATCTAGAGTATCCTGTTAATGACAATGTGATTATAAAAGTATGTGAATATATGAAATTATATTGATATTAAGAATCTGCACTTTGATATGATTAACAATTCCATTTGATGATATTATAATGTGCATAATCTCAATGCGGTATTATATCTCATATACCTGTATGGGCAAAATGCTAAATAACACAATTATCCCAAAATTGTCTCTCATAAGTGAATTGAAACATTGAAGCTGGAAGTAGTATAGCCCTTAATTACATGTACTGTAAAGTATTATCATAGTTTGTTATTTGGGATTAGCTATTCTGTAGAATTGCAGTTTTCTTAAACTAAGTTAGTTATACATGGCAATAGATGGTTCCTTGCTATAGCACAGGAACAATGATTTAATGAGAAATGTATAATGAACATTTTAATATTAAATTATACACTTTATTGAAAAGTTATTTTTTTGTGTGTAAAATAGTACCCATACTTTGATGTAAGTCTGTCTGCATTATTTAAGACTTTACACCCACTTTTGCACCAAGATGCACACTTTACATTATTTGTATTTTATGCCCTTACATCCAAGAAAAGATTACTGTTTACCAGATAACTTTGAATATTGAATCACTCACAAAATAAAAATGTTTTTTTGAGGTGTTATATGAATTTAATGCCTATTACAATTAAAGACCTTATGTTGTACGATATGTTTACTGCTGATTTTATCTTAGAATGATCTGTGAGGCACAAGATGTTTATATCTTCGTTTATTCTTTCAGTATGACACCAGAGGGGGACCTAGAGATCAGTTAAATGATAATCTGACTGAGAATGACGACAATGACAAGATATAGAACATTCCTGAATATATCAACTCTGAGTTACAGCTGTTTAGAGGGGAGGTTGTATGGAGAATTTTTAGTATGGATAACTCATAGTATAATAGTGTTTAGTATTGCGCACATAGAACAGAAGTTGTTTGGAGTAGAAAATCAAATCTGTTTTGAAGTTCACATAATATGATATCGAAATATTATCAGGGATTATCTGACAATATAAGATGTAGTAAGCAGGATTGATATCTTTTTTGGTTTCCATTTTGAAGAATAATACAGTAAAACCTATACATGTATATAGTGAACAGCTATGGAGCCACAAAAAGTGTTCACTGTAGTGCTCACTAGAGAAAGGTAGGGGTCAAATGGTTCAAAATTCCAATGGTTCGGTTCGGTCACGGTTTTAAGGTCCACGGTTCTGTTCGCGGTTCTCGCGGGTCTCGTAAAGACAGCTCATAAAGAAACAGGTTTTAGCTTTCTATCTAGCCTTGCCCAAGTCGGTCACTTTCTATCCTGGTCCCACTATGCTTTTTTAAATTGACTTGACAAATTAAAGCAAAGTTTATCGGCCTAGTGGCCCACTTTAAATTTTAAATTTTAGATTTTTGTTTGTCCTTGATAAGATTTCTGTTAGATCTAGATAAGAGCAGTAACTTGAGGAAAAAATTTAGCCTAGGCTTAGAAAATATTTTTCTCACCGTGAAGATACTTCATGACCTCCCTACAGATTATGTATATTGATACATTGTCCTCTGATTTCCCATTTACAATAGGAAAACCTCAAAAATTCCAAACATTGCTTTTCTATTTCAACCTAGTCTGTCAAAGCAGCCATGCTGAATCAGCATAGATGGCGCTGCGATTGTGCGGGAGATTTAAACACAAATATGTTTCAAGTTTTTAACAAAGACATTAGTAATGTTATAATTTCTGTAATTGTAGTATTTTTTAAATAATATTGATTAAAAACTAACTCATTATAACAGACAAAACACCTCCACGAAGCAAAATTAATTGGACTATGAATAGCGTAATCTGGCGAGACCAACTTCCTGTCTATTTGTATGTCACAAAAATGTAAACAGTTACTTGTCTACCGATTTGTGAGCGATCTATTTCATATATGGGTAAGAATTGAATGTTTTCTATTGCTATAAACATGTTTTTAAGGAATATATACATGAAGAATAAGTTCATGTCGAACGAAAGAGAGAATACTGAAATCTTAAAATTTCATTTTTCAATTTTTCCTCGAACCGTGGATGAACCGAATCTCATATTTATGAACCGAAAATACCGTCCTAGCATCATATACCGCGGTAACCGCGTACCGCGGTTAACCGTTTGACCCCTAGAGAAAGGTGTTCACTTAGGCAGGTTTTACTGTACATAAACAGCTTTCTCCTTCAAGAGATGTTCTCCTTCAGGATCCAGTATATATATATATATATTGTGTATCCTGTCCTCATAATGGAGCAATGGACTATAGTTTGTCACATAATCGTGAACAGGGAAATTGGATCGCAATATCCAAGCTCTTTCTGGTAATTGGTCAAACTGATACCAGCCAGCCAATCAAAATCCTCCACTCTAAGATTTAAATGTCAATGCATTTTGCATAATGTAGTTTATAATATTAAAGGTAGATGTATATATCTGTGATATGATGTGGGAGTCTGGCATTATGAATGTAGAAATAAATTTTGCTTCAGAAATTATCTCCTTTAACAGCTCTGAATGCCTCTGATAGCTTTTTTCCTAAATATTTTGAATAAACAAACCCTGAACAATGTTTTCAATCTGCCACAACTTTTGATATGATAGTTAAATTTCTATATTGAGGTCAACTTTCTATATTGAGGTCAACTTTCTTTATGGAGGTTAACTCTATATATTTAGGTTAATATTTTAATATATTGTGGTCAACGTTCTATATGAAGATGAGGTGACCTTTCTATATGTAGGTTATATAAGCATATAGATAGTGTACATGTATTAGAAACGAGGGCACATATCCAGGGAAAGTCCAAGTGATATAAAATAGTATATCAGTGTATTTTAGCATCTTAATTGAATAACACTTGGTTAACTTGCTTCCTTCTTTACTAAATGCTGCTTAAATTGTAAACATGCTATAACTACAGGCTTTTTATCTGCACACTGAAAAAATGCTATATTGTGGTTGTCTTGTTTTATTTAAGTCACACACACTTGTTTTAGGTCTCTTATTTTAAGGAGCGTTATACTGATAGCTATGTACACGCATGTACTGATGGAGTGAAGCAAAGGCAAACAAAAGTTGCAAATAATGATTTGATATTAGAGTCCCCCTATGTATTCCTTGACCCAGATGTTATAAGGGGAGGGGGCTCAATGGCTTGATATAAGAATGTACATATCATATTACATGATACATATGTGTCATATGTGAAATCCCATTGAGAGCAAGTGTGGGTAACACTACTGTTTGTATATACAGGAACTCAGTCATAATAAGATAATTGTGATTTATAAACTAATATTCGAGGGTAAATGTACATGTATCTGTATATACTGCCGAAACCATATATGAGTGTGATATAAGTAATTGTGGAATCTACCTGTATTGTACGTTAAAACAAAGAATTGGTACATTATAATACAGAAACTGACAAAAATAAAGATCATAGAATTCAAGAGGTAATTCATCCAAATTGTACAAATGATAATGTTAAAGTATAGTTGTTGTATGCCACTGCTGTTATATTTTATGCCATATGCCTCCTGTAGGCAGTTTGCCATATTCCATATATATAGGTATAGTATGCCATATTCCACAAAACTTTAGTTAAGAAGTCATATTCCACGGTATTGTATTATGTTATGTCATATTCCATAATATTGTGGTTTAATACTTCATATTCCACAATATTGTGGTGTAATATGCCATATTCCACAATATTGTGGTGTAATATGTCATATTCCACAATATTGTGGTGTAATATGCCATACCCAACAATATTGTAGTATAGAATGCCATTCCACTGCACCATATGTCAATATGGAATGCCATACTCTACAAAACTACAGTGTAATATGCCAAACTCCAAACATGCTTTGCGTGAAGTAGAAATATTTTCTGATACAAGTAACATTCCCTCATCTGAAAAGTGATCTTAGTTTTTGTATGCTTATGTTTTAAGATATGAACTATAAGTGTCATATCTGGTCAGTTGTTATATATTTTGTTTCAATATTTTGAACATTCCTCCAATGCCTATTGTTGTTTTTAACTAACTAACCATGAATACCTTACCATATATATTGTATTATGAATTATAACATGACAAATACATATAGTCCTCCCATTGGAATAGATCAACTCTCACCGAGATAAAGGATTTAATAGACACACTGAAATAAAGTCAGTTAATTTCAAGTTTTTTTGTACAATTTCATTGAGTCATGTTATAATGATCATGTAGACCTCAGAATGGGGTGTATCTTAGTGAATATACCCCTCAATTGTCACCCAGCTGCAGGAATCATACACACACATGTCTGATGCAGTCATCGGGTATATTCATGAATATACACACGTCCTTTGGTCCTGTACCTTATACATTCCTTGTCCATATAACTGAAAGTTAGAGGAACATGAATGGAGGAAAATGTTTTTACATTCCATGTTTTGTCATTGTCACATTAATATTGAGAAGGAACCTTTACACCCTGTGCATGTATTTACATGTTAGGTTGAAGAATTTTTATTGTTATTTAAAATCATGTATGGTTGAAGCATTAACATTATAATTTAAATGTAGTATTTACATGTTAGGCTGGAAAATTTACATTGTAATTTAAAATTGGTATTTACATGTTAGGCTGGAAAATTTACATTGTAATTTAAAATTAGTATTTACATGTTAATCTGAAATATTAATATTGCGCTCATGGGTATATGTTAATTCCATTTTTATCCAACACCTTTGTATACGTAACCACACTGTTTGTACATTTACATGTACTCGAATGTACAAAATATGTATATACATAATATCATGTTAGGTTTTATATGTGCTTATTGAAAGTGAAAATTCACTGCAAGGCAATTTGATAATCTTTTCTATTTTTCTGATTATCTCAATGAAATGATTGAGGCTCGTATCAGTACATTTAGTTCTATCTACTCAATGCAGAACTGTAAAGATTCTATTTGTATGAATGGTTTTATGCACAACATTGTATTTTGATGATCCTGTTAACCTTATTTTTAGAGAAAAATTAGAAATTTTCCATTTTTGAATTGATGAACTCAAAATGTTCCAGATAACTCATGCATCATGTACTGAACTGTACTTTCATCATGAAAATAGTAGATGCTTTCAAGCTTTTATGTAAATAAGCATTGTTTCGCCAAAATGTATAAAATGAGTAACTTGATATGGCTTCTATTTCACTAGTTCTTCAAAGAGGCACTGTGTGTATTCCAAAATTACTAAATATCCATGCAAAGTATATGTACTATAGGGTTATACATGAAATGGGCAATAAACCAGTCTTTCCCTGGCAAATGTTTATAAAAGATCATCCTTTTAAAATCTTGAATCAGTCAATTGTTCAGGTAGAATAAGGATAGTTGAACAAGAGTCAATATTGACTCAGTTTTTATTACAAAATCAGATATTCATGACCCTAAATCAATTGGGAGATGGTTTTCATAACTGAACATACAACCTAAAAAACATATAAAAGCTCCTGAAATACCAGTAATGGTACATCTATTTGGTAGATAAAGATACAAACAGTGCCAAATTGTATTTCATTGCAGTGTTAAAAGATAATGCTTTAGATTAAATTTAGATATCATTTTTGTGTTCAGTTGAATCAGCGTAATATTGTACATATTGAATTTGTTTACATTATTTGATAATGCTTCGAGATGTTTGATTTGTAAAATTGATTACGCACAGTAAACCCTGTATAGGTGGAATACATTTGGGACCTCAAAAATGTGTCGCACTTGCAAAGGTTCATAAACCAAATCAGTGGAACTCTGGACTTTTTAAAACTGTTCAACTTGCAAGGTGTTCCATTTGCCAGTTTTTACTGTGTATCCAAGACTAAAATTATTGCAAATGGAATAATATAAGAAATGTTAACAAAAATATTATACAGAATTTGCTTCAGGTTTTTTCTTGAATTCAGAATATCATACATGCATTTTACAAATTTTAATATTAAAATAGTATTATATTTTATGGCATTTTTGTGAAATCATAACTGCTAAAATTAAAATTGTAATGTGTATAAAGCTTGGTCTTTCATTTGCTCATACTGTTAATGAAATATTCGACGCATATTAAAGCTTTTATTCATATCTATCAGTTTTTATATTGTAAATGCCTGCTTTTAATTTTGTGCAAAATATAGATACTGATATAAAACACATATGCTTTGTTTTGTTATGTGAAAGTTATAATCTAAATCAGTTTATTTGTACATGTGTACTGTTAAAGAAACATGATAGAGTTTAACAGAACATTGCATGTAATTTATTTTGGATACCAAAAAAATTTTCATTTTTGCCCAATTTGACTATTACATTGTATTTTGCACTTTTGACATGATCATTTTTGGTAAAATTTACTGACATAACTTTGTCAAAAGTTGATGACATCACTTTTTAAAATGATTAAATTCAATGTAAATTGTACGCATAAAGATGGAGTTAAATGGTATAAACAATACTGTGTTAACTTGATTTTTCCTGTCATATGGATTGTAGAAAACAATGTATTTCACAGTGTTAATGGTGTTGTATTCAATGGTCTAAAAATCTGAATTTTTTCTCTTTAAAATGGTGGTAAATTCAAGTTTTGCAGCGGTCCTTTAAATAAGTCACTGTGACCTTACCAGGGCAATATATTTCCTAAGTTTTTACTTGTCCATTCAAACATTTTCTAAAGAGCAGACATCGTGACCCCCTCAGGTAGAACGCATCATATCCAGCATAAACACATACATACCTGCAAATATAGCTCGCGTAAACATTTTTTAACACTTCCTGGTTCCATATAAAAGGGCATGTAATGATAAAAATTCAACCAAGAAAATAGGTATGTATGAAGATTAACTCTTGAATTTATTTAAATGTTTTGCATTTTAGTTAATTATCAGATTGCTTATACATGTATATTATTAAGTAGTAGTGTATGCATGTACTGTACATGTATATCTCTAGTTCCATTTTTGCATCTTTATTTACCCTTACCTATCTATATGACCCAATAATTCGCATTTAGATCTGTGCACAAATCTTTTTGCAGATGTGCTATGACCTGACCATATTTGGACCACTCTAAAGATGAATTCCTTGAATGTAATACAATTCCTGATGGCAGCTGTGGTTACCATAGCAACATCAAAGATTCAAACAAACAAGACATTGAAAATTTTGACGATAGAAGTAGGTTGATTAGCATCTTCATCTACATTTTAATTTGCAAGATACTACAACTACTAATAAGACCATTTGCACCAAAAATAACAATACTATAGTATAGGAACAGAATTTTATAATAAATAAAATGTGACATTGCCCAATCTAGAGAAGCACAGTCTCACAAAATGTTTCAACATGAGGTGTCCATTCATTTACATTGGCCGTATTACACTGAGCTATGCATGAGACTGTACTGCATTTTAATATTTCTAGCAATGCACTTGAAATAAGACTTCCTCAGATAAGACACCCTCAGATCCTCAGGAATAGTTTTTGCAAGAGTGAAATTAAGAAAAAGGTGCATATTTGTATCATTGCCTCGATCACATATATAATTATCATTTTTATTATTATTAATATTAAAACATAAATGAATACAAGTTTATCCATATCTTCTCCATATTTTCTATATCCATATCTTCATGTATGTATCAATATCTGTTTCAATCCATTTACTTTATCCATATTTTTAATATCCAGATCTTTACATGTATCAATATCTGTATACATTTACTATATCTATATCCATATCTCCACTGTATCAGTATCTTTACTATATCCATATTTTATCTATCCATGTCTCCACTGTATCCATATCTTACAGAATGAACCATGGATGATGATTGACCCCAACAAGACAGGTTTGGCTGCCTATTCTGGGTACATGGCTGACTATGTGCGAAAACTGAGTGATAAAACTGGCTTTTCATATGAGTTCTACTCTTCTGGTCTCGCAGATGTGATTCCAGGGAAACATGATGGGTTATTGAATGAGATGGTCACTATGGTAGGATATTATACAAATAGATAGAAGTTTTTACTGGTAGGGATCTTGCCCCTAAAATCTGGTCATACTATATGTAGTCAAAAAGTCACAATATGTACCAATATTCATTTCACATTTAAACTCCAACGAGGTCATGAAACCTCCATTTTAGATTATAAATTTTGATGTAAGCTGTAACATCAACAATGGATTGTGTGGCTATCTGATGCAAGTTCAGTATAGACCTGCTTCGTTTAAAGTTCTTGTTTCAGAGTGATTTGCTTATTTTTCAGAGTGCTTTTCTGATTGTTTCAGAGTACTTTACTGATTGTTTCAGAGTGCTTTACTGATTGTTTCAGAGTGCATTACTGATTGTATCAAAGTGCTTTACTGATTGTTTCAGAGTGCACTACTGATTGTTTCAGAGTACTTTACTGATTGTTTCAGAGTGCATTACTGATTGTATCAGGGTACTTTACTGATTGTTTCAGAGTGCTTTACTGGTTGTTTCAGAGTGCATTACTGATTGTTTCAGAGTACTTCACTGATTGTTTCAGAGTGCATTACTGATCGTTTCAGAGTACTTTACTGATTGTTTCAGAGTGCTTTACTGATTGTTTTAGGGTGCAGATGTGGTAGCAGCCCCAATACTCATAACTCCAGAAACATCAAAAGCTGCTTACTTTATCCATCCATTACAACAGACAGGGATCACAATTCTAATACGAAGACCATCAAAGACAGAAGTAGCAGCAGCCCAGCTAGCAGGATTCTCTGTCTTAAAACCTTTCTCAACTGGACTGTGGTTGATAACAATTGCTGCATTTTTGTTGGTGAGAATCTATTGAATCACAGATTCAGTTTATAGTACATACATCCTTTTCTTAAAGTTTGACATCTTTGACTTCTCATTGGATAAGTATGTTAAAGCCTAGTATTGTTTGATTTAGAGTTTTTCTAAATTTTTTTTTTTTTTTTTTTTCATAAAGCTGGAAGTTTATGCAATTTAATGATGTTAACACCGAACAAAAACAGGCTTTAACATGTGGTTCAATGTGAGAGTTAGTATTGCCAAACCTTTTGAGGGGAGTGTAGCATAAATTGTACACAGTGAGAGGAGGTGGGAGTCATGTCACTATATGAATATATCTGCCATATAGAAATCATTTATGTTGCAAAATCATCATTATACATTTATTTAGACGACTTTGTTACTATGGATATGCAACCATTATAACCCATATGAGTATGGAACTATGGCTGTACGAGGTCGCATAGACAGGAGAGAGGCTGAAGCTTTTACCTTTCAAGGATCTTTATGGTTTGTCTTCACTACTCTGCAATGGCAAGGTATACACCCCTCCAAAAGTTTGCCAACTGGATGCCCCCTTTTGGAGCATTTACTGTATTTAACTCTATGATATCTTGATTGAAGAATTCTTTGAGCTTATGTTAAATTTAGCATTCAAATTTGAAATTTCAAATTCAGGCATGTGGAAAATAAAGCTGTTCATTTTTTATTCATTTTATATACATATATTTTAGACTGAGATGTGTAATATGCATATCTCTATAATATAAAAACTATTATATTACATAATGTTCATTTTAGGTTTTGAAAGATCCCCACATTCCATAGCAGCCAAAATCCTCTCTAGTTTCTGGTTTGTTTTTGTCACACTGACATTGGTGACGTACATTGGAAGCCTCGTGAACTGCCTGTCAATCTCTGCTACAGCTCCACCCCCTCAACGACATCACATTATCAACAGCATAGAGGACTTATTTTCCCAGGATCCTGTCCTCGTGAATTTTGGATGGATTAGAGACTCAAGCACAGATGCATATTTCAAGAAAAGACATGGAATGATGTACCATTTGATGATAGCATACATAGACAAACAAGAAAAGAACATTGTGAATTCTCTTGAAGAGGGAATAGCCAAAGTACGAAATGAAAGTTATGCCCTTTTGGTTGAGAAATTATTGGTGAAGTCGTACATTAATCAGAAGCCCTGTGATTTAATATCTGTTGGTGAGCCATTACATACCAGGGGATATGGTATAGCTGTAGGGAAAAACATAAGTGAAGATATACTAGAACCATTTCATCAGGCAACTCTAGGTAATGTATTGTAACATGTATTTAGTGCTAATTGTTATGACTTCAGTTTATGAATTAATCGTCCCATGGTCTCGCTGTTTTAGATTGTGATAATGATTTCTGAATGGAGGAACTATGCTAGAATATTTTCTCTCCCTATATCTTGACACTGTTAGAGGATAGACCTGGAATTGAATTATTTTCCAACGAAAAATCTTATAAAAATCAAATCAGACTAAATCAGTGGATATCCTCATACTGTTATTCAGAAATGCAGGAACAGGGTGACCTTGATGACCTTGAGAGAATATGGTGGGGAGACTGCTATAGAGAGAACACAGTGGAGTCACCTACTCCAGCTACATGGCTCACCAAGGGCAAGGACGATTCTGGGATTATTCCTATCACTGTGCCAATGTTTGCAGCCCCCCTCATCATCCTGTTGTGTGGCATATGCATCACTGCCTTTGCTTTCTTGGGTGATGTTCTTCATTATAAATATTATGGAAGGGTAAGACATTAGGATTTTCATTACAATTCTATTTTCTTGTAATCTCCACTTAGACTATTAGATATAATAAACAGGGCAATGACCTGGTTAATCTTAATCTGAATATTTTTTACAAAATGTTTCTGTTCTTGTATTTCTTTGCTGTTTTCCACTAAAAGGCACAAGGACTTCTTCATATTATAGTTGTTCCCTTATATTTGTGTCACCTCTCAATTTCCCCTTAGATAACTACATTATGCCTTTAACTCAGTAGTCTACCATTGAGTGAATACTCAAGCAACTGACCTTGATGTCTGATCGTGAGTATACTCATACAACACACATGTTATCGAAAAATAGTGAACTTGAACCTCCTTTAAATCTGGACAATAAAGACATGCATTAGAATGTGATAGGTGCGAATCCAGACTGTTAGGAGTTAAGACCTCGAATATTTTCCAGTATGCAACACGTGGGGGTGCAATAGGCGGCCCAGTAGATGAGATGAATGACAACCTTACAGAACATCAGATCACGGAAGAATTAAAACAATATTAGTCTTCATTGCAAGACCTGCCTGTTTGTTTGGCAAAACATTATCTTGTAGAAAAGTGAATACTCATTAGAAACATATGTATTCAATAAAAATGGTGCTATTCTTGATGCTTCTAAAGCTGACAATATTATTATATCTATCTGGAAAAACAACTGAAAATATCAATATGGGGCCATGGTATTAAAAATCATACCACTTGTTTTGATTCAGAAACGCTGTCAGATTACTGTACATTTCCAAATCCATGGGAGTTACAGTTAATAGTATATCATTGTACATATTTAGCTTTTATAAATATTTTTGGAACATAATAATGGCTAAAAGGGATTGGTGATTCTGAATAACGCTTTAGATGCTAAATATGACGCATTTTATATGAATGGAGGCTATCTTACTTTTTTCAAGAGGATAGACGATGACGCAGAATGTCATTTGTAATTATTTTATATAGGAAATTGAATTGCTTTCAAGTTTTGTACAATATATTGCTTGATGAAATAATAAAAATAACAGAGTATCTGAATCAATATTGAAAATCATTTCTCACCTCTTATATTATTATTTCAATGAGGGAACTTTGAAAGATAAGTTTGACTTTGAGGAGTTCATTGATTGTGTCATCAAAGCTGAACATTTTGTGAGTGAGGAATGTGCAGAACTAAAAAAAAGTCAATTTAAATACTCATTAGAAAAATAAGCCTATTTTTGATTGGTTTTTGAATCAAAAATTCAAACATGAGTACCAATTAATGAAAAAGGTTTCGCAACTTTTGGGGGGAGTTCATTCATTCTGTCTCTCTAAATATTATTCTCGTATCAAGTCTCTGGACCCCATGTATTTCAGTGTAGGGGTGGGATTACAAGGGTTTGAAGCAAGACTATTACTGAATGCGTAATCAAAATGTAATGGCATATGTTATAGTTTTGAATATTTTATAGCAGTCTAAGAACCTAAAAGAAAAGTAAGACCTAATGGTAATATGAATGCCATTATGACAGGTCAAGTCCTTTGATTGGCAGGTGTTCACATTAAGTTTTGAACATAAAAGTCTCTAAGATTGAGGAAAGAAGTTACATTACGAGGTGTTCAGATCAGAGAGGTGTTTGTATATGCAGGTTTCGTATATGCACCGACTAACACATTCAGTAGGTTAATTGCTACATAAAATATATTCATAATGAATCAGTCATATACAAAACTGTACAATTATTAACAAATCATGTCTCACAACCATTTAAATACGAGTATGTACATTACATCTAACCAAATCTTTCAATTATGCTACTTAAACAGGTAACCTTGAAGATTCATTCAGGAAATGAGAAAACTAGCTACATTTTAAATTGAAGATTACTTACACTAACAAGTCTAAAATTTGTTCCACTGGGTTCACCTTAATCAATATATGTTCCTGGTTAAGGTAGGTGGGGTGGTATGAATTATGAGGTCAGATTTGCAGACGTTGATTGTCCTGAATTAATTTGTCATCTTATTAAATTACAAAATTGTGCAGTACTTTTTGTAAACTACAAATAAATGTATCAATATAAATCAATGATAGTTAAAAATTCTATTTCTGAATAGTATTTTGAATAGTAACCCGCCTGTAGTAGCAAAAGCAGCTGTTTTCTCTGCACAGAGATGCCATTTCTATTAGTTCTAGACTATATTGATCAAAAATCATATAGAATCTCGGCAGATTTCATGAAAATCTTTGAGATGCTATATGATTTTCTAATTGAAAGCCCATGGTATAGTCTAGAACTAATAGAAATAGCATCTCAACGTTTTTCACTACCCTTCCGTTCTCTTTGCTCTTTTAAACTTCAATTAGCTGACAATTTATGAGCAATTATTCTTCAATAAGACCAGCAACTATTTAACATAATATAATTCTACAGAAATTACAACATATAAAATTGATCGGTCAACATAATTCTGATAAAAACATTAGTTACTACACTTTTAATCAATGATAATTTTTATAGATGAGTTATGTACATGTAATCATATTATTCAATATAAATATTTTGTCAAGACTATGAATTATGTACATCATTTACTTTATATTGTATATACATCAATATATTGTATAAACATTGATACAATAAATTGAACTGACCGACGTCACAACAATGTTTAGAACACAAAATCTCTTCTTAAAGTGACAGCAAAAATAGAGAGTATAAATGTCACTGTGTCTCTTATACTTTTCAAAATTTGAAAAACATTTGTAAGTCCAACATCTAAATTCATTAGACAGGAGAAGAATGTCATTTTCAGAATTATTGCAATAATTTAAGGTTCAAACACTAATAATCAATGTATATTAATGATTCATCAAATATAGTTTCAGAAAATAGTCCTGAAAATATGTTCAGTTTGCAAAAACAAATTGTGACAATTTTCAAAATGTCACTCTTAATGCAAATCTTTGCTGCCTCTTTAACTTAGCCTTGCCCAAGTCGGTATTATTACCCCTTTGTACAATCCAATACATTTTCGCTGATGTTATGCTTAGTTATATAGAAATCAAGAAATCAAGATAAGTAAAAGAGACCGACTTGGGCAAGGCTATCTTTAACTATATTGCAAAGTATTTCAATCAATAATATAGACAGGTCTTACTTGAAGATGAGACCATAAAATAAATCTAGAATATCAGCTGTATATATTTATGCTTTTGGTAAAGAATATTAAATATCAAATCCTGGAGCTATTGAGCAAGTCAATGTATAATATCTAGTTATACAGAGTGGGTCATAAAATTGAAATCACATGTTTGAAAATATTACTACGAGTATGCAAACTGACAACTTTTTGACTCAACCTGTACAAATATAAACATATAATAATTATAACATCTATCATATTAATATTTTCATATTAACATCTCATGGGAAGCATTTTAATTGATTGTTCTTTTTATAATATCGTTCTAACTTATACAGAAATATAGAAAATAGAGCAAAAATTGTGTACAGTGAGCACATTAGCTACCCCACAAACATACTTTAAAATTGAGTAATTGAATCTTACAAATTAAAATGTACAATCAAAGGCCCACTTTTTGCCTCATAATAAAAAGACATGAACAAGTTTTACATGCAAATCCTCTTGGTAAGATTATAGGAATAGTGTGATTACATGAAAAGAGAACATGAAATTGTGGTTTTTAAAGGATTGTATCAACAGTTTTATCGCAATAGGAGAATAATTACCCCTATCTGGAATATTATCTTACTCTGATATATAATATGAGGTTATATAATGGTTCATTCTGTATATCGTGTTTATACTCGAGTGAGTATATATATATTCACAAGTGAGCGTAGCGAACGAGTGAATATATTATATTCTCACGAGAGTATAAAATGCACGATATTGAACCATTATATAATCTTATTATGCCACTCTAAGTTCAATTACAGTTGATTCAAACACAATCATAACAATTATTAAAACCATAAAAATATCCCGTAGCCAACTCAGTAATGCCGATGTTGATCTCGATCCATTTATGACGTCACTTGATTCTAGCAAATCATGTGGGAACCATTTATGACGTCACTTGATTCTAGGAAATCACGTGTAGCAAACCATACACCTCGTTCTTCGGTCAATATTCATTAGTTCCCAGAATGCACTTCTACAGTGGTATACGCTGGAGTGTATACGGTGGAGTGTATACGATGACGATATACCACTCTCCACTGTATATCGTTGTTATAGACCCATGTTATACAACTGTAATTGGACTTAGAGTGGTATAACATGTAGGACGCAACATAATATAACATGGATAGCAGAAATGGATAACATTACATTGAAAATAAAATGAGGATCACAATTAGATGACCTGATGTTTGAATACTGCTCCTGGCAAATGCAGAATGAAATATAGAATCTCCTATAGTACATCTCTTAACATATTAAACACAGCATTTACATGAGCCATATTTGCACATATGCTTTTGCTGTAATATACAGCTTATTCAGAATGCTTGCCTCATGTGATTTTTGGATAACATAAGCACTTTCATTGCAAACATCTGCATGTATCTCAATTTGTTAGGATTGATATATAATGTTTGATCAACGTGTGAATGGACAGGGTTTAAGTATTTAAAATACAGATTCCTGGCCCTATTCTAAGTATTTTAACAATATCAATAATGATCCTACTAAGATAATCCTTTAAATAATATATTAAAATTGTCAGATCATTACATGGAATGTTTCAAGGACTTCAGCTGATAGTAAAAGCATTTAGCACATAAAAATCATAATACATGTACTCGTATATTATCATTATTCTATGGATTATTTTGAAAATCTTGAATATTGAATTAATGCCATGGCACCATATTTCTAATGATTCATCATGGTTTGCTCTAAGAAATATATACTAGTAGCGCTATCTTTATCGGGATGTTACTAAGCAGTGTACTGGATGGCCTGCCTGCAGCCTGGGTATAACAGTACTTACTAGGTACATTAATAGGTCTAACACTGTGGGGCTTCATTACAGGGCCTTCACTGTGGTTTACCAGGTGTGGGGTCTATATATACACAATAAGTCCTTCACTATAACCACCACGAGGCCTTGATTATGAGGCCTACATTAGATTTATACAATGGAGTCTTCACTAAGGGGCCTTCACAAATGGGGTTCCTCAGATGAGGCATATACAATGAGGCCTTCATGCTGATATGTATCTTCCTGTAATATAGACTAGATTTGAGTCCTGATTTAGTCTTTCTTTTTGTCTTGGAACTTATTTTTCTTGCCGAGAATCTTCATAAGTTCTTTACTCATGTAGTATGGCTTCTCGGGAGACCCATCATGTCTCTCTATGTCTTCCACTGAAATATACAAACAAATAGCAAATGTAGCACAAGACACAGTTTATTTGGCGGGCATCTTATATTAAATTGTTTGCATAGGTTCCACTACTACAGCTGCAGTACATGTACCAAAAAATCATTCATATCAATCACTCAACATTCTACATAAAATACTTTAAATGTCTGTCATTCTTCATTTTGTTTTGTTCATTTTAGTAAATATTTTGTGTGACTCCCATATTGGATACGATATATGGAATTTTTGAATGTGATTGTCAATCAGTTTCCCTGAAAATGTTTTAGTTTATTTCAAACAATTAAGCCATTTCACTCGCAATTTGCCTGCCAGTACAGTATACACAGGGCTTTAAGTTCAACTGTGTAAGAGAACCAAGAGGCTTTAAAAATAGAATACTTACAAAAGCACATGAAGAGAGTATCAACCCCCATGCTGTAGACACTGAAGAAGCAGGATGCAATCACGTATGAGCCTATAGTGATGATCTGAAACATAACATACAGATTCTATTAAATCTGAAGATAGGGACAGACAATATGATCCACAAATCATGTAAAGATTGAGTATTTCTGGAAAACTTTTTCCGAAAGAATTGAAGAATAGAGTTTGCAATTAGAGTTTCTTCACACAAACCTGGGTACTATCATAACATTGCAAGAAGAAATAAATCCTTCCTTTAAATCTAAGTTAATGATACATAATATGATATGTTAACTTCAAGTCATTTGAACAGATGTCATATAAAACTCATCAACAAAAGTTCATTGATGAATGTGAGTTTTAAAAATGTTGGAACATTGATGAATGCAAACAGTCAATACAAGAAAACATGAAAAACATTTTAAAATGTTAAATAAAATATTGTATAACTAACAATAAGCCGACTGACGGCATAAGCAAACATACAGTGGAACTAGTTAAGTTGAACATCTATAAAAGGGTGTATCAAAATTGGGTACACACTGGGCCCAAAACAGATAATATTAGTGAACCAAAAAATATAATGTACATGTTTCTGGTTCAATAATTCATGATAACTCATTCATTTTTACAACATATAAAAATCATCCAGGGAATATCTGGTAAAAGTGTTTGTTCATCTTTAAATGTTCCACTGTACTGTATTCTATCTTGGTATCCTTATATAACTCACAATGACAGGTGTGAGGTAGTAATTGAGATCAGAGAGTATACTATGTATTGGTGTCTTGTCATATAGCACCCATGCTAAAGCTCCTACAGTATGTACAACAAAGCAAACATTGAAGTTCTTATGTTTTCTTGGCTATTTTAAAGAATTGTCTGAGGCTTATTGAGGTCCCGGTCAGATTAAGAATTCATCTTTTTCCAATGTTAACAGAAGTCTTTCCTAAGTATTACAGGGTTAATGCTGACATAAATGCAAAATCAAAAATGTTAGTGCATTGTGCATGGAACTTTACTGGAGCATGGAGTGATTAAAGCATTTCATAACAATTTTGAGTTATAATGCTAATGTTGTGATATTCATAGACGAGGAAGGTGAAGTGATGATTGAAGTGCTGAAACCTGTAAACCAAGCCAAAACCCAAATATTTTTTGAAGAAAAACAAGTCATTTGAGTAAATATAGTACGAGTAAAATATACTATCATTTGGCTAGAGAATTTAGAAAAAATATTTTTCAATGACATGTTTTCTTAAATTTTTCCATGCAAAATGACACAATAACATAAACAGTACAGTATATGGAAAAAGTGCATATGTTTATTAAAGAGGCATAGGTTCAATAGAGACTGAAATGGAAAAATATTAGTAAAGAAATCTACATGCACATGTGACACACGACAAAATGATGCCACCACCTGGATTCAATCTTAAAAGCATTAACAATTGTAAAAGATCACAGATTCTGTCCAGATTGTTTGAAGTAGTATCAGTGCCTCAGCAATAACTTATTGAGCTTCTGATACTACGACAAACCAATCTTGACACCATTGAAGATGTTATATGGAGACATAGGAACAGGGAAGCAGAAGCAGATTTAAGTAAGTCACCTTGTACATGTAAAGAGATAACAAGATAATAACTACAGTGTATGGAATAAAGGGTTAACACAAGATTATTTTATTATGTCATTGCTAGGCATTCCCTTGCTTCAGAATCAGTGAGTGAGGACTAATACACAGGGCAATACATAATTTATCAGTTCAAAAATTGAGGGTGTGTCAAATATTTTGATCAGAGTACCGGGATTCTAGCAATGATATAATCAAGGGTAGTACACAAGCTTAGGTTCATTGATTTGACTGAGACACCTTGTAATGTCACAACAGACTGAGGCACCCTGTAATATAACACTTACTATAACAGGGACCAAGTAAAAATTGAGTGTTGGGACATATGAGTTGAGAGCTTCAATGGGAATCTGGCCGGAGAAGAAAAAGAATCCGAGTACACCTGAAATAAAAAAGGAATAAAGAAAAAATCAATATTGTCTTAAATATCATTAATGAATACATCTTAAAAATAAACACACTGCATACACTAGATCCTCCGGAAAGTAGTCACATTCCATAAAAGGTAACTGTCAAGTACTAGATGTATATTGCATTAATATAATCTGAACCAAAAATGTAAATACTTGTAATATGTAACATTGTAATATTTGTTATTGCAACTGTTATTCTTTTAGCTGATTCAGTATAAACACATTGACATATGAATACTAGAAATTATTAAAATGATATGAAATAAAGAAAAATATCAATATATAATAGCATACCGAAAAAAACATGGACTTCTGGAATCACAATTTACATTTGATATTAGTGATATGTTTAAAAGGAAGAGATTTTCATATGATCCTGATCCTCTTACCTGTAGCTGCTACTACGACCAGCTTACTGATAAACAGAAGAAAGTCTGTCACTTTGTCAACCACAGCAACTCTATAATATAAGAGAAATACATCAATATAGCTTGACTTGACAAACTTTAAGTTAATATCCTATTTCTTAAATAGTGAGTCTTGACACAAGAGAAATCTACCAAACAGATAATAGACAAGGCAAAATCTTATGCAGAAATACTATTATTGTTTTCTAGTATTAACGTAGTATTAAAAAGATGCATATAATGTATATCGTACATCTTTTCAAAACATGGTTTCAATATGAATATTGCATGTATAAACTGAGACTCACCTTAAAATATTACGCATTATGAGGAAGAATGCGTTTTTAGCTGAAGTACAGAAATTCTCTCCATATACTGCAATCTGAAAATTAAGACATAAAAATGTGGAATTAAGTACATATTGTGAAACATTTAAAAAGGCAATCTAAGTACAGTAATGTAATGATTAACTGTTAGTTTATACTTATCCTAAAAAGGTGGGGGATACCTCATCACATCTCAAAACAAAATGTGAGTATTCTTAAGGATGTCTATAACAGCTCTCTAAACAACCATTTCAATTTCAATTAAATAAGCATTAAATGATTTAAAGTAGCATGCACTCCAAGATACATTGGTCCCTGACTCATTCACTCTGTACACAACTATTTTAGCTGGACCAAGACACATTCATTTTACACATTCCCTCTGCACAGACTTAGACAAAAAACACATTTGGCTGGTCCTACACACATTCACAAATTATAGAAAACCTACTATAACAAACAATGATACACTTACCAAAATGTATGCATTTTTGTTGAGGAACCTCATAAACTTTTCGAGACACCAGAAAAAACACTTTAGACACCTGAAAGATTAAGAAATATTTTTGTCAACATAAAAATATGACATGTAACAATCTAAGGAATTGGATTTAATTTATATTACCCATATAGATGTCAAATACGATGCACTAATTTTATTTCTAAACATGGTGTTTACTTTTGAATATAAACTAATTATCTAATTAATGTATTGGAATCTGAAAAGAGATTGGATGAAAGGAACCAATTTCTTCTTAAAAATCTTTAAACGGAGACTTTAATATTCCCAGCTACCCTTTAAATATAAAACGTTGTCTGCTTCTGTTATGTGCAAATGTGTTGTAATTTCAATGTGTATCATCATGAAATAAACTATAACTGTAACTGTAAACATACACATATTGACGAGGGATCCATCAAGAAAAGAGCCTTAAAAACATAATGTATAAGAAATACAGGGATCCTAGACATGATAGACCCCTCAGGCTCTAGGAATTACTGACTTACTTCATGAAAAACTTTGCTATTCTGTTTTCAGATCCCTTTAACTTAGCATCCAAGTATTCTAGAGCCACTCTAATCATCTGTATGATGGCGATCAATAGTGAACCAAATGCTAGCGAACCCAAGTGATACCTACAATATAATATAATAATCATGTTATACTGTGCCAACATGTGAATGAAAACAAAAACACATCACAGTATACTTATAATTACTTACTTTAACATCATAATAACCCAAGGCTTGAAATATAAATATGGAGAAATTCAAGTAATAATTAATTCAATAAAAATTTGAATGTAGACTGTGATCATAAAAATATTTTATCTAACCTTACAACAATTTTTTTGTTATTTGTTCAATGAGAACTATGATATACCTAATACTGCGCCATAATCCACCCGTGACTGGGAATGCTGGGATATCCTGTGGCTTAGTGAAAGCCCAATAATACGATGCGAAGGATCCAGCAAGTGTCATCTGTCCGAGAGCCACAATGAAATTCATGCACCAGAATAACATGAAAAGCATGAAGATCTGCAGATATATGGTGTACTCGTCTCCTCCATATTTTACGAATGAACAGATAGAACCAAGAGTGTCATTCTGAAAGTGAAAATGACAAAGTAAGAATGCTGTTGGTTGCTTATGGAGTAATGTTTATTTATTTTATTTATTTAAAATTTTAAACTCCGAGGAGTAGCAAATAACAACGGCTTTGTCTAAAAAACCTCCTACCTCATACCCACCTACGTGGGACATGATACAGTCTTTGAAGGGTTCAATTTTAAAGATCTTAGTTTATTAAATCTTAGTTTAGATTGTACTGTAAAATGCTTTTCATTTGAGTATAATAATAAATAATAAAATAATAATAAATTTCTGTTTTTCAACCCCCCCCATACATGACCCCTGGTCATGTATAACATAAAAAACGCAAGATCAAATCTTATATTGCATAAATTATTCCAAAAATACTAATAAAGAATCACAATCAGGAAGACTGAATATCAAAGTTTTAAAGATATAAAATCTGCATTTATCTGTTTATATTGATATTGACAAAAACAAGGACTTTACAAGGTGCAAGGTCCAGTTTAGTTTCAAAACTACTGATAATGAAATATGAACCTGCATCGACTGAAGTCTGCAATTCATGTATTTATGTCTACACTACATGTACTATACACTGTAAACATATGAAAGAGAAGTAAAGGAAATTGCCAAGTCTTTTCAACAAATTTAGGATTTATACAGAAGAGGGATGGAAGTAAAAATGGAATCTAAGAATCATTACTATAGCTCAATACTGACAAATCTTCCGAGAGTTATTACTAATAAAGGTGAAACCATTGTCATGGATCTGGCAGTCGTATCTGAGCTACCAAAATTATTTGAACTGTTCCAAAGTGCAATGAAAAATGGCCATGGGTATGGCATAGATGATTTCCAAAGCTACAATATGTTTAGAAACTTTTGCCTCCAAATGAACGTCATAACTGGAACAATAAAAACAGCATCTGGGGTTATCTGTGGAATCTATACCATTAACCCAAGTAGATTAGCAGGATGTCATGATACAGTATTAGCTGCTGGTCACATGGTTCTGGACCAGTCAATCAGAAATTATGGATTCCATACGCATATTGCAAAGGAATGTCTGATTTCAATGAAGCTATTAGGTATTTCCACTTTCCACTTTATTTCAACTACAGTATTTTAACTACAGTATTTGAATAGTCATTTTTAATATGTTTGGATTGCATTCCTATACATAAGGATTTTACACTACATTCAGGACATTTTTCACAGTTTTTTCATATTCACTTTTCATTGGTGCAGACTTGAAATAGGATATCATTTGACTATGTGTTTAAGAGTTTTGCAAAGCCCCGCCCCATGACCAAATTTAAAGAATTTCAAAAATTCACTTCACAATGGCAATGACATATTATATTTCTCCATTAAATCATTACTTTTCATAGGGTTTCATACTTATCTTGGAGAGAGCATTGTTGATACTGTTGTGACAAATAATGTTAAGAGCCTAGGAGCAAAGGTTGTGGGGAGAATACCAATGTGCCTAAATCTAGCCGAGAGGGGATGGAGAAACTCAACAATAATGCAGATTGATATGGTTGATGATTGTAAGGTAAATTAAACATATAAATACATAGTCTACTGCAGATTACACCTGCTATGGACAATTTTGATATACTTACATATTGTATATTTAAATGTCTTCTTTTGAATATCTATAATTTAATTTGGGTGTTATTTCTATATTTTACATAAATAATGATTAGATTGGTGCAGTAGACTGATGAACTTCATTCTCCAAACCGAGACTTTTTTTGAATGAAATGTAGTTGATCAAAAAATAATCATTAAGTAGCCATTGTCTCAATAATTGCAATTTTTCTTTAGGAGTCAAAGGTACTAAGAAGGACAAAGATGTTGTCCTTCAAACCTGATACAACTGGAATAACATTGAACAGTGTAGTGAAACTTCCGAACATGCCACATCATTGCAAACTCCAAGACAAAACTCCAATCAAAATTGATTATGCAAAATCAGATGAACTTATGACAATCTTTGAAATGTTCAGAGATGCTAAAGAAAATGGAAACCGGTATGATATCCATGATTTTGAAACGTATGACCATTTTGTACATAAATTCCAAAATGCCCACATATTCTTCGTCAAACATTCCAAGACTAACGCAGCATTAATGGCGTGTGTTATAACTCCTAGTCATATATGTAGGAGCCAAAATCCTATCCTATCAACTGGATACACAGCTTTTCCCAAATCTGAATCTACCCCTGAGAGAGACCATATATGGAATGCTATCAGGCTTCATTCAGAGCTATCTAAAGCACTGGGATATGTAGGAATGTTGACAGAGGTGTCAACCAGAGACACAGAAATGTTAGAAGCAACCATACAACACCCAGTGAGGCGAAATATGTTTAAAGTTGTTGCAGAGATCCCAAAGATGATGTTTGTGAAAGCGAGTGGTTATGTGACTGGACTGATTCTGTTCAGTAGAAATGCTGAGGAATCAAAGGTCTAAACTCTTGAAGTATGCAAAAAAGGCAGTGAGATGACAAAATATCATCATCACCTTTTTACATACTCGCAAATATCATAACCTTTTTTGTAAAGCCTCAGTCATATTTAATCTATGATGATTGTAGATCAAAATCAAGAGAAATATGCAGCATAAAACGTAGGGATAAGCCCTACGAGAGTTTGTACATTGTTTAGCTACAGCCACGATAGGGCCACTGTAGAGCAAATGTGACTGAGGCTTAAAGCACACAGGGTTTTGTGAACACTGAATTCTCCTTTCTGCATCATGGGTAATATTTTGTCCATATAAGGAAAAACTTCTGTGTCCCCTCGTAGAGCAAACTGCGAACAGGAGAATTCCAAACACCAGTGGCATAAATGGTGATTACAACAATATGACATCAGAATGAAAATTTACAAATTGTTCAACTTACCGTTGGCTCGCAGGGTACTCTGGACCATATTTCTTCACCAGTAGAATTGTCCACTGTGGCATTACTCTTATATTCTGGTGTACCAGATGATGCGAGAAAAAGTGCAGTTGCTCCCCAGTAGCCAAATAAGACAACTTGAAAGATGAATGGCAGTATTGGCCAGAACAGTGCAAACACCATGTTCCCTATAGCCCTGTAAATATATGAACATCATTTTTATTTTTATATCAGTTGAGCTGAATAATGGATTTCACTCTTTATAATCTGAACCATTTCACTTGATTTGAACCTGTTTCACGCTATTTTTCGAAAACATGTGATTTGGATGGCTATACCCGTCAGTAAACACCAGTGAAAAGGCAACAGCCTGATAAGAGTTAAATATTACATTATTATAGTACTCGAAGCAACAACATCGCAACAACATTAAAAACCAAACTTCTCATCAACCAAAACATACAAGGAATTTAGCTTTCAGAGTTTCCCATTGCACATTTTTGTTCAAAAACTAATGATTCAAAAATACTTTTTCCAGAATGATAAGTTATGTTAATTTTCCTTCAAATGTATATGAAGGGATCATGTATCTCAACATACATGTATATGATTATGTATCAGGTTATTAATAAGTATAAGTAATTATGTTGCGTTTTCCAATTGCTTTCATATCTGGGTTATTTCCCCATGATATTGACCTACCTGCTGGATTCCTTGATAAGAGAGATAGCAATGAGGATGCGGGTACGGAGGAAAATCAGGAGCAGCAATATGATGCCCAGCAGGGATGCAGCAATAATACCTGAAACAGCAATATTTATACATGAGTATAGTGCATATCTCTGGGTTTAACATTTGAGACACTGCCATATAATATAAACCCAAGAGAAGTATTCAAATCATATATTAATACATGTACTATTAATCTATTTATTAATTTGACATTTGTTTTAATAAAAACAACACTCTTTTCAAAAAGTGCATCAGTACAAACAATAATGCAAATAATATCTGCTTTTAAGTTCAATTATGTAAAACTGCAACAAGACTTTAAATTTCTTTTATTATGATATGAAAGTGATATGTTCCAAATGAATGCAACTGTCAATGCAATTATATGTAACAAATGTAACCGTTATATATAAATAAGAACATGTACATAAATACAGTTTTAATGAAATCATGTAAAAATGTTAGTAAGATGTATTTAAAACATAAAACATCAAACGTAAAACTAGAACACATTCTACTGAACCAACTCAAACATGCAGATACAAATATTTTTCACTCTAAGACAAAGGAACTGAATCAGGCAGTGCTTTTAGTGCAAATAATATCAAAATATATGCACATGCATTTTTTCTTTCAAAGAAATGCTTATATGCTTTCTCAATACATAATCCCTCCCTATTTTGGTTACCCTGACATAGAGTGAAAGTTACAGGAATTACATAACAATCATGGAACGATTCAAACTTTGGAATCCTTAAGAAAATGTTCCATTTGTTTTGTTGCGATATATCATATACTTGACATTGATACATTGACCATTTCCATGGGTATACATAATGTTAAAATTAAAACTCTTGAAATACAAAATGCCAAATGTAAGATAAGGCATGCTGATTACTTTAAATCAGAAAACTAAGTGATTTAAATGAAAAATGACTTAGTAAAAGATGAATTTTAGAAAATTTTACTCTTATATATAACTTTTATTGACATATTGATACAGCATCAGGATAATTTTGGCAATGATTGCAAATCACTGCAATGTAATGATAAATCGCAACAACAATGCCTTATATGGACATAAGTACCTTCACCTGTGCACACTTACTGAATATAAGCCAAGTTACAGACATTGAAGTATATTGAGAGATATCCTTAGTAAACTTGAACTTCACATTTTTGGGATCTGTGATCATTTTGGCAAATCTGAGACCACACATATAGGAAGCTGAGAGAGGATAGATAAAGCAGTTAAGCAAGAGAATATAGTCCTTAGTTAAGCAAGAGAATAAACTTCTTAGTTAAGCGAGAATAAAGTCCTTTATTAAGCAAGAGAATAAGTTCTTAAATAAGGGAAAGATCCTTTAATGTACTGTACACGTAGGATGTAGTCCTTTGATATGGGGAATTCTAAACTCTGAAATAAACTGTAGATTAACCAATCATTAGATAACTTATAAAGATGTCAGCATCAAAAATCATCATATTGTAATATCATCTGAAAAATCAGAGGATATGAGGCTAACTGATGGGTATTCTGGTTAGGAATTTATAACTAATGTTAAATCCAATGCTTACCATTAGGGAGAGGACTGTTCCAGGGTGTCAGGGAAAGGTTTAATGTAGGGACCTTCTGAGAAAATATTAACTATCGACTTGGTAAGACCTTGGAAAATGTGGAAAATTATTCTAAATCCAATGGGAGAAGTTTGATGGAAAGGTAGGGTATATGGTTGGGGACATTGGCATAGGAAACTCACCTATCGCAAGATTTCCATTTTGCCCATTTATGACAAAACATATACCTCCAACAGAAAATGCCAGAGCACAATCGGAAGAGGTTGAATTGGATGTTTCCGCAGTTCGTACTAACAAGTCTACGGCATTGTTACAAGTTTGGCTATAGAATGCAATTGCAGGTATAGCACTGCATGTGGGATTGTCTTTTTCTTTCATATACTGGTTTATGAATATAAATGACGCTGAAACGCCAAATGAAAATACAACACAAATTGAAATAAAAACATAAGGGGGTGGATATCTACAATCTGTTTGTTTAAATGGATGGATATATACAATTCCTCAGTACATTGGGAGAAGGATATTAGTACAGAGAATTATATATGCTGTTAGATTCTGAAAATTAGAAGAGAAAGCGATGAAATGACCATAGTAATAATAGCCCCATCTCAGATATTTTTACTGCACTTGTATTAGTTTGAATGATTCGGATTATACCTGCCATATGAGATATATGAAGCTCGTGAAAATGGATACACAACAAAATACATGTATGACTGAACAAACTGTGAGTAAAAGCCGCAACTCTAGAAACTTAAATCACCAGAGTAAAAGTAAAATCCAGAAAAGTCAAGCAAGACAACATAACATACATGTACAAGTGGTAAAGATGAGGATAATAGTGACAAAGCCATTTAATGACACGTCTATTTCAATGTGCAAATTGCCACCAATTGAGCATATTAAGAAGCTGGAGGGGCTTCTTATCTTACCAATTGTCAAATTTGTTGTCGACCCATTCATAACAACGCAAAGAGGACCAAGGGTAACAGTGATTGAACAATCAAGCCCTGTCCCAAAATTTGTTATGAAATCGACAACATTAGCTGAAGTATTGGATGAAGTTGGCATTGCTAGGCAACCAGTTGTTCGGAAATCAATTGCAGGAACAACCTGACAAGCCTCAGTGTCCTTTATGTCAAAATATTTTCTCAGAAAAATATATGCACCTGAAATAAATGTACCCATATGTGTGTGAGTTTCTGTGTGAGTAATACAATCATGCATTTCACATGCTATGATTTTTGTGTTAGGTCAAACATGTAATCTGACAGCCACATTGTCCTGTTATCTGTGTGAGATGCTAAAAATAAAACAAGAACATGACACAAAAATATATCTGTTAACACATGTTAAAATATGGTCGTGTCAGGCTCATGCGATAATCACTGTATTATTTCTTTAGAAACTCTCAATCTAAATGTAATCTAAATATCAAGGTAGTACGTTTTCATAATTATCAAATGTGAATTTCAAATTCTTGCCATTGTTACATTCAGAAATCTTGATGTTCAATATGTTCAAGAAACATGTTCATGAATATTCATGAACATTCATGAACATATTCATAAATTGAGACATAACGAAAATTTTATTCAGACATTTTTTCAACTGAAATTGATGTCTAATGGTACTTTCAAATCCCCATAACTTATATCTTCCTCCCCTATTTATATTTGCCAAGCCCAGTTTGTCACTTTTCCACATAGTTCTTCCAAGTTGTCACTTTTTCCGCAACACGACAGGGGAACATATTATTGACATGAATTACAAATATATCAAAATGTGATTGATTAGCTAGTTAAAGCACAGCACTCAACTAAAGGCTACATATACTATGAAGAGAACATAGTTCTTCCAAGTTGACTTGTAAACTCAACAGTGCAAGGTAAGTATACAACAACTAAGGTCTATTCAATTTCAATTTCTATACAAATGACAATGAAATTAAAATGAATAACTGAATCAAATTAGACAAGGTTCATTGAATAATACAATTGAAATTTTGAAATCTTTATTTTTTCAAGGTTACAGTTTTTCTCTGCATAATCCTAATTCATATAAATACAATATATTTATTATGTAGGGGTTATACTTATTTTTTGTCTCTCTACTAACAAACTGTTTCTTTGGCCTTTACATGAATGCAAAAGTACTGGGTTTAGAAGTCACTTGGAAAAACTATTTTTTGTTATAGGGTCTTACAATATTGCACATATTAGCAAGACATGCAACCAAATTGCACTGGCAACCAGTATTGCCACATGCAACAGACACTGTCAAAACCAACCACTGATGTGATGTCTTACCAAATGCCAACCAGGTGTTGGCCATATTGAGGTAGTAATCAAGATTTGTGGTGAAAATATAATTCCCTTGTGCTGCAGGATCATCTTTCATTGAGACATATTTGGAAAATGCATAATATGTGCCTATAAAATAACATATTCATATAATATGGGGTTGGTTCTCTGAGGTGAGCATTCAGAATTACATCCTTCTCTAGATTCTTGTATCATCAATGTGGACATAGGCTTTACTTGCATAGATGCAAATAATGCATAGAAAAGTCATACGAGAGAGGTATATGAACCTTCAGAACCATAAGCCTCAATTTAACATATTATTTCATTTTAATGCGCAATACTGTAAATATCATATTTTACATCCACTTTGCGTCCTAGAAAGTCTCTGAAACTGAATGCATAAGCATGAACACAATGCATGTACAGAAAAAATATGATATTATAAGCTACACTATTCAACATTATATTTAAATATAGACAGATTCTATATTCTAATTATTTCAAATATCTTTTACAAACTGAACATACAAACTAGATGTACTATAATGACATGGCTGTGAGCAAATGCTTTTTCATTAAGACTCAAAAGGGAGAAATAATACATAGATTATTATAATTTTTATTAAATTATCTATAAAATTATCTATACACTACAATACTATTTTTAAATGTAATTTACACATTTTTATAGTACACTGTATATTTCATATTAAAAAGATGTCTTCATCGCCCCTTAGTCCGTCAGGGAGATACAGATATATTCCCTGGGATAAACCCAAAATCCAAAACCTCCCAGTTCATAACCATTATACGTAATATATGCAATATTCATAAAGTACTTACCAAACCCAAATAAGCCGATGAAGAGAATAATGGTGATCCAGACGATGGGCCCAGCAATCCACCTCATGAGGATGATCCAGATGAAGGCAAGGATCATAGCGATCCCTAATCCTACGAGGATCAACCACCATGATCCAACCACATCTTGGTAGATCTTCATACCATACTCCTTGGCATTCAGGAACAGAGCCAACCAGCTGAAAACATAAAAATGCTTGCTTGTATTTTTGTGCCATAATTTCTCATTGAGTGTTTTCTATCATTGTCCTTTACAGAGCGCAGATTTTTTCTGAAAGGTCTTCAAGATTTGTTGAGCCCTCTGAGGGATTGTACACAAATGTTGACAGTTTTGGAAAAGTTAATTTTAATCTGGTCTTACTCCTTCCTTCCCCTTTATAGGAAAATCCTAATTGTTACAAAAAATCATCATTTTTCAATGGAGTAACTCTCATTCACCCCTCCCTTACAAAAGTTATTATCCCCAGGTGTTGACACTTAGACACTTTCCCTTATGAGGCATGTTACTCACTAGCTACCATCCTGTAGGTCCACGTCTGTCACTGTTGTATTGCTCTTATCCACTATTGTTGCATTACTTAGAGTGTCCACAAGCCCAGAGGCTGAGTCCAAGACCTTACTGAGGAAAGATGGCACACACCTTCCCACAACTACAAACAAATAACACAATTTATGTTATAATTTTCCATACATACTTTTGTTTTAATCAGGCAAATAAAAAAAACATTTATCATCTTGGAAATACAGAATGAATGATACCATGAGTAGTTTAAAGGACTGGATTTTTAGTTTTCCTTTCAACCATCAGAGAGTTCCAGAGAGCCATAGAAGTACATCACGTGACATGTACTTATATACAAACAATGATTGGCAATAAAAGACGAGGAGTTCGGATTTTATTATTGACAACATTAAGAATGTGACCCCCCTAATTTTTCTGAAGCAAAATTCATCACGTTTTTCTTTTTGCATCAATACTTCAATACTACAATACATTTTAGAGATGCCAAATGAGTTCAACTAAGCCAGGTTTACTGTACATTTTTGGGAACTAGTTGAAGAACATGGAAATATGAAAACAAACTTACTAGGTTGACTCTCCACATAATATGCAGCACAGTCATCATCTTCAATGAGCTGCATCACACTCTACAAGTAAATATATCAGTTAACATCTAGCTAAGTAATAACATTAACATGTAAAAATGTCAACACCACCAAAAGTACCATTCTGAATGCAAGTTAAAAACAAGAAAGTGAGACGCTGCCCGCTCGCCACCCGCCTGCCATCCAAGCTGACAACAATATTGTACCTTTTTTAGGTACAATAACAAAGACATGATTTCAAAGGTTTACCATGTGCCAAAAAGGATTACTGTAACAGTATGTGACAATTTCCTGGTGGTAACAGTATACAATTGTTGACCTCTCCAGAGGTCAACCGGCAAAATTGTATACCGAGACTGTAAACCGAGAAACTACTGTTGACAGAGACCGAAGGTCGAGGTCAACAGTGTTTCAAGGTTTACAGTCGAGGTATATGATTTCGACGGTTGACCGAATGGAGAGGTCTACAATTGTTTTGTTAGTCAGAAGAAACTAATAATACTCATATATATACGACAGTCATCACCTGCACGCCAGCAATAATTTTTAAGAAAATCTGAAGACAGTGGAAGCTAAACTCTCTGTTTTCGGCACATAACTGCGTACTCACTAGTAAATTAATGTTAATTTTGTGTTTCTATTTGTATTGTTGCTATACTCGTCGTGTAGAAAAGTCAAAATATCACTTTCATCAACGTGTACAAAATGTCCGACTACCATGTTTTTCTGTAAACATTGTGACGTCATATTTCCCATAATTCACAAGTGTAGTACAGTAACATACGCGGTCAATAATATGATATCCCATGATGCACAAGTGATGTACAGGCAAAAATGTTGACCGCTGATTGACCAATCAGATGCGAGTATTTACACTGAGGTACTAACAAAGTAAAATGTGTTGTGAAATGAACAATTTTGAGCAAACTTTACAATAGATAGGTACATTCAGAGAAATGGTATTCAATAGTGGCATGTGTTCACTAAAACAGACTTTATTGTATCTTAAGATGTTTAATAATTCTAGAAACATGTGTACACTATGTATGAACAATAACTTAATATTCTATCTATTGAAGTTAATTTCTATGAAAATATAACATTGATTATAAAACTTAATCGGAATACTAGCACAATTTTATACAGCTTTACAATTATTAAAATATAGCTGTTTGTATAAATCTAAACAATGAACATATAACAAACTTGAAACACTTACATACCAAACACAAGAACTGATCTTTATCCTCTAAATATGGGGAGGGGGTCTACTGAGTACAAACTTCCTCAACCTTCCACAAGACAATCAGGGTTCTCAGATTGACCCCCATATAGGAGGGACTTAATAAACTTATCTACTGGCCTACCTTAGGGGAGGTTACAGGGTTCACTTTATACTTGCAGATCAAGCGTTGTCTCCTTACTATATCAGGTAGAGGGACAGCCATAGAGAAGCTAGAGTTGGGACAGGTTTTGATGCAGATCTGTAGATAGGGATTGAAGAGAAGATCAAGTCAAGCAGGGATTAAATGTTATATGGGGTAAGGATAAAATGTAAGACCAAGTAGGGATTAAAGGTTATATGGGGTAAGGATCAAAGGAAAGGTCAGGTCGGGATCAAAGGAAAGATCAGGTAAAGATCAGAGGAATGACTAGGCATCCTAGAAATATATCAAAAATAGATAGATCAAAAATAAGGTATGGGAGGGATCAAAAAAGATCCAGGTAGGGATTAAAGGTAAGATCAGGTAAGGATAAGTAAAACTGGGTAGGGATGAAAGTTATGACCTGGTTACATCTCTAAAGGAGTTAAACAACTGATTATGTGAAATTTTGTGAAAACAAAAAAGAAGAACAGGTACATAGTCTGATGGGGTTAGGTAAAAAAAGAATAAGTAAAACTGCCTAATTACTCAAAAACTACTTATAAATGTTTCAAATAAAAGTAAGTGGAATGGATACCAAGGGATATTTTTATATTAATTGACATTTTATGCATGATATATTATTTCAAAATTATGGGACACAAAAAGATAGCAAAACTGAGAGAGCGAATCATGAAAACAAGAAAAAGATGACAAGGAAGCAGCTTCAGCCAAAGGGAAGGGACCCAATACCTTTTAGGGGATTCAGCGAGGGGAGGAGGCTAGTATCATGGGCTCTATCAGATCAGATCAGGTGGTAGAGCCCATGCTAGTATACAGGGGTTTGTTTTTGGTATGATTGTAACTTACGATTCCGAGAAAAGTATTGTTTACTTTATGACAAACAATGACCAAGTTGTAAGTTACGACGGATCCAAAAAACGGACCCCTGTTTAGTGCACAACAAAATTTAGAGCTCTTGGGGCAACATTGATGTGTACTATAGAAGCAATCTCCATGCAGGGTTCCTCAATATTAATAGTAGTCTACCTTTTGTGTAGTTTTTGGGTTAACATTGTATTTACAGATCATGTTCTGTCTAGTAAGGGAGGTGGTTGGAGTCCATGTAAAAAACGTAGTTGGACACTTTTCTATGCAAATCTACAGTGTGATATGGAAACATAAATGAAATTAAAACAGAAGAGAGCAGATTTAGATAGGCAATAGAAAACACAAACAATGATATGAAAGGATGACTATCTGATGGTGCATACACTGTAGTAGCAGCTATGAACATGGACTGTACAACACTCAGCAGCTAAAAGAGAAAAAGTAATGAAGCTAGAGCTGAAAGAGAATCTTAGAAAAAAGAAATCTGCCACTCATCAATTCCAACTTGAAGATTGAACTCTGGAATTCCCCCTTCTGATAGGTAAAGAGAAAGACAGGGAGGAGTTGAATTACTTGATTTGGGCAATACTGGTAGACAAGTCTCTCAGTCAATCTATGAGAATAACAGATTATGGGGAAATTGAAAATGGCAGATTGAAATAAAAGAATTGGATTTAAATGTCCATGATTAAGGGAAAACATGGGGAAAACAATTATAAGAAAGAAATAATGAAAAATGTTCAAATGATTGAATGAACATAAATCCTTATCTCACCTTGACTCATGTTCAGACTTCAATGGTGCTAAAAGCTGACATTATAAGCAAGCTCACAACAAAATCATATGACATCATGCAAGCTACACATGACATCATAACCAACCTTGGATGTTGTTTCTGGGTTGACACTATACTGACATAACATGTTACTTCGACCTGATCGTGAACCCACTGGATTTGCCAGTTCCAAGGCATACTGTGGGTACCAAGACCAATAAGTAGATGGACAACTCTCGACACATATCTAAAAATTCCACATTAGTTGCTTGAGACATCACCAAAGATTTATGTTTCTGAAGAATTGTTACACTGCAGCATTGACAAACTGTTGACTTTTGCTTCTTTTCCAACAGGGATCTAAAAGCTGACTTACTAAGCATTGAGATGTATATAAGAATATACACTGCAGCATTGACAAACTGTTGACTTTTGCTTCTCCAACAGGGTTCTAAAAGCTGACTTACTAAGCATTGAGATGTATAAAAGAATATACACTGCAGCATTGACAAACCTTTGATTCTTTGCTTCTTGTCTACCTGGGATCTAAAAGCTGACTTTCTAAGCACTAAAATACATGTTATCACACAAACAAACCTTTGATGATGTCAATGGGTTGACGTCATAGTTACAAATCATATCACTACGTCCTCCTATAACAGTGCTTATGAGGTTGCTAGGGGTTACTGATTCAAGATAATATTGAGGATACCACGTCCAATACGTCCTAGGACATTCAGCAACACACACCTAAAAGTTGGAGAAATCATGCAAATCTTGAAACCATGCAACATATAAATAGTACGAATTAATGCATATATAATATTAAAATATAAAATATGAAAAATGAATAAAAATGAATATATAAGTTAATATTTATTGTGTTATATATTGTTTTCATTACTTAACTAATCCAAATCTTTTATCTATTTCAATCTAACAATCAAGATAGAACATAAACTGCAAAAATTCTAGTTAATTAGCAAAACAAAGGACTTAATAAAAAAACAGTGAATGTAAAAGCAAATGAAGTAATATTTAGCAACTTTGATACTTCATACCTTTTAAAAAAATAAACAATGGACTGATATATGGATGCACCACATTCATTACTACAATCACATAATGTAAGCTATTTGGTAAGCGTTAACATATTAGCTACAGGGTTCTCACTAGGCTTTTAGTTCTCCAGAGTCTAAAGTATTTTTTCCGGAGTCACATTATTTGTGGTAAAGAGAAAATACATAAAACTGGATACAAACAAGGAATAGGAAGTCCAAAACCTTTTAGAAATGTATATTTTGATTAAAATAGGAAGATAATCCTAAGTAGTATTTTGAAAAGTATACTCATAGAATATCTCAGAACTCATATGAGGGAGGAGTAGTCGCGATGCCGTGAAAACTCCGGAGTCTAAATTTCCTGGTGAGAACCCTGAACTATGATATTAGCGTAAATATTAGTAAAATAGTAGCAAAAATATTAACAACAAACACAGGTTGTTCAATAAATCAGAGAAAAATGCAATTACTATTTCATAATTTTGTCATATTTATTGAACCCCTATATCAGCGTAAATATTAGCGTGTAATTAGCGTGTAGCATACCTGAGGGGTAGGGCACCCTGCAATGGCCACACCAGGCCCCATGCGTGCACACGTCATGAGGTCGAAGAACATAAGGTTAGGTTTACTCCTAATAAAGTGAACACACAGTGAAAGCAAAATGCTACAGCAAAATTAAAAACTAACCAAGAAAAATATGTTTCTCAAACATAATAAAGTTCAAGATTTTTGAAATCCTGTATATGAAAGCCATAATTTTGACTTCATATGTGATGCTACATGTTTTCTAGGTTAGTTTTTACAGATACTGAGTGAGTGCGTTAAACAGAGGGATTATATGTATTGTAACAGTGAAGTCTCTAAATTCAGCTGCTCTTGGAAATGTTTGTTAATGTCACATTGATACTCACATTGTGTCAAATGTGTGAGTGTCAAAGAATAGTGACTTGTGTGCGAATGCAAGTGCACTGTTTTTGGGATAATATGAAATTATTACTACTTCCGGGTTACTACTTAGTACACTTTAGTTAGATAAACATGACACAATCAGACATTTCACACTGACGCAGATGAATTTGGAGGAAGAATTGCTGAATTTATATATTAGACAACAAAGGTGTTTTTTGTTGCCTATCCAGCAATTTGTTAGGTTGCCAGACACAGACAAAATTCAAGCAAGGCTAGGTTACAGAATGTTATACAGTGAAAATATAAACCATGCATAAGTAGCATTGGTGTTTGTTGTCTTGGATAAAGCCCCTGTCTTCCCCTTCAATTACCTCATTGGATAATTGTATAATAATGGGAGAGGTAGAGATTTTATACAACACTAATTTCTATTGAGCAAATCAAGCCAACATGTAAATAAAGGTATTTTCATCAATATCATTAATTACTACATGCATGTTTGTTGTTTATTAACAAGTTGAAAAATCATATTTCTGGAAATCAGTGCTCCAAAACTGTCTTTCCTGAATCACTGCATTCGATTATATCAATAACATGCAAGAGCTGCCATTACTGTACTAGAATTAAACACCACATATTTGCCTCGGAATTGAATATAAAATACTCAAACTAAAATGCATCATACATATTATATATTTCAGTTTTTGACTAGCCTAAATTTATCTTTTCAGAAGCATTTCCTTTCTTTCAAGAGCTCGGATACCAAAAACATATTTTTCTGCTGGCCTTATACTTTGTACAATGTGATTATGAATCACCATGGCAAATAAATTAGCATTGTTAAATCAATCAATGATTAAATGGATTTTTGCAGGATGATTGCTACCATTACTTATAAATCATTGTTGCACAAATTAAACAGTTGCCATGGAAACCATCAAAATCTGATGGAAATTTAATATCAGAGCATATAAATAATTTATTTTTCCAATTGAACAAAAGCTTTTAGATAACCATGAACCATCCTTTCTGTATTCACAATAACTCAATGAAGGTAGCGACACCTGTTTAGATGATGAATTTCATTACATCAAGCTTATAACTGAACTAAAACCTGACATCCAATAACATACATCAACCATAAACTCTATTTTTTTTATAATAATTTCTCAAGATCTTTCTTTTGATACAATTTTGTCATCTTGGACATATTTTTTCTTGTACCACTCATTAGAAAGTAAATGGATTGGCTTCTTATATAAGCCATTTCTAAACTGTCACATAGTCATTGTTGACATGAGATGTAATGCTAAATATCTCTTCAAGTAAGAACAAACTTCAGTGAATCAGCCATAGCTTTGAAGTATTAATTTAGAAAAATGATAAATAGCAATCAACTAATGTGTCTATACCATTAGTGGAGCCAGGTTTGCATGAAACAATAAATGAAAGCCAACAAAAACCTGATGTATTATAATTATTTGATACTTGTCATACATAGAAGATCCTAACATCAGCAAAATGTTGTTCAATTCTGCTCTGAACAAACCAATATATCTCCAGGGAAAATGCATGAAAGAATTAGATTCTGGCTGTTTGTGGTTGTGTTATTTGCTTGTTTGTTTGTTAATTTGTTTGTTTATTAAAGGGGACAAGACCGTGTAACTTAACTAGACAGGTGCACAGAGTCATATCAATATCTCCCATTATCTCCTGCAGGAGAAACTGGTGTGTCTCGTACAATAAGTGGTGCTGAACATATATACTGACAAGCTTGCACAGAAAAATGACAAAATAAGCATAACAAGAAAAACGCTGCTAACTTATACGCATAAGCAAATTATATAAAAAATCAATTATTTGTGCGAAATCTTATAAACTACAGACCCTAATGGATACATCATAAGCAAAATGACTACATTGTAAATTGCATGAAATAATAGCAAGATACATTACTGAAGCGAGGTTGAAATGTGTTCAAACCTGTGGGGTGGGACATCCATTTATGACGACCCCGACACCCATTCGGGCGCACATTGTAAGATCAAAGAACATGAGGTTCTTTTTGTCTCTGTAAATATATATCCAAAATCTTAATATCCTAAAAATTGAATCTGATTTCATCGGGCTATCATCTCACATGGGAGAACCTTATTCGAAGCTCATCTCCTATGAGAGAAAATTGTTATAAGCTCATGGGAGAGAGTTCATTTCTTATGGGAGTACCTTGTTGGAGCTAATCTCCAGAGAACATTATTGGAGCTCATCTCCCATGGGAAAGGGAAAACCTTGTTGGAGCTCATCTCCCATGGGAAAACCTTGTTGAAGCATTGGAAACTTATTTCCTAAAGGAAAACATTGGTATAAGCTCATCTTCTGCTAAAGAAATTGTTGTGACCTCACCTCTTAGATGAGAACATTGATGCAAGTTATTTCCTAATAACTAATTTAAGATCTATATTACATACATGTACTAGCTAATAGATATAGACAGGGTTAGAGTAGTTTTTTAATAATGGCTTTCCATCTGTGAAATAAAGTTACCATATTCAGTGTCACCAGACTTACCACTGATATGTTAAATGAATTGAGTTACCTATCCCTTGAATTATTTCATTCTACAAATTAACTTCTTGCAGCTATTCTGTTTTAACTTTTGGTATCAATTGTTAAGATAAACATAGATTCAGTCAATGTACACAGTATAAAACATCTCTGATTGAAAACTGCATTCATGTCATCTTTCAACAATTCTTTCTACACTATGTTGTAAATGTCAATCAACTATGCTAGGCTCCACCCCTTCATGGTTGGGCGTGGTAGGCCCCACCCCCAAGAAATGGGGCTGAATACTTTATACCTGAGGTGTTGGGCAACCATTCACCACAGCCCCTACACCCATTCTCGCACATGTAACCAAGTCAAAGAAAAATAAATTCTTTTTGCCCCTGAAATGAGAACCCCATAATAATTAAAACACTAACAATGTTCTCAATAATCAGGTTTTGATGTTTTTTTCAAATATTAAGCACCACTCTGAAATATACACCTTTAATAAGCTGTAAAATAAGAATGGTGTGTTAGAAACAAGACGACATCAAACAAAATGTATATTATGTAGGGGTTAGATAACATGCGGTGAGTAAGGTTAAACATATATTTTGCTTTTATATTGACAACATATACAGTGAGAGGTTACAGAGCCACCTATTGAGGTACCTGAGGAGTGGGGCATCCATTAATAACTGCCCCAACGTTAAGTCTAGCACACACCAACAAGTCAAAGAACACTAAGTTAGGTTTTTGGCTGTAAAACATCAGACAAAGATTCAGATAAAAGAGCTTCAGCAAAAAATCAGTGATTTAGTCGATCATTAGACTTGCATCAAAACATTTTGTTTCCTTCAATTCTTAAGCTTCAAATATCACACCGCTGGGTAACTCTTTGATTTGCGGATGTTTAAAGGGGCCCATAACGTTGTTTATTTTTTCGTGAAGCCACTCAGTAAAATTACAATTTCTCTGCACCATGATGTCCAATCAAGATCATCCGAGTCTTTATATATTCTTGAGACGTTTGGGCATCTGGGAATGACAATGTCTACCCCAGGTACGCACCCTATATTGATGTTATTTATGACTGAATTCGAAGCTTCAGTGAAAATAATCTTGATGCAAGAGTACACATTCGATATAACAGTATAAAGGTGAACTAAAGAGATTTATGGGCATCTTCTTTAAAACAAGGCATAAGATTAGAATGGAGGTTGTCATGATAACCCAAAATATACTTCAACAAGCTGGTAATCTTCAGTACAATATACATTACAATATAACTGTTTGAACCTTACATTAGCCTGAACCCCCTCCTATTACCCCCTCCCACTCCTCTCTGAGGAAGTTGACCTTGGGCAGGGGCCTCACTTAACATAATTTTATTGAATATTTCCCATTTTCTTCTCATAGATTAATTTCTGCCACCGTATTGATGCACAATATACTCAAATATCAAAACTATATTTGTAAGTGACAAAAAAAGAACATCATGGGCAAAACCACAGCAAGAAAACATATCAGATCAGAAGTTAAAAACCTCCAGTGAAAAGAAAAATCAGTGTTGGGCCAAGTGTTGCTTTCCAACCACACGTGGATGATTAAAATTTCAACCAAATCGTGTGGTGCCATTGCTACTCCAAAAGGGAGAGCCACTATACCTGTGGGGTTGGGCATCCACTTAATACAACTCCTACGTTCATTTTGGCACATATTATGAGATCATAGAAGAACAAGTTTGGTTTATCCCTGTTAAAAAGATTATTCAACATCAGGACATATAATAATAGATAAGCGGAATGATCTAAAGGATTGGACGATAAAAGAGGGCACAATTATTTTGTTTCAACGCTTGAGGGGTAAAGAGACATGCTTGTACAGTAAAACATGTAAAGACCTTTTTGGAAAATTGTTTTTTTACAATTTCAATTCATTCTGTGAGCACTTCTATAAAGTGAGTACCTCAATATGTGAACACTTCAGTTAAAGATGTCCTATTGATTCTCAAATTCACTGGTCAACAGCTCATTTCAATTTGAACATGAATTGATGGGAATCCTCAATCTGGTCCAAGCAATGTTCACTTTATACAAGTTTTACTGTACCAACATAATAAAGGTCTAAAAGTCTCTTAGAAGAACAAACTATATTTACTATCTACGTTCAATCATAGGTATGTTATATTAAGAAAAAGAGCCACATTTGGTAGTTCATCCAGCACACTTAACCTTTATAGCAAAAGATTTAAACATTTTAAAAATAGAGTCCTATGTTAATTTGAGGGTCGGTGGTGAATAGCTCAGATTGTAGTATCAGTATACTGCAATAGAAATCAATGTATTAATTCACTCCAGAGCTGTCATCATGTGACCTCCTTTACCTGAGCAGTCGGGCAACCAGATACAACTACCCCAACATTCATGCGGGCACATGTCAGAAGGTCAAAAAAGAAAAGATTTGGTTTACCCCTAAAAAATAAAAATAATTCAATTTCATTATTGAAAATTTTATCTTACTTATTAAGAAAACCTCAGGGTAAAATAGAATTCATAATTATTCTGTGACATGCCAATAATGTAGCTCTCTCAAAATGATTTCTTGGCTGAATAACAAAGTCATTTTGATTTGATCTCTACCATGGCAACACCTATTCTTAACATAACGGTTCATTAATAAGGGTTAATATGCAATAACATGCTAGACCAAGCATGGCAATTAAAATGTGCAACATGCATATATCTAATGCAAAACTTGATCCCAGAGTTTTCTTCAAGTCACTTATTTTAATCAAAGTCTCACAATAGTTTTACAATTTGAGATAGTCATCACAATTTCTCTGAATTCACAATCTTTATAGTAGAAATTTGAGCAATTTAAGACAAACTACAGATCATTTGAACAGGAATAACATATTATATACACTGATTCATCCCTAAATTGTAAAATAAAAAATATCACGGTATTTTTCTAGAGAGAACAATTTAAGCTATATGGGCTAGTTTTGGAAATATACATTCATCACAATTATTTATTATGTGCCCAAAATGAATATATATAAAAAATGAATATATATAAAAAATATAATAAGATTCTGTTTTAACACCTGTGCATATATGTTCTTGACATTTTGTTTTATAAATAGCTTATTTTCTTTTCCTGGAAAAGCAAGGTGACCCAAAAGTATTGGAATGTAGAATGTATATTCTAGGTATGAAAAACATGATATCTATCATATATATTTGTACAATATGAAAACACTTCCTGATTATATGTCAGTATGACACACTAACACAAAGCACCATGAAATGCCTAGACTAGACTTAGATCCCTATCATAATTTATTTTGAACAATTTACTATTTGTTAGTTTTCTTGTCATGCACTAACTGCGTTCAACAGTTTCAGTTTTATTCTATATATTATCATGTGATATTCAACAGAAGCGCATCCGACTGAAGCCCCTATGTACCACATGGGAACTATAACATGGATATCCCTTGGTTGAATCTACATGTCTGGTACAATGCCATTTGGTTCAATGAGCTTTGATATATCACATGAAGCTATATATATGTTTACATGTAAAAAAATACAGAAATGTTACTTACGCGAAGTCACCATACCCGCACATGTTGCCAGCTGTATCAGTGGGGTAAAGTAATTTACTGGGGTCACCCCGGGAATATGCTGTAATATGAAAATATGAAATGTAGAATTTACCAGGATTTGATCTTAACCATGAATCTTGAACAATTCTAAGGATAAATAGGTATTAACATGGAAATTGTCACCACATGCCATTTGTTACAGATGTCAACTGCCAAACACCCTCCGCTGACCACTGAACACCACAGTGTTGGTGACATAAAAATCGTAGGTTTATTCCCTTGTAAGATTCTCAACATAGCTCGGTGGATTTTGATATTTCATGAAACATTTTTGCATTTTAATGATATGAATATAGTCTACATTCCATGTCATTTTATGAACAATTAATTTTATTCAATTATTGAATGCAAAAATATTGAATGATGCAGAACAATGTGAATGCAGTGTATATGCTAATGACAAATGTTTACAACAGCAGGTTTTATTATATAGTATGTAAAGTATTACACTAAACTTACCAAAATATCCCACCACTCCCATTCCTAAGATACATATGATAAATAGGAGGCAACATATTATATCAGTGCAGCCCCTGAAACAAAAAAATACTCAGTTTATGTTGTTTGACCTTTTCTGTATCAATCAAAAGCTAATATCAATTAAATTATTGATTTAACAATTCAAAATGTATCTCATTGAATCTAAAATAACAAAAGCAACCATGGGTGATTAGAAAATGTAAGTTTTTTTTAAATTCTTTTGACAATATTTTCTCCATTTTACAAATATCTTTTAATATATTATACAATATACATATGAGCTATTAATCAATTGTCCTGGTCTGACTTTCAGTCTTTCCTGACTGCAAATGGCAAATCAAAATCACGGGGGTAAAGCCACGATGATACCATGAGCACATGCTTTGAGGATCTGCGTTGTTTGAACCTACCGCCGAGCTCACTTATACATAAAGACCCGTTACACAGTCATGATACCGCCGAGCAAGCTCATTGCATCATCGGGTCTGCTTTACCCCCGTGAAAATGCTGGATTTTCACAAATATAAAAGTTATTTTTAACCATCATATTATTGAATAGTGCAATTGGGTATTGTCATCCTCAGAGATTAAGAGCATTGAAGAGAAATTGATGCATTTGGAGGATGATAACATGAACATTTTTTACTTACCTATTTGCTATAGGGCCATTGAAGTTTGGATCATATTTATTAGCCTCTCCTGAAAATAAAAGGAACAGTGTTATGTTGGGATATGATACTGATTGTTTCATTCAAGACAAGAAAAATATGTTACTGAAAAAGATGCAGATATTCCATTAGATTTGAATAATGACTCAGCTAGTAGGTCTTTTGGTATTGTTTGTTTTATCAGTCTTCCTGATTTAAAATATTGATGGAAACTTGGTTTTACTGCAAGATTTCCCCATTTTCACTTAATGACCTCTGTAAACTCCTTGCTATTTTGGAGTTGAGTCTCTTTTTGCTGTCCGATTTACTCCTTTTTTCAAAACTCCTCAATATGAACACCTTTTAATATGAATACTTTTAGCTGGTCTGAACTATATTCAGATTAGGCACTTGTAGACAAGTGAAACATTGTCCATGAGGATAAAGAAGAGGACCACCCTAAATATACAATAAAAACAATGGTGATGGGCTTTTTGGCATTTTCATTTACCATATTCTCCTTTCTCAATCAACCTTTCTAACTCATCTTCTTCAATCACGGCATATTTATTTCTTATCCTACGATTAGTAACCATAACTTTATGATCAAGAAAATCAATTTTTCTCCTCGCAATAATTTTTGTACGCTCCAAAAGTTAGTTTTCCATAATTCTTATGACGTGTAACTTTTGAAAAATCCTACGCATATTGTTAAACTTTTAAATTGATGATTTCTATTGATTATTCTATAATCCACATATGAGTCATTGTTAATAAAGTTCACTTTTAATTACAATGTACAGTATTAACCAAAATAATATTTTAAATATCACAAGGATTTAGTTTCTATTGTTTTCAATTATGATCTGGTAAGATAGAGAATAGTTTATACATTCCTTTATAAAAATCAAAAATAAAGAAAACATTTTCGAATTCTAGCTAAGGGGACAAATGTATCTAACAAACTGCTATAAACATCCTTTGGATAAAATAAAACTTAATATTTTTAAAAGTGAAATCTCAACTCTATCTGCAATGAATAAAGCAAAAAGGTAAGTACGGAAAAGTTAAATAATAAAGAAATGCTTGAGGGTATAACTGATCATTAAAATATTCGAAAGAAATGTCATGAAATCAATTGAAAAGGGAGATGTTTTAAGAATGAGATTCAGTGAAATGTCAGACACCAATATATCCTATTGTTGTAACAGGTTTGTTTGATAGCCATGGTGATGTCATCAAAACAAAATAGTCCTGACCTTCCCTTGCAATGTATTCACGATGCATTTCAGAGGTGCAGCCAGGACCTAGAATTAGGTTCAAGGCAAATACCGCTAGGTGAGGTAAATATAGCTAGGTATCTAAGGTATGGTATACTCGACTCAAATGACTTATAATAAACCTGTTTTAGCAAACACTTCTCTCTGGTGAACACCTGTCTATGTATATTGAACAAATGTTCAATATATCTGTACATAGGTTTTACTGTTCTAAATGTTAAATCATAGTTTCAACTTGCAAAGGCAATTGCTTCATGTTGCTCCATTTGCAATTGCTTCACCTGCCTCATTTCTAGCTTAGTCCATACCTTTGATTCAAATATACTGTCCTATCTATTGGCAGGAATAGCTCCAACTACCTGCTATTATCTTCTGACCTGGCCCCCCCAGATTCCATTTATTTGAACAAAATGTGAACCATATTAGAACAAATTACAAGACTTTGGGTTTATATGAAGAGATTTACCCCTCTGATGGTAATAAGTCAAAGTATAACACACATGAGCACTGCATTTTTTAGATTCATGCACTTGAAATGTTTGAGGAATATTAGATTTTTGAATTTAGAAAACAAACATGAAGTGAAATATACAAGTATTGTTGAACTTTTTGACAGTTTTATCAATAGAACATGTGCTCTTGAAAATCAAATATAAAACTGACATGAAATATTTGTTTGAAGGATTTTGTAGAAATTCGCTTTTGAATACTGTAAAATCAGACATTTTTGTGTTTAGCTTAATTTCATATAAACAACACCAATAGTGCAACATAGCCTTAAGGAACTTACTTAAATGAGATTAAAAGAGATTTCTCTCCTAAGCCCAATCTAAGGAAATATTATGAGGCAAAATTATTGTAAAAAATTATATAAACATACAATGTTCATATTAAAACTGATAACATGACAGGGTTTTCATATACAAGACAAATGTATTTACAGTTTAAGCTTTCTAAAAGAAACCTCTGTTTATGAAATGGTTTTAAAAGAACCCTCTCAGCAAGGAACACCTTTCTACAAGGAACAATTCTGGCCAGTACTGCGAGTGTTCGTTCCATATAAACAGATTTTACATTGCTCATAACATGTCTTCAATATTCCTTTAGCATGTCAAAGTTACCTTACCTAAGAAATTCCAAGCAATTAGTCCATGAATATCAATAAAGACAGCTAAGTACCCTTTACAAAGAGTTTTACTCTACATCTCTAAAAGAGACTTTCATCTGCACTCTTTCAACTAAAAATAATCATTTATTCTAGCTTTTTTTATCAGAAGCAAGTTAAAACTCTAACAAAGTACTAATGCAATGCCAAAAGTGCACTTTTATTGAATATCTGCAGAGGATAACATTTGAATGCTAGCTTATTTGTGCTAGGGTAGAGGGTAATGTAACACAACTCATTATGGTAAAGAGGTAAATCAATATCTTGTTTTCATAATTTATAAGGCTTTGGATGAAATGCTATGATCAAGGTAAAGTGCTGATAAAGAAGACTGGAAACCTGAAACAGGAGACTGAGTATGGAAAATGGGAACAATGGGCAACATTTTGAAAACAAGAATTGAAGAATAAGAAGGGTTTATCATTAGAAACTGAAGTTACAACCACAGTGAGCATTCTAGTTGAAAGTCCATTTTAAAATATTTTCTCCAGTTACTTTGTGCTAAGTGTTGGTTGTTCAATATCCTAGTGAAACTCCTGAATGCTGTACAAATGATAGGAATGGTCAGAGCCCTCTGGCAGGGGACTGACAACATGATTTTCATGGGATCCATTTTTTAAATGGAACGCATTATTTTTGAATTGTTGGGACCTAAGAATTTCGTTTAATTTTTGGCATCCGCCTAATGTATACCACTTACTTTTTATTGATTCTTTCATAAGTTTCATCATAAACTCAGTTTGACCAGAAGTATCTTTGTTGCCGCTCGATGTCCCTTTTCTAATCACCCGGATGTGCGGCTTACTTGGACTCACCCAAAACGAGGGGTGTCAAATGCAAGATGGTAGAGATGCAGACATGTCGCCACTCTCAGAGAATCTTTTCCATAATTTCAACATTACTACGCGGTTTTACAAGCGAAAAGGATAAGGGCAGGTTGTATATAGGACTGGACAAGATGAAAATAAATATTCTAAATAGATAACACCCCTTTCGAAATAAGATGAACTGAACCTATCAAGTCACTGATTTCTTAGAAGAAATTACGTCAGAAAAACAAAAGCTCCGTAGAGAATTTTCCCTTGAAATGTTGAAAATGAGCCCAGTTTTCTATGGGAATACAGTGTATACTGTAATTAATAGTTACGTGTACAATATTACCGAGTTCAATGGTGCATAAGTTAGGTGGTGGATCATTTTGTAAGTACGACAATGTGAATTCATGCGACTGTTACTTTTTGGAAGGTTTTTTGCAAAAAAGTCAAGTGACTGAAAATCTTAACAAAGGACATTGCAAATGATAGCACTGCTTATCTCAAAAGATATGCAAAAATACTGAAAAATCATAATAGACCCTCCTCGAAGATCGGGACACAAAGTACATGTAATTATAATATGGTATATTGTTCACTGCTGACAGAAATGTGTTATTGGCACCCTGATGTGATTCATTTAATGGAACAATGGTAGATATTAAAGGTATTCATAATGCAAAACATGTGAATCACAAAGTCATACCAAACAAATCTCAACACAAAATAATGTTAAGTTCATTTGTACCAATCATATTATGTATATAATCCTTAACCCTGTTCTAATTCAAACTGAATCAATATATTGATTCAGCACTTCACAAATAGGGACATACATAAGTAACAATAACATGAGACATTCCTTACTCTGTTAAATTCTCTTTCAGAAAAGTGTACATGTACTGTACATAAAGGTGGGATGGTTAAAAGTGTAAATATTAAAGCCAGCAAGATGTTTATAGCGAGGTATTGATTGATAAGGTGGTATTGTTCCCTGTTGTAGCAGGTAGCCAAAACACTGCTAAGCTCTACAACATATGGAGAAATCCCTTGAAAAAAATATCAAATAGATGTTTTGAAATACAAATAAGACAATTTAAAAAAGTGGAATCTACAATGAAAAAAGGAAAAAACATAAACTTGACATTTCAAATTATATAAAAATGACAGAAAATTAGATATATCATCTTAATCGAAAAGAGAAATAGAAAATAATCATCTAATACATGATTGCCATGAGATTTTTGACATAGGTAAAAGCATTAAATCATGAGTTTAATGACTGCATTTGGTTAATGATCAATTTTTCAATATCTTACAAATGATACTTTGTTAATTCACCTGGCTGCTGCTGTAGTTACAGATTGTCACACCCCAAAACATGACAAAACAAAATATACAATGTTTATCACATTTTTCATCATTGTGAGTTAAATGCCCCACGAAAAATATAAACCACTTTGATTTTATTGGAGTCTTACCAAATAATATCAAAAACTGACACCCAAAATAATAAATTTAGGGACTAAAATCTGCTTCTCCCGACATAATCTAGGCAATTTTGGTAACAAACTGGCGTTACTGACTGGGCATTATCTTTTTAATTCTGGGGCTCCAAGCTTTATATAATAAAGAGGGACTCTGATAAATCAGATAATAGTATCCCATCCAGGCATTCATTATATCTGACTTTATACTTATACCACATGTACGAAGAGATATATTTCTTAAACACCTAATTGGAGAGTGGAGAAGAATGGTTCTCCCTCTGAAGATATCAATGGGATGTGTATGTGAAATCTGGCGCTGATGAAAAGTTTGAATCGGAGTTAAACTGAGATTTTTAATTATTTTATGATGAGGCTAACATTGGCAATCAAAAACATCGCTGGCTAAAATCAGCTGTATTATTTGCCGTGAATATTTCAAAGTACTTTTAAAGCATAACTTTACTTCATCAACAAGTACTTGTCTGGATAAGATATGAACTCTGGACTCAAGGTATGAGAATTGAGAAAAACTTGTTTTTGAATTTGAAGCAAACCAAACCCCCTTATAGTGAGATATTCAAGGGTAGTAATGCTAATTTTATCATCATTCTAAAATGAACAACATTTTGTTTATTTTGTCTATGGACTCCTCCTTGACACCAAACTACTAGTCACGCGCACTTTTTAACCAGATCTGAAGTCAACAAATATGTTTAGTGTTATTTTCAATTTCATGGTCATTTATAAGTATAAATACCCTCAAAGATACTCTTATCAATAGTTTAATTTTGTTATTTAAAAGACAGCTTCAGCTGCCAATTAGCCTTCTGGGCTTTGGCGGTAATAACAAGAGATATAAAAACCAATGGTTGAAACTCAAACATTTCATAACGTAGTAAAATACACACTGGGAACATAAAAACCCCCTCACCAAGCTCAAACCATCGAGCAGAAAATCATAAAAAGTCCCCCTCTTGCCTTTTCCCCTGCCCCCCCCCCCCTTCCCTTACTCTTTTTATCAAAACTACTATGCTAAATAAGGCTAATATTATATATAAATACGATATTATAGCATATGCAACTACTGTATGTTTTCTTTCTACAATATTGTATTTGTACAACTTTTTATACAGAATAAAAAAAAAAAAAAAAAAAAAAAAAAAGAGATATAAAAACTTGAAGATTGAACAGAACCAAAGAAAGAATGTTTCTAAAGGTTAAACATTTTGCTGTCTAAATTCTGAGAAAATTTGGAAGATAAAATATGTTAATTTTTCATGATTTATCTTATTTTCAAGTTGGTGGACTGAGTTTTCAGATGGATGTAAGTTTTTTAAGCCGAAGTTGGTGGTGTTCCCGTTTTGCTACTGTTGTGCACTTTCAATATGTATATAGATAATGCATATTCAAACTTATTTCTCTTATGATAATAGATTATCAATTAAAAAATGAGAGTCTGATTTGTAAAACAGGTTTCTAAAATTACCTTTTTATCTTTAAGTTTGACAAAGTTCAACAAGAACATGGGAAGGTAGAAAATCAGAATCTGCTTCCTTTCTTCCGAGAAAAGATATTATTATTTGACCTGGTTACTGAAATAGGGCAAGAATTGTGTCTTTTTATATCACCATAAAAATTGCTGTTTAAAATTATGATTTGATAATATTTCAATAGATATTAACTCACTGGTACTAACAGTTCCTATTTTCGTCGTTATCATGTTTTCGCAAATTATAATATTTTCTTGGGCAGGGGGTTCAACATGTCAAAAAGCTATGTGAATTTAGTGCTTTAACTGATAATAGTTCAACTTTATAGTTGTGAAATACCTGATCTGACCTTATAAAAATTCCACTTGATAGTACCACATGCACAGACATTATCAATGAATCTGTAGTGGTCAGTGTAGTACGAGATTTTAGCACATTGTGACAAGGTAACCATAATTGACCAGGGGTCAGTTCACCAATATATCACACCCTTTTCCTGAAAAATTAAAAAGGGGCCATAATCTTGATTGTAAAACTGAATGGGTGCCAATATCTCAACTGTTTTGTTTACTGGTTGCCATTACGTGATGATAAATGGTATGAACTTTTGAAATATTGACATCTGTACCCATCCTCCATTCTCAGCAAGATTAGCTAAACATTGATAATAAATATCAATTTGGTTTGAGGCCTTTGATAGAATCCTAAGAGTATAAGTTATATCCAATAGCTGGCTTTGTGGATCTTAATTATTTATAGAAATCAGAAAAATGTTCAAAACAACATAGAAGTCAAGTTATTTTTGTCACAAAAATATATTTGCACTTGAAAAGCTAGGCTCAGTTCCTATTTATAATCTTATAAAACATTCTTTCATATATTAGTTGAAAAACTTTTACAAACCTTGAAATTTTCAAGAAAGAAATATATTTAACAGAAGGGTATTAATATTGCAAATTGCATGCTACACGGAATAAAAATAGAGTATTTTAGAGTCAAGGCTTTTTAGATTCTGTTATTTTTATATTTTCAGCTGTTTTTCAAAAATAAAAGGTTTAAATCTTCTAATATCTAATTACAATGATATAAAAATATTCTGTTTTATACAGCTGGCCAATGGTCAATGGTCAGTGATATGTCATTGACCTGCAGTATAGTACAATAGTAAAAACTTTTATATGTTTCGAATACATGTAAATAGACATGTAAAAAACATTCTATTACATTCACTAATTAGAAAATAAGGAGAGGCAGGAAGTGAAAAGTTGTCAAAGAGATTGGTTTATAAACTTTATTATTTTAAACTTTTTACAATTTCGTAACACAACATGTGCATTCAAGGACAACTCATTTTTTTATCTTTCAATCATCATTAATGACAGAGTACAAACTAATCAAGTTCAACAAAAAACTTGTGACGTTAAATCTATAGTAGCCAATCATACCAGCGAAAATCTACCAGCAATCTGATACAAGATGAGGACTGAAAATTGATAAAATATAGATATAAAAATTCACCTTGAAACAAAAGTTTTATTTATTTTAACACTTCGACTGAATCATAGACAGGTAAATCACGACTCTCTATTTAATTTAGCACTTCAACTTTTTTACAGATAAATATGCAATGTTTTAAATTTTCTTAAATGACTAATCTCATTTCTGCTTAAATTATACATTTTTCTAGGTTTGCTTGTTCACTCTGCTGTGACATGACATGGAAATTTTTATTATTAGCATAACAGCTAATATACTATATATAACTACAATGCAATTATATGCAGTACACGTACATATCTGTTTCTTGGTATTTACAATGAAGAGCAAAAATATACACTACTACAGGTTCACCTTAACATTATCTTATGAATCTATAAGTAGCCTTGTTAGTTTAACAAATACATATAGGTGCACTGTCAGCCGGATTTAATATTCAGCTGAACAAGGAAGCTATTTAAGCAAAATTCGAAGAATATCCCTGTCATCATTCCATTGCTTTATTAGATGTATATTTGTAAACAATTTTAGGAATCATGAATGATTAAAACTTAAAATGATTGACAAAACTTAAAAATGTAACTTGAAAATTTAAGATAGCAGAGACAACTTATACAAAATTACAATTACAGGTACCCTGCATATACTATAGCAAAGGCTTTCTTTAAGTCAGCTCAGTAAAATAAGATAATGAAACCATTAGTAAGTGATCAGATTTCTAAGAAACATAATTATGAGAATCCTGCTATAGTAACACCAGACATTTGATATCTTATTAATCATAACATATAACTATTGCACTGTGTGACTATTCTATTTTACGAGGTCTATTATATCAAACTACTATTAAATGAGCTTTGATTTTTTAATAGTAGTGACATCTGCTGCTTTGAAACAAATTAAACTATTAAAGGTTTTGTTTTGAAAATCAAGTTTACGAGTGTATAAAATCTAGAATTGTAATTGAGAGATATGAAAGATCACATCAGGTTATCTCTATATTTATAAAAATGATGATAATAGGAGATAATAAGAAAGTGTATCCAAGGACATAATATCTAATATGATCAATCGAGCAACTGTGTCTCAATAATAATTACTATTTAACACTCTCAGCAAATAATAAGATGGTGTAAGTGACAATAGATATTAAAATTATGTTATTCTAAATTGAGTCTGAAGTACTATACTGGCAAATACATGTGCACATGATGACTTATAAACAATGCAAGATAAATTCTGGAAATTTATAAAAATCAAATCTATTCGATAGAAAAGGGAAAAATTGATTAAAATAAGTCATGTGTTAATTAATCTTATCATGATGTCATTGATTATTTTTATATTGAAGTCAGTTTTCAAAACAACAAATCACTCAAATTGCAAAACACAATAGCTTTAAGCTACCTGACTGAGATGGTTGTTTTTCAATATGTCAGCTACATGTGTGTAAAGTATAAAACACTCTACGAATCGTGACATTATGATTGTTTTATGTCAATATGGTATATGTACATGCTAACTTTGATTGCCTACTTGACACGACTTCTAAGTAAAGAACATGATTTTCTTCTCCAGAAACATGATCATCCCTAAAAGTCTCAGATGTTAGGGTTGACTCCAATCATATTCTTGTTCTGAAACAATTGAGCAACTGACTTGACTCTTAACTATCTGATACAAGGATCGGTAGCTAAGCAACTGACCCACTTCTAACCGATGATAAAACGTATTTGTCATTACACAAAAGCTGTTCCTCATAACCGTCTATTGAAGCAGCTTATTCACTTCATTCTACATTAGAATATAAAAGAGCTACGCTTGGATTTGTTGAATTTCATACTCTCAGTCTCTTCAGCTCTTGCTGCCTTGGCTTGCGCAGCAAGTTCATAGGGCATAGGCTAGCGGTTTAGTTGGAGAGTTTAGGTCCAGCCAAAACTATATATCAGAATTGTAGTAACCATATATTATTCTTAATAGAAAATTCTAAAAGCATAACTTGATTTCTGCAACATACTCACTCTGATTATACTCAATTTAAAATTCATCACACCTGAGCTGAACAGGTGGTTGAAAAGTTGTCATTTTCTTTCAGTTTTCTTCATACTGTTTAGTAATTTTCTACAATAAAGTGAGATAGCTTACCATATTTCTTTGTGTCTTGTTTTTCGTTGGACTCTTCATTATCTTTAGGATCCGAATCTTCTACCTTTTTCCCCATATTTATCTAGTTATCCAGTGAAACGTTGGAGAATAATTTCTAATTTTTCTATTTCTTGTTTGTAATCTTGTAGTCACGTGACAAATATCTGGGAAACGATTGGTCACTAGGTCAACTCTGACGTCATTTTCATGAGTCGTGACGACCTTGCGGTACAAATCTGGCGATAACTTTTGTTTTATCAATCCTAAGTATGATACGCAATAAAGAGAAGCAAACATACTATTTTTAATATAAATAGGTCATATCTTTACTTTGAAGCAATTGACTATTGTCATATACGTTTGAATTATATTTCGCCAAAAGATCTACCGCAGAGACGCCCTTACTTTAACCGGAAGCTGTGATCCGAGGGGTAAACTTTTGTTTTTCTCACAAAAACTGCTTATATCTAATAGTCTCATATCATAATTGTCACGGGCATATATGTATCTATTAAGATTTTTTATTGTGTATCAGGTCAATGTGATTTGAAGTTCTACGTGAATGCCATTCGTGCAATAATTGAATATAAATTTTTTATTGTGTAACTTTAAAAAACCTCCAGTCAATCGTGTATTCAAATGATAAACTTCACTTCCCAGCTTCACTAGCCTTGAAGAAGGCTTTAGCATTTGTTGATTTTTAAAATTTGGATTTAAAAATCAACAAATGCTAAAGCCTTCTTCAAGGCTACAGCTTCACTATCTTATTTCTTCACTGGTGATCTGCTCGATTAACAAAATGTTGGAACCTCGAAGGTTTTTCTTTTTCCTTATTCCACACGTTGTAGGCAAAATTCACATGACATTTTTATAACAGATAACAAGCATGTATCACTATCAGTATCGTATGTCTCAAAAATTGTACATGTTTACTGCATTTCTAATTCTAACCGATTCCGTTTACGTAACTTAATCGTACCTTCATAACCAGCGTAATTGCGTGGATCACCGGTGTTCTTATCTTCACTGACTGAGTGACTCTGAGAGCTATTTACAGTTACACTTTTCATATGGTGTATTATATATAGTGTAACGACCTTTGATAGTAAGTTGCTACTACAGTCCAGGTGTAGTGGCTTAAGGTGCCATGATACTTAACAGGAAATGACAAAACAGGAAGTGACAAAACATTTTGCATCATTTTTAGACATTTTTTGAACAAAGATAACAGAGTTCTGTTTTGACCTCCAGTCAATTCAACCAAGGGCGAAAGTAATACCTGGAACGTTCGCAGATTGGTTCGGTTTTTTACCGCATCCGATTTGAATTAGCCAATAAACAAATAGGGGTGTGATAACTTGAAATTTTTTCTGACGATGTGTCTTACCCCCCTAGCTCCTACTTTTAGCTATTTTTCAGTCACATTTTCACAGTAGGATCACACAATCACATTAAATGTTAATAAAACAAACATGTCAGTCTAAAATAGGACTGAAATGTTGCTAAAATTTCAAAGTGTTTGTACAAAACCTAAATTGAGAAGATCTAATGATTTGTTTCAGAAGATGAAACTGAGCCAAATAGCACGAGTAGGCCTGCGGGCCATGTCTACCTCTGCAAAGCCAGCACCTTCAGCCGGGGTAGCATCCACACAGGGCTACAACTTTAGCAAGTATTTTCAGTAAAGTACAATCTCAGTAGGTCAATCTTTATCTGTCATGCATTGTTTTTATTGTATAATGACCTTTGATAGCAAGTCGCTACTACAGTCTCGTCTGAAATGGCTTAAAGTGTGCGCCAAAATTTAAAACTGCGCAGGCGCAGCGCTCTCGCTAACCTATATAAAGAGATTACAGGGTACAGGCTTCAGAGGTAAGCCAGGAAGGTGTACAACTATCGTTCCGTGTTGATTTCCCGTATAATCGTAACCAGGCAAGTTTCAACATTTGAATTGAAAATAGCTATTAGATATACTTTGTAGATGTTTTATATGAAGGTATTAAGTGTATGCATCAATCAAATGGCTCATTTTGAACATATAAAAAGTATTTGTGTTTTGTTTCCCAGGGAATTGTATGCCCATGTAGTACACACATAAATAGTGTACATTATGTTGTACTTGAATAGCCTGGCTTATATAATATTGAAGGGCATGCTAATTGTACACACGAGTACATGCATGAAGGCCTAATATTGATATTGCTTGCATACCTAAGAAAAAAATAAACTCTTCTAATCCCCTAATCTAAACACGGCGGTATACGTAACCCGATTTATCGTGGGCTTTAAGCCTTTTAGCTTAATCGGTAGAGCATCAGGCTCGAGAGCGGAAGGTCCTGGGTACGGTCCCCGTACTGGGCATTGAATTTGGCACACTCCCTTTCGGGTCTAGTATCTGGGCCATTACATTACAGCTCCCCGACGGACATACCCAAGTTTCGTTACAATAATTGTATTCAAAAAGTTACCATTGTCATTAGCTTTAAAGGTAAAATCAGATAAAAGTTATTTGAACCATTTCTACCTAAATTGAGTTAATGAATCAATTGTTTGGAAAATAATTAAGAAATGCTTGATTTGATTCACATCAGTTGGAAATAATAGTATTTGTTTACAAAATTTGAATTATTGGTGAGAGAAAACAATTTATCTTCCTAATGTTATCATACTCCAGGTCCTTCCACAAATGGAAAAAACAGAAAAACTAAGATAGGCTAACTTAGATTTCTTGTATTTCCAGCCCTTACAGAGGAACAAAAAGAGTTTCAACAAATGGCAAGAAAATTTGCAAGGGAAGAGATATTACCCAAAGCTGCCTACCATGACAAAACAGGAGAGGTAATTATTCAGGGAAGGGGGTCAGAAATTGTAATAAACAAGTGATTCCTTTTGGACAAATGTTTGGAAGACCAGCAGTATTAACCAGTACTAATTATCTACACAATTGGTGAATAATCTAGTCTTGTTAATAGCCCCATGGTTTGGGATAGGGGAGTTCAGAGATGCAGGACTACATCATATAGGTCTAGAGGAATTCATATTTTTAAAATGTTCATTTTCTTCATTTCAATATTCATTTTGTACCTTATAATGTTTGGAACATTACCAAAACATTATAAGGCACAAAATGAATATTTTGTCAACTGACACTTTGAGTGGTGTCTGAAAGTCCAGGTTTGGACCAGGTCTGATTAAAAATTTTGGCATTTTGGGAATCTTTGGTGATAAAATGACATTATGAAAATTACAAGGTACTGTTTCTTATTTCAGTATCCTGCAGAGATCTTAGACAAAGCTTGGAACCTTGGTTTGTTAAACACACATATACCAGCAGAATATGGTAATTATATTTTATGTTGAGAATTATACAATTTTTGCTTGTCCTGTGAAAAATCACTGCTGTATTTATTACTTCATGATGACTGAATCTATAAGTGACCACTATCTCAGGAATTTGTTTGGATTCATGTCATGAAACTTAATTAATAGAGAATTCAGTCACTTGCAAAATGAATTGATCTTCCTTTGTATTTAACTGTATTTTAAGTGACTTTATACTGCTTCAATAATGTTTTTTTTATAATTTTAGGTGGGTTAGGTCTAGGGACATTTGATGGCTGCATGTTAGCAGAAGAATTAGCATATGCCTGTACTGGAATAGCAACTGCAATAGAGGCCAATACTCTTGGTGTAGGTTTAAAACTATTTTGATGTTTAATGAAAATAGAAAATCAGATCTTTTATCTCACTTAAAATGTTATTGATCATCATATAATCATACTACAATTTCTAGAGTAAGGTTTTTAACCAGTTAGAAAATGGAAAAAATATTGATGTAGGAATTATCCTTGGGGAAAATATACACATGCCACACTCATTCTTGTGGTCCCTTTGGTGATGCATAATCTTCCCTCAATACAGGATAAATACCATATGCAAAGTCTCACATTACATAACCCTCATATATCCATGTTTCTATGTAATGGTAGGAAATGCCTGTTATCCTTGCTGGAACTGATGCTCAAAAGAAGAAATATCTCGGGAGAATGTTAGAAGAGCGTCTTATGTGTGTAAGTTGAAATATGTTTTTGCTAAATGTATATCTGCAGTTGCTATTCTGTCACTTGGGAGTAATTGTTCATTGAATTTTTGAATCTGATTCATCCAGATGAAAATATAATTTTGGAAACTACATAGATCTACCATGTCTACACAATGATAACCTAAATATTTTTGAAATTTATTCCAGGCATATGGTGTAACTGAACCAGGTGCTGGCTCTGACGTAGCAGGAATCAAAACCAGAGCTGTGAAAAAAGGTGATGAATACATCCTTAATGGACAGAAAATGTGGATAACAAATGGTGGAGTTGCCAACTGGTATTTTGTCTTAGCTAGAACAGATAATGATCCCAAATGCCCAGCTGGTAAGGCGTTCACCGGGTTCATAGTTGATGCTGACTCACCAGGGGTCACAAAAGGCCGAAAGGTGAGAAGGGAACTAAATTCCGGGTATCGATATTGCAATATTTTTTCAAAAACATCTTAATTAACTTTTCAAATCCTAAAAAGTAGTGCATAATTGTATGTGAATAAAAACTACATGTAACTTTCTTAAAATGTTCATGAGACAAAACAGATTTTCCTTTCTTACATCAACTTAAAATTATATTGTCTCTAAGCTTATAACGTAATATACTGAGTTCATATGTTCTTACAAAGGGGTCTGTAATGCTATGCTTTGTTTTGTTTCAATTAAAAAATGTATATCCATATTTACATTGTAATAATGTTAACAGAATATTATGGGTTCATTTCACTAAAAATTGATATCTACTTTTGGACCTATAATAATAACAGAATATGGGTTTTATTTTATTAAAAAAATGATATCCATTTAACTTTCTACATGTAATGTTTACAGGAGATTAATATGGGTCAGAGAGCCTCAGACACAAGGGGTATCACATTTGAAGATGTAGTGGTCCCAGCTGAGGTATGTATATGAAATGCATGAAAAAATGCATGAAATGCATGAGTGCCATGCGCTCATTAGTGACATGTTTTAATTGAAAATTGTTAAATTAATGGGGTCTTGTGCCATATCCTCGATGAGTATTTTTATACATACAAATAGTACAAAATTCTTAACTAATTTTTAATTCTATTTTATAAGATATTTTGTACAAATCGACCCAAAAATACTTTGTAATACACTGTAATACTCAGTGGTAGAATTGCACTTGTGGTCATTCACATTTAACGGTTATTGATTTTGTTGTTTATGCCAAAATATTTGTTTTCCTAGAATGTCCTGGGTCAGGAAGGAATGGGCTTCAAGATAGCTATGGGTGCATTTGACAAGACACGACCCCCTGTAGCTGCTGGTGCTGTAGGACTTGCGCAAAGGTGTCTAGATGAAGCTACCAAATACTCAATGGAGAGGAAAACCATGGGCAAATACATTTGCGAGGTATGTTAAAGCAAGCAGGTCGTCCAAAGGCACAATTAGAGTAACCCCTCTGGTATTTTCGTGTTATATTATGTAAAACAAGTATTCATATCGACTTACCAATGTTGGGGCTTCAGACAATTCGTTAACGGTATCATTTTGATGATTGTTCTCAGCCATAAATTCATCCTGCATCAACTTTTATTCGACAAATGTTCGAAATAAAATTGAAATAGCCCATTTCAATGTGCTCCGTTCTGTGATTGGCTTCCTGGGCTCAATATCCGGCAACCGATTGTATTTGCCAAGACCGAGGACGGAAAGTTTGATGCTCAATAAAACATCGTCATTTATTAAATCTGATGAAAAAACCTTAAAAAAAACATACATTTCAACAATAACAGTCGTATATATTGATCATTTTGAAATAAAAGAAGCGCACTTATATTACTTTTTTTTCAATTATTTATATTGTTGTAAAATTTGACAAACTTACATGCAGTGATCCTGTGGCGCAGTAGGTAGCGCAGTAGGTAGCGCGTCGGACTTCTTTCCCTATATTTTGTCCAAAAGGTTGGGGTTCGATTCCTGGCTTGGCCAATCTTTTTCTTTTTTTTATCACAACCTATTTTTATCCTTTGGGAATATTATTTTAATAAATAAAAAGGGTTTTACAATATAAATTCATCTAAAAAAACTGTATGTTGTTTTAGACTTATTGTGTTCTAGACATTTGGTTGTTCTTTGGTTGTCCTGTTGATTTTCTCAATATATTGGTAAAACTGTGCTCAAAATATATCTAAGGCATATATGATAGATGTTATATGAGCAGTTATATTAGGACATATTGTTTTCCGGGAGAGAAATCTGGACGATCCGATCCCTTTAAGCTTGGAGGAAATGTAGAATGTTACTCGACTTTTTGGTGATTTTGAAGTCAATGATTGTCTTCACTTCACAATTCAAAATCATCTTCCTGCAGTAATTTGACACCACCTTCTAATTCGCCTCAATTTGTTTCTCAAAACTTATTCTCTCAAAATCAGAAAATTAGGGTGATGAAAATTTTTTTAAGGAATTTCAGTCACAAAAAATAACGAGTGGCAACTTACACCTCCTCTGAAGTATAGAAATTTAGTGAAGAGGCTCGTCTTGCTTTCTAAATGTTGGAAGATTTATTTGTGGAAATGTTTGAAAATGGAATTTGGAATTGAAAATGGAATTAAATGGAACATAATTTGTGATTATTATATAGATTACTGTGACTAATAATTACAATTAAACATTAAATTGTTTGAATTGTATTGCATCATGTAAAATGAAATCTACCACTATTAATGCTAGAAAATTGAAAAAAAAAATTGATCAGTGATTGATCAGTGAAAAACCATGTATTCCATTGAGTCCAGGGTCTTGAAGCAAGACTACATTGATTTATTTACTCATCAAATTGTTTGATTGAATAAATGATTGTTTAATTGAATTATATAAAATATAATTAGAGTGGATGAAGCTTTTCATATCTTAAACCATGCATTTTTATGTCACCACCACAAGTTGGGACATATTGGTATAGTCTCCAACTTTTTTGTGGATGGTGTTTGCTGTTGGGCAATCAGCGTTTGGCATTTGTTATAAATGGCAGGTGGTGACATTTTGCATGTTAATGCCTTGTGAGAAATCTGAAATAAAATGGCTATACATGTAGCGTAATATCATGTAATTTACTTGTAGCATCAAGCTGTTGCATTCATGCTAGCTGACATGGCAATAGGCATTGAATCCACAAGGCTTGTGATGCAGAGATCCGCCTGGGAAGTGGACCAGGGACGTCGTAATACATACTACGCTTCAATTGGAAAGTGTCTTGGAGGTGATGTTGCCAATAAATGTGCAACTGATGCAGTGCAGATATTTGGAGGCAATGGGTTCAACACTGAATACCCAGTTGAGAAACTTATGAGAGATGCAAAAATATACCAGGTTTGTTGAAGTTAATCATTTTCTCTCCCTGTAGACTAGAGGTACCATGTCATGTTCCCTTTTACTCCAGTGTCACATTTGAATGGATGTGATGCACATTTACATAGTATATGGGGATACACTTACCAAGACTTACGTTTGAGTGTCACCTTGAGGTCAATGGTTGATTCATTATTCAAAATACGAGTAAATTTATTGACTATGATACCATTTGCTAATGTAAGTGTGTTGTTGATTACATTTTCATGATATTATGAACCTTACCTGTGAAAAACAAATTTAGAAATTGTCTTATTTATATGTGATTTAGGACAAGAAGATTTTGTGTAAAAATATATGCCAGAGGTTTCATGTTTTTTATTTTTAATTGTTAAATGGTAGCACTTGTAGTAATTTCAACCAGGTGATGACATTTTGTCCAATTCTGACTTGTATTTTGATGTTGTTATTCTGGAATTATTATATATTAATGAAAAAATATGCAAACAAATGATTATTTGCTGTTCTTTCAGATTTATGAAGGAACTGCCCAGATTCAGCGAATGATCGTATCAAGAGAAATCCTAGCCACAGCCAAGCAAATGGCTGGCTATTGATAAAACCAGGAAACATGGGAACTCAACACCTCCATTGGTTATTACAGAAGAATAAACAACAGACATTCCACTCAGCCTCAAAATGGAAAATTCACTAGATACACTCAGCCAGTTTTTTTACACCCAGACAGTTGTAATAAGCACATATTCTTTGTGGAACTTCAATTTCAAGGACAAAGAAGGATATCAAATTATCAAAACTGAACAGTAATTTTATGCTTCACATTTGCAATTTTCACCTTACATCCTCTATAGCAGAGACTCACTTTTAAGTTCTTGTGTATTAATCAATGTAGTGTGGTGCAAAGTATTATACAAGTCTCTCAATAGGTTTGTAGAAATGATATTATAATTATATTTGGGGAAATTCTATATTTCTAACTATACTGTTTAGTAGATTACAATTAAAAGCGATTGTAAATATTTATAATCTTTTTGTTAATAGCTGCCTATATTTATTCATAACATATGATTTTCATAATTGTTGTTTAGGTTTACAGCTATACTAATTGCAAAGAACAATGCAACTGTTTTGTTTTGTAAATGTATACACTTACCATATTACAGTATTATGCCTCAGTCACATTTGATCTATTAGGCAACCATAACATAGCCATAGCTTCCGTAGCATAAAATATATGGATAAGGGATATTATGTAGATTTTCTATATCAATTTTGTGAAGCTATTGGCCTCCATAGAGCAAATGTGACCAAAGCTTAATGTTATGTTCATCTTGCATATAACCCATGAACCGAGTTTCATAAAATGACGACATTAATTGTTAATTTTATTACCTGGGCTTCAGATTATGGACAATATGTAATTGTGAACTCATATTTTGGTGCAATTTCCATGACATCTTTGCATAATTTTGTAAATCTATATTTTCTGTCTTCCTCCCTGTCATTATGTCCCTCTCTGCTTCCTCTAAATAATATAGGAGTGGGGTAGGGAGAGCAAAGTCAGGACACACCAGGCTGATTTTGGCACAATGCACTTTAGTCAAATTCACATTTACAAGAAAAGTTTATCTGCCATCTCATAGAAGAGTTTTCTATATCACGCGATACTAACTTCGTCCGTTAATTTGAATTTTTGACATACCGGATGTTTGAAAATCAAGGATTGCGAGTCTCATACTGCACCGTTTTTCTTTAAACTTATACCATTAAAAGCAAAACAAAATTGCCTTTCTGTCGGTGCATTACTTTATTGTAAAGAGTTCCTCGTTCTAGCAGCATTTTGGTCCCCAGCTGTTAGAAGGTGTTCTTACAGCTGTGGACCAAAATGCCGCTGGAATTAGGGACTCTGTTTAGAAGAATAATGTACCAACAGAGAGGGATTTTTGTTATGCTTTGAATGGAACAAGTTTGAAGAAAAACGGTGCATTATTGAGACTCGTAATCCTTGATTTTCAAACATCCGGTAGGTCAAAAATTCAAATTAACGGTCGAAGTTAGTACCGCGTGTAAATGACATTTTGGTTCTTTTATTTTAGACAGTTTTATCAGAAATAAAAATAGATTTGGACAAGAAATAAAAGGTGCATTCATGGACATGTAAATACATTTTATATGTCTCTTGTTAATTGTAGATGTGCCATGTACACTATAAATAATCAAAATCTGTTACCTTTGTCTTTAACTGTAAATATGTACTGGAATATGATTATACACAATACAGTGAAATATTATGATTGAAAAAAAAATTGTTGTGATGTTGTATTGGGTATGGGAGTCTTAACAGTTTCAGATTTCTTGTTGCCTTTTTGGTTTTAACGCATACTGCATGATGTCATTGTATAACTGGTTCCAAAATTAACATGGCATAGATATGCTTTTATCACATGGAGAGGTATGCTTATATTATGAGTATGTCAATTTAAATCTAACTACAATATTCTATTACAAATGCAGAATACAAAATGTGAGTGGTATATGCTATTTTCCATTACAAAATAATGCAATAAGTTGTAAAATGCTTTAAAATCAAATCCTATGGAGTGAGAGCCATCTATATAACATTTGCAACACTCAAATGGCCAGATTGGACCTCTGTGGTAGTCTTGGCTCAAGCCTCTGTGAATGTGACTTCACCTCCACACGATTTTTAGATGATGGGGGAGAGGGCCAGAAAACTTGATGCAAGACTATACCAGAATTTATTACCATGCGTCACAGTGGCATAGTCAGGAAGAAAAACCAAAAAGGTTAAAATATTTCCAAACCTGTTAAAAAAGTGATGAGGAAAGTGCCTCCACTCCCTTATCCTAGCTACGCTACTTACGTGTGGCTTCATCATGGAGAAACCAACTTGTGAGATACATTTGCATATTTCCAAAATCGATAAAGTTATACAATTAATTTACAACCATGCAGTCCTAACTTCGACCGTTAATTTGAATTTTTGACCTACCGGATGTTTGAAAACAAGGATTATGAGTCTCATACTGCACCGTTTTTCTTCAAACTTATTCCATTCAAAGCATAACACAAATCCCTTTCTGATGGTACATCATTCTCTTCAACAGAGTCCCTACTTCCAGCGGCATTTTGGTCCCCAGCTGTAAGAAGGCCTTCTAACAGCTGGGGACCAAAACGCTGCTAGAACGAGGGACTCTTTACAATAAAGCAATGCACCGACAGAAAGGCAATTTTGTTCTGCTTTTAATGGTATAAGTTTGAAGAAAAACGGTGCAGTATGAGACTCGCAATCCTTGATTTTCAAGCACCTGGTGGGTCAAAAATTCAAATTAATGGTCAAAGTTAGGACCGCGTGACAACATTGATAGAGGAATATTTCTAAAAATATGTTCAAAAGTGATGTGGCAAGCTCCTCGTCTGCTTCATCATGGCTATGCTACAGCATCAGATACATTTCAATTTTGTTATACAGGGTGTCCAAAAAAACAGGACTAAGAAAGTTGAATAACTCGGTCAATTTTGCATATTTTGCCTTGAAATTTCAGAATTATTTAGTTCATTCAATGTGAATTTAGTTGTAAAAGTTTGATAATAATCTACTAATTGAGTCAAAAACTGCAGCTCCTTAAAAACATGCCCCAAATGTGCACCTCTCCTCTCTATGCACAATTCTATCAGGCGAACAAAGTTGTTGATGATCCTCCTACACACATGAAGTGTTGCAGCATCCATTGCATTCTGAACAATGCACTGCCTGGGTGTCAATGAGGAAACATGGAATCATCAGTCCTTTTTGGTTCGAAGGTGACTGGGGACATGCTATCACCATGAACAAGGACCAGTAAGTTGTTCACTAAGTTTTGGTGGTCACTTAAGCACCAAAAGGGATATCTTAGGAGATAAGCAGTGGTTTCAACAAGCCAATACCACCCCAACACTGCAAATGATATGCTGAAATGGTTTAGGCAATGCTTTGATGGTCAGCTCATCAGTTGCAGAACACAAACCATATGGGCAGCTCATTCGCCAGATCTAAATCCCCCAAATTTTCATCTTTGAGGATTTCTCAAAGCCAATGTGTATACTGACAGGCCCCTAACAATCTTAAGAGGGCAATAACTACCCCAATATTTGCCATCCACATTAATGTGTATAGGTCAGGGTCATTAACAACTTTGTTTGCAGGATTCGTTAGTGCATGGAGAGGAGAGGTGCCCACTTTGAGCATGTTTTGTAAAGTACTGTAGTTTTTGACACAATAAACAGATTATCATCAAACTTTCAGAACATAATTCACATTGAATGAACAAAATTGATCGAGTTATTTAACTTTCTTACGGTCCTGTTTTTTTGGACACCCTGTATATAGCTGTCAGATGATGATTGCCTTTGAAAAGCCTGAATTATCGAATTCTAAGATTGCCAATTTGAATTTTTTAATTCTCAATGTCACTAGGATATTACTTGATAATTATGTAAATCTAGATTGGAACAAGTGGAGTGTATTGTTATGTATTAAGCATTGTTATCTTGTTAAGAATTTATTCTCAATGTTCAGATACTCTGCAAATGGAAAGGACTTAAATTAAATAATATTAAAGTATGTATATAACTATCAAGGGCTTAGAAAACAACAAAAATAAGTTTTTTGAAGAATATCATCAATTAGATTCATTTATATCAATTAAATGCAATAAATACGCTTTCGCTATATAATTAAATGTGAAAGTGCTCTAATAACGAAAGTGAAAGTATTTGGCTGTTGTTAGGAATTCCCCAAAACAAATGTCACAATGAGTGTCTCCATATCATCCAACGATTCGTAGCCCGCTCTTGTGAAAAACCGATGAAATGTGACGTCATTTCCGTAACAATGATAGATTTGGAGAAATCCCCAAACTGTTAGGGGATTCCCCAAATTATTTCACATTTATATACAACCTTTAAGTTTTTCTCGCTGTTAGTTTAAAAGATGGCAGTACCTTATGATGTATCGTAGTAAATTGTTTGCCTTTTTTGAACATTTCCATGGATAGTTGGTAAAGTCATCTCTATATATTAACGACGTTCAATCGACATTATCACGAGTAAGATTACTGCAATTTGATGGACAAAAAAGTGTGATATAAATATCAATCATAATTGTTACGAAAACTAATTGAAATTTGGAGGTTCCTATAGTGGGTTTTGTTCAAAGATGATACATTGTCCAATTAATCAGAAAACATGTTCCAAGAATATGGATGTAAGTCATATTGGACATAATAAATAGTAAATAGAATAGTCTCCAAGATCTCAATGGATTCTGACTGATTTATTCTAGGAAAATGAATGTTTATTTTTCCTGACCAGTCTATGAAAAATATTTGAAAAATCTCCATTCATTAAAATTTGAGGGGCATCTTGATCTTGATTTACGTCATTAAATATTCAAAATTCAATTCAAAACTTTTGAAAATGTGACTTCAGTTCGAAGAGATTCCCCATAGACCCCAAGTTACAAAATCAGAAGAAGTGAAATGTCTTTTTTGTATTGACAGATAACATTTTCTCTTTTACTGGACATATATTAATTTGCATAACTTTTAGACACAAAAAAAGGCGATATGAAAATTGAACCACTAAAACAGATGTTGTTTAAGTTAAAAGGAACTTTTTACTCCACCGCCATGCTTTCGGACCCGAACAAGGCACCTGATGGTGAAACTGGTAACTACCAACTCGGATTTGCGTTATTGGAAATGTTCCATGGGCAATTATTATATATTGTGTTAGAGATATTCCATAGAGATATCCTTTACTCTGAGTTTCTCAAAGCAGTAGGCATCTGAGCCACATGAAGGGTGTTGGAGTTTGAGGCATTTTAATATCGATTTAATCTTTGTCAGTATCTTTAGCAGTGATATTTTGTCTCAAAACCCCCTCCAAAATAGGCCTTGTCAAGTAGGTCATTTCCCCATGTCATTTGTTAAGGTCAATGTTGTATGGGAGAGAACATAGTACATAGTTTTATTTTAATGGTTGACCCCAATCACTTTCCATTACTCATTACAGCAAATGAACAAAAAATAATCTAATTTAAAATTCTAATCCATATATTTCTTTGATAAAATTTAATATCATTTTATTCAGTGTTTTAGCACCAATATGGTGTAGTTATGTTATCATGCACTTCCTTTTGGAAACAATATCACAATAGTGTGTGTATAGAAGCATACACCTAATGCCTTGGTCACATTTGCTCCAATTTTCACTACAGCGCCCTGGACGATTGAGTATTTTGTTCAAAATTGAATACAATATTGAAACAAAACACTCAATTGGCCGGGTGCCGGCTGATGGATCAGAGCAACTGTGACCCAGGCATTACCAAATACAAGTCAAAATTGACTTTTTACCCATCTTCATATGCTCCAGGTCTTCTTGCACTTCACTTAGAAAGAACTGAACCAAATGAAGATAGTTTAATGTGCATATAATAATATATTCTTTGTGCACTGTATAAAGTTCCATTTAGGTTAGTTTCATCTTATACTGTTTTCATGTTACAAATAATGAGATTACAGGTGTTCTTAATATATGAAAAACACATATGTGCTTCATCTGTATGACATAATAATATAAAAGACCCAATAACGATGAGTTCAATGGACACAACTTACACTAATACAACAATGTCACATTCCATGAAAGTCTAAAGCCAGGAAAGCTGAGAAAATACTTTCCTGGGTTTAAACATTATTCACTCAAGAAAATACACTTTCTTTTTTTGATGTTCTTCAAAAAATATTGATAGCGCAAAACACAGGTGTAAAAAACATAAATTTCATGATACCAAATATGTGTAATATAATATCAAAAGATTTTTAGACTTTTCCCCTGCCTATGGTCATCTTAGTCTGTATTAAGGAAATAAGACTAAATTCTGCTGTTAGATGACATGGAAACATGAAAAACATAAAATGTACATATAAATAAATGAATATGCTGTGTGAAGATTAATGATATTTTTTTCTTTTTTGATCTAGGATTGTACCTCTGCCTGCATTTAGTATAGTGTATTTGTTTTTCAATGTTCAATATTGTGCTTTAAATAAATTATTTGGTTCTTAGTATGCTGTTTAGATGCGACTAATGGCAAATGCATTTACCTATTTTAAACAAGAGATCATAAAACACGATCATTTTAAAATTGTCTTACTTGAACTTGCCATTTAAAAAAATGTTGTTGCATATTGCCATTTTGCATGTAAAAAGGTTTACATATTACAAAAAATTAAAACATAAATGCCAGATTACTTGATTAGATTTTGAGGTTATAGCCAGATAATTGAAATCTTTTTTTGGAATTACCCAATTATCCCTCCGCCTAATTCATCACCGGGCAACAAACCTCACTGATTTTAAAAGCCATAAATTTTAGAATTATGGGGACACATCTTCCGAGCCCCAAGGTACATTACATTAAAGATTTAACTCCTTGCTCCAAAGTTTAGAAGATATCATTTCGCTATTTAATTGTCTTCATAAAAATATTATAACACTAAAAGACTATTTTTTCAATTATTTGCTCTTGTTATAGTTCACCGAGAATTGTTGTACGACACATTAATTCGGTCACTGTGTATGGGTCACAATTTGAAGATGGTCTTCTGTCCTCAAAATATCCTTTGCCATCTTCCCCAACTTGACGGGGGATTCTGATACTTGAGCCGCGGTTTGCGACGCCAGCAGAAAAGTCAGTCATACTAGATGTTTCATGTAAACCTGTAAGACGGCGTTTGTTGTCTTCACCATCATTAGGATCATATGCCTTGATATGCTTCATATGGCATTTGGAGAGTTTCTCTATTGCTTCTTCAATAACCCTGAAAGTACAGTAAATGTAGGAATTTAGTGATCAATTATTATCGCATTATCTGGAGTAAATTGTCTCTATCCCTTTACTTCCTAGTAAGAAAACAAAAGATATAGGATTTGTTAACTTCGGTAACTTTCTCAATTCAGTACAATCACTTAGAAATCGAACTAAACACAAAAGCCACTGAATAAACAAAAATAATATAATATTTACATTTAATTCATTTTCCATTTTATAGATGGCGGTCTAGCATTACCTCTACCATACACAACATGATCTAAATTGGCAAACCCTGCATGGACTGTAACATCAATTGAATGGGGAATAAGTGTAAATGATGAAATACCTAACTTTCCATTCCTAGTACAAACTTTCCATTCCTAGTACAAAATTAATCAAAATAAACTGATGTAAAACAGGAAATTACTTCTTTGTTTTTCAACAACAAAAACACTTATTAGCTAAACAACATATTTACTGATAGATAACACATTCAGTACAAAGTCAAATGAAAAATAATGCAGAATGTTGAATTGTCCACCAAAAAATGAACTGATAGCAAATAGGTTACAGTGCAATAATAGTACAAAGACATGAGCTCAACATGCTAAATTCATTCTTGAATCACATTTCCTACACCATAAAAATCCACTGTGACAAGGTTACACGTCTGCACATTTTTTCTGGCTTTAAGTGAAGGTCACTGCATGCATTGAAAATATACTATTTGCTTTATCTTTATCCAGTTAGGTGTATTAAAGTTATAGTATTGGAGCTGTTCATGATCATGCCTCATGTTCATGATCAGTTTATAACTATGAGTGACAGCTTTAATATATGAATGGAACAGGGGGCGGAATGCTTGAAATATACTTAATGCTCTTATACAACGAACACTGATTGCAGGATATTGTGAGAGAAGTGGTAATTACAAGATAACAACAATGCTCTTACTTCAAAAAATAGCAAGGCATTTTATGTTATCAGGCCAATTTGAGTTTTATCTGTCTGCGAGTACAGGGAAGCAAATGTCATCTTCATTCACCTGAATGTCTCTACCTCGAGTGCTAGAGCCTAGGACACACACCTCAGTATTAAATGTTTTAAAATTCAAAGTCATGTTTTTTGTGTTATAATATCAATAATGTTCAACATCTTTCTGTTTCGCAAGAATGAATGCGAAGACTTATTGTCAGAAATATCAGTATTAATCATGATGAGTAAAAAAGTACATTTACTTGAACTTGCAAGTTCTTCTTATAGTAATGTGGAGGGGGGGGGGTAAATCAACAGCTGATATTGGATATTTAAGCAGTTAATCTATTGAAACCCATTTCTAGAGTTCAAGGTCCAATGGTCACTCTCCAGGTAGTTTAAAACTATTTATTAGTAGCCAATCTGAACATTCTAATGCTTTCATACCTATGGCTAGCTGACTCCAATAGGTTACCTCCATCCAGCCTTTGATTGAATTTTAATTGATTTTTGACAATAATTACCTCAAGGAGAACGGACAGGTGTAATTTGGTACTCAATATTTAATATTTCACATGTTTGTATAAAACTATTAAAATAAGGTAGTGGTGTTCAAAGAAACATGCATTAGAAGTGGGCTAACTTATATATTAATATAATTATAATACCATTCACATCTGGCATTTAATTATAATAATGAGCAAGAAATTAATAATATAGGGGTAGCATGATTGTTACTATTGCAAAACAACTTTATGGAAGACGTCAATGTATGAAGAAAAAACTTTCATAGGAGGTACTTCAAACTGAAAAATGTAATATTTGATGCAAAACTCAAATTTTCTATTGGAAAAACTCAAATTTTTTGAACTTTTCACACATGATATTTATAGATAATGAAAAAACATTAAATATGAGCAAGTAGCAAATTGTAGCTGAAATGACTCAAAAGTCACCTTGATATCAGTGTCACTTTGACCCTAATAACAAGTACATCTAGTATCGAGATTCCAGACATTGGAGTACATTGTATTTCAGATCATAATTCAGAATAAATTATTGAACTTTGAGTCTTGACTTTGCACTGGAACAATCAGTGAACTTGCACTGATGAAATGAACTTCACATCAATACCTCCTCATTTCCAAATGAAAATCTTTTTTTACAAAATCTTGCATCATGATTTGTCTTTGACCTATGTATCAACCATTTCACATTTTATGACATGCATCAAATTTTTTTCACTCAGATCAGCATATTTAGCTGTATATTGACATTGTTTTAAACATTAATGAGGTGAAAACACTGAACTTTCTTCCGAGTTGGCATGAGGAAATCGTATATCTTGTTATTGCATATATGATGTTGGTAAGTTGATAATGTAACTTATCAATGCTTAAGAATGATCACCTTTTATGATTTACATATTTTAATTCTCAATATTTAAATGCTTTTGTTATACAAAAGCTATTGGTAATAATGTATAATATGTTCTTAAAAATATTTACTGTAAATCAAACTCAACCCCTGTATTCAAATCCTATGTTCTGGGTGACATGACCTGTTTTCCCAGGGTATTAGATAGTATTAGGCAATATGACTTACATTTGATGAAATAATTATGTGACTTATCTAACTTTGTCAAGGTCTTTAAATTTGTAGACTTAATTCTTTGGTCAAAATTGGATACTCTTGATATTTCCCAATTCCAATATACAGATAGAGGTTATTGTGGTAAAAATGAATATACTGTACTGTACAATCAATGTAAAGTAAAAACCTTAATATTTATTATCTTTTGCGCTGCTTGTTAGCTCATGATCGATGACCTATTCAATGTAGTACACAAATATACGCTTAGTTCTCAACATTTCATTTACTTACCTAAGTCATTTTATTGCAAAAGTTGTAGACATAAAGATATTATGAAATTCATTTTGGTTACTAACTACTGGTCAGTCACATAAAAATGTTTGCTTTTATGGGAAATGTCAATTTCACCTGGATCAACATACTTTGGAAAGTGGCCCTTCAAATAGACATTATAAAGCCCTCCAAATATCCAATTCAATGAAACAAAGTTTGCAATTACCTGACCACGTTTACAAACTAAAGTGTGCATATTTACAAACCTTTTGTAGGAATAATAGAAATAATAGCCACACAGAATCAACATTTATGTAACCATCTGTAAACTTCCTTTATCCAACACAAAACCTGATTAACAATACATCAAGACCAGTAGAAATGTAATTGGGATCTATTGTTGGCCTCTTTAACTAGAATAAAGTCTTATGAACCCTCAAGAAATGATTCAAAGACTCAAAATACTCAATGCTCATAGGTTAGCAGTAACAACCTCCTGGGAACAATCTTCCCTCGATGAAGCTTTTTTATTGATATCTGAACTTTAACAAATGGTAGTTCATGCAGAACTTAATGCACAGTGGATTTCTAATGCCTAACTAAAGTGTACCAATGAACCTGTCCTGGGCCTCTCATAAATGGTATATTATCAGACAATTATCATGTATACTTGATAATACATGCAATATAAATTCTTAACATTATGAGAGGTATGCAATCTACATTTCAAATCTAGGCATTGATAACTCAGTACACCATTACAAAAATTAGCACAACCTCAAACTACTTCATAATCAGCTCTCCAAGTATATTCTAGGATCATTTTAAGGGCATATATACTACACTGATTTGAACCTAAATCCACCAAATAATTTTCACAAACACAGCATTACTTGTTATTATGTAATTATTTGCATGCAGTTATTTGCATATTTCCAACCAACCATGACAGAACATTCTTCCACTCAGTCCAACTCTTGTGAAAAGATATGTACGAAGGCAAAAACAATTTATTGCAACTTACTTGATTCCATTGTCTTTCCTCATATTTTCAGTACTGTAGTTTGTGTGACAGCCAGCTCCGTTCCAATCTCCCTGCATTGGCTTGGGGTCTAGGGACATGATGACGCCAAAGTCTTCAGCAACACGATGGAGGAGAAACCTAGCAATCCAGAGATCATCTCCCATGGTGATACCTTCACAGGGTCCAACTTGGAACTCCCACTAAAACAAACAAAACAGGTTCCAATTAGTATGGGACTAGATTGTAATTGTAACATACAAATATCCGAAAAATTGATGTCCATATAAGACTGGGCAATGGATTGGATTTGGACTTTAGGGTCTCATTGAAAGATATAACAAATAAAAACACAAGGTTTGAAATGACCCAAAGTATATTTATTATTTATTAGAAAATTGGGATAATGTGAGCATTAACATTGATGTTTTTGTAAGTTATAACCAGATGTCCTGATTTAACATGAGAAGTAAAACACAATGGTGACTAAGCCATACAAGGCCTGGGGGTGACACTAAACAGTGAATCAGAAAAATGCATCAAAACTACCTTTACTTTTTAATCACCCCTTTAAGTTAATAATGCCAAGAAACTTCATCCTCCCACCCATCCCCTCTGATGTTTTTAATCAGAAATTTGAAAAATCATTGATCTGATTTTCAAGCAAAAATTCAAGAATTGGAATACCTTTGAGACCGAGGTTAAACAAGGTTGAAATATGGTTTAATTGGAAGTGTCCTTAAACCTCTCAAACACTGCTATCAGCCATTAAATTAAAAATTGCACATACCTGAGCAGGCATTACTTCAGCATTTGTTCCTGCAATTTTGACACCAGCGTACAGACAAGCACGATAGTGAGCCTCTACTATAGATCTTCCATATACTTTATCTGCTCCAACACCACAATAGTAAGGTCCTGTGAGATAAAAAAAAAACAAGTGATGTTCAGTGACATTTGGAAATGATGCAATTTAATTCTTCACATGCTACATATTTAAATCTAATTACTGTTTCTGATATAAACTAGCAAGGATGGTCAGCTAGTAGTTGAATAGAATCAGCACAACCAACATAATGGAACAATCAGCACAACCAACACAATGGGACAATTAGCACAACCAACACAATGGGACAATTAGCACAACCAACACAATGATCATACCTTGTGGTCCTGGGAATCCATTCTTTGGCCAGCCAAATGGATGATTGTCTTGGTCTAACATAGTGTATTCCTGCTCCATACCAAACCAAGGCTTCTGATCCTTGACCTGTTCCATGATTTTCTTACAAGTTGCACGCTTGTTTGTCTCTGCAAAATAAGATTTTCATTTTTTTTCAATCCATGGAATTGGTTTCAAAAATTAAGATTTAAATACTGGTATCATGTTTCAGTGAGGTGTTTTGTGGAATACTCTGAATACACAAATCAGGGATATCAAGACAAAAGTTTCAATATATTAAAAAATAACAATAATACTATTACTTCTGATTTAAGTATTCATCTACAAACAAATATATTACCTGTGGGAGTTTTGTTGTATTTGTAGGTTTCACATAATAGAAGTTTGTTTTTGCCCATTCTGAAGGGGTCCTTATAAAGGGCAGCAGGGTAGAGGTATACATCAGAGTTAGAGCCCTCTGCCTGTCCCGTGCTAGAACCATCAAAGTTCCAAATGGGGCAATCTACAAATAAATAAAATCTCAAATAAACAGTTTTTTCAAGTCTACTGCCAAAAGCAAAATATGATTGCCAAATGGCAATGATTCAACCTGGGGAGAGGGTCTCAACTGCTATTGGTTGGTTACTCATGCAAGTAATAACATATTGAAGATATAACATGTGTATATCACATGCACAGCTGTACATATATACTGTGCATGGGCAGCAGACAACACCCACACATATGACCAACTTATTATTAGTATTTGTGAACCAGGTGGTATTTTTAATTTCCTTACACAAGATCAATCAATTTCATTATAGTCTATCATATACATGGGCATTCATGTATTCAGGAAATGGTCAGTATTCATGCAATCCGAGACCTGACCCATATAATTAATATAATAAGATTACATATTTTTTATCCAGCTTCAGGGAATATTTATTCTGATTGAGAGTGGGGAGGGCATTTTATCCAACCCGAGGGAGTGAAATTGATTTTATCTTACTTGAAGGAAGTTGGGGGGGGGGGGGGGGGTTGTTAGTTTGGTTGTAATGGCACTTTAATTTGTGATTGAACACCACAATTGTATGTAGTCTCTACAACTTCTACTATCTAACAAGAGGCAGGGTAGGAATGGAATGAAGTCAAGAGAAACAGGTAACATGAGAATTGGAAGAAGGCCCACTGCATTGATATATGATATATAGAGTCCTCGCCTTCATAAGAATGAATGATAAAGTTGCAATTATCATCTAGGCACACACTGTGTTAATAGATGCCAATGCCATATATAACTAGTTTAACAAACAGCTGATTCCGCAAGGGAAATCAATAGAACACTTTACTTGCAACTGGCCTAGATTACTGTTTATTAATACCTAGGCTGAAGAAAATATTTACAGCTCTCGTGATCAATACACATGCTGATGTCATAGATTTGGTAATAATTTAAGTAAAAGCCCACGTCTATGTTCCCGAGATTCATTTATAGCCTATCGAGACCAAGTGACATGTGATGATATGATGTCATATGATTTGGTAATAATTTAAGTAAAAGCCCACATATATGTTTCTGAGATTCATTTATAGCCTATCGAGACCAAGTGACATGTGATGATATGATGTCATATGATTACATTGGCAAAACAAGCCAGAAGCTATAAACAACATTTGCTCTGACTTAACTAACATGAGTCAGCCACCTATTTATTTACACCAGCTCCTGTTTTTCAAGACCTGATAATAAATAACAAATAACAAAGGATGGTGTTCCTAAACCGTTTCCTGTGATGTTAACTATTGAACTAGAAAAATGATTCTGAAATGCCGCTATGATTCATTGATAAGTTCACCTAGACTTTGGCTGTATTTCCTTCTCTAAATAGAAATTGAGGGCGAAGAAAGGCACCAGGGGCTTGGGCAACCCCTCCTCTCATTCCAAACAGATATTGATTTTCTAAATATTGTATGAATGAGATATTGTGCAACTGCGGTAGGTATGTAGCTACACACCCCTCTGATATGAGCGACCATTGGTCAGAGTTCAATTTAAAATGGCGGTCAAGAATTTAGTTCAATATTTACCATGGGTTATGTTTCAGTTAAGCCTTGAAGTTAGTCAATACAAATGTATGGTCAATAAATGCCAGTGTATACTTTTCTCTATACAGGTATGATGTTGCTATGACGATAGTGAACTTATAATAGCCTGTGGTACATGCAGGTTTTAAAACATGTTCAATGGCTATATAATGTCCTGGGAGAGTTTCCAATCTTGAAGTCACTTTTTGCAAAAAAATTGTATGATCTTCTTAGTCGCATATGAGGGATGCATTTGCATCTTAACTTTTGCAACCCTTCTGTGATGTATTTATTGTAACCAACCTCTATGCCATAAACATGCCTTCAAACCTATTATATATGATGTAACTATACTAGGGTCCAATCCAGCATATACCTATGACCCCAGTTATACCGATTTGTAGACCATTTCTTATCATAATTTAAAGCTTGAAGTTTGAAATTCTTGGCTAAAAACTAGGACAGAAATTATGGTATGGTTTGAAAGAAAAACAAAACAAGGCAACTGAGGTTATCCTCAAAGACAGCATTAACAGCATGAACACTTCCCTGGATAACCTAGTTACCTTAGTAATTGGTACCTAGGCGATCAGCTGATTCTGACAAATTGTAAACATAACATTAAACTCTAAAAAGGCATGGTAACATCAGATACCAGCTGATATTTAGCTATACATCATAGGCAAGGCCTATTCTAGAATGTTATCTGCTTACCCAGCTAGGGATTGAATTGTTTTCAGGAAATGAAGCCAAGGATATAATTAGAATGAAGTATTCAATTAGAACCAGGACTTCAATAAATATACTTAAAGTTTACTAACTACCCTGGACATACGGACTAGGGTATGAAGCAATTAAGTGCAAAAAGTAATAAGTGCAAAAACCAGTATTATAATAGTAATGAAACTCAAAGATGTGAAAGGTTAGCTACACTGCTTCAGTCCCATGCTGTTAACTAGTACAAGGAGAATGACCGATAATTGATACAGCTTTTTTCTTTCTTTATGGCATTTTACAGGAAAACAACTAAAAAACACTACCTAATAGAAAACAACCTGCTGAAATTGTAATTTTTTCATTTTTTATATTTTACTTGTATTTAGTACTATTTACTAACAACTGTCTTGATTAGAAACAGGCCAGTGTTGGGTGTTATTGGGTGCTACATGTTTAAAGGTCTGTAATTAACGGTTGCGTGTTAATATTTTGTTGTATTTTTAACATTTAATTCTCCATGCAAACTCATAAACAACCTGAGATAAACATATCTAAAAAATTATACTATCATAAAATTATTACTTATCATATGAATGATAAATAATGATGTCATAAATAAAAGAAGGTTGTTCTCAATCATGAGTAATAACTGAGGTCATGATAACCTGATGCAAATAAAAAACAAGAGAGACAAATAAACTTGGTTGATATCTTATTCGTAATGCTAGCTTTAATTAAAACAGGATGATGCAATAGTCTATATTATTAAGATGGGGGTTATAACAGAAACTAATGGTTTTATTCCAAAGATACTGGAAGACACTAAGATTATAAGAAGGAACTTTCCTATATTATCCAGATCTTGTTATGTTATTTTAAGTGAGTCTTTTTAAGTGAAGGGGGGGTTGTAATGTTGTTATTAAAGCTCAGTGGAATTGGCCAGGGGGGGGGGGATTCCAAAATCACATGATTGATAAAATAACACTTGGAAGGGAACAAAGGATTCTGTGAATTCTTAACTGGAGATTTAGACATGTTAGAGTATTTCTTGATTTAATACCAGGTAATTGTACCAGTGTTCGCGCTAGCCATTTAAATTTCTGAGTCCCAGGGACGCAACACATTTGAAAAATGTGAGTCCCGTCTAATATTTTTTGCGTCCCTCATATTTTGTTATTATTAAAGTGAAAGTAAAGTGGGCGATAATAGAGTGCTTCCGCTAAAACCGGATAAAATGACATGTATTGTAATTCTATGCATTCTCCCGATAAATATCTATCATTTGGTCCTTTTCACACAATTCTTTACTAATGCTATACCAAAATTCTCCGAAATGAATGAAAGAAATATTCAAATTAAGAGTTGTTTTCACATTTTAGCAACCAGCGATCTTCAAGGTCGTGTCAAGGTCGTGAACTTTTTGTTTCTTTTTATAACATTTCTCCTTTCTCTGACGACTTTTAGATGCAAAACGTTGATCTATCATTAAATAATTATATTGATGTATAACATTAGATCGATATCTAACGGTTCCTAGTGGAAGTAATGAGGTTATCGTGAAAAACAAGTCTCAATTCTCAATTTTGAAACTAATGTTTGCGTACAACAGATTATCCAGCTTCGGTATACTCTGGAATGACTCGGAGGGCACCATAGCCAATCAAATGCTGCGTTTCAGACTAGAAACCCCGCGAATATACCGAGACACTTCGTAGCCAATCAGATTTGCCGACATAAACATTATCGAGATCAAGGAAGTAGACGATCTGAAAATTCTTCAGAAAATCATGTTTTATCACTTCTACGCTGCAGTAAAAGTTACCTGATGGTGGTGTAGAATGTTTGCGTCCCAAGGACGTAAGTTATTTCTGATTTTTCCGTCCAACCTCTTGAAATTTCCGTAAAAACGAGAAAAAACGGCGTCAACGCGAACACTGTGTACTACAGTACAACATGTACTATGTATTTGGTTAGGTAATTTTGCTTATTTGTTGACCTACTGTCTGATTCTAAACACTGAGTATTGTTATCAATATAGACATTTCTTACCATCTGGTTTTTTGGGCTCTTCATCCATTGTTTTAGTTTTACATCTAAGGCCTTCTCCAGTTCCATCGATCCATATATACATGACCTGTGTCTTGTCACCAGGGATAGGGATGTTCATATACTGCTTCAGAACATTCTGGTCTAATTTTGCTGAGTGTGGCATTTTGAGCTTGAAATACAAGAATGATTGAATAATTAATTACTTCTAATTTAAATGAATTTTCTAATCAATTGCTATTCTGGCAGCAATCCCTAGAGCATCAGCCATGTACCTGTATGGTAGCCATGAGTGGCTGAAACTAATGCCCAATTTCCTATACCTAACTAACTTCAGTTTCAGCACATCAACCCTGAAGACCAAATCCTTGTTCAATGACAGTAAATTGCATCAATGACCTCATTTTCAAAGCCGGGCCTGGTGAAAAGCAGAAGCAAGCAATCCCCTTAGATGACAGATCATTGTTCATTCAAATGCCTCAAAGTCAAGTTCTCTGTTGGGAATAAGAATGTATAGTCTTCATCATCATAGGAACAATAGGATACCAAAGAGCGTAGCGCCCGGTACGCCTGGTACGCACAGGCATACTTGACATTAAAAATGCAACCTAACTTTATGTGCAGGGAAAACCTCCCATGGCGTCCTCTAAAAATTTAGAGAAAAGTTGATCATTTATATTGAAGTGCAGGGAAAACCTCCCATGGCGTCCTCTAAAAATTTAGAGAAAAGTTGATCATTTATATTGAATTGCCCTAAACTTTAAAAATACTATCATTAGTCCATATTAGTCCCAATTTCGTATCTTAAACACTCCAGAATGCTTTTGGAGGAATTACTTTAAATGGTCAATAATTCACATTTTATTAGTCCATATTAGTCGTAATTTCGTATTTTAAAATGTCCCAGGATGTTTCAAATGCAATTCATTTCCAAACCCCATCAAAGCTTGTTCTCTTTGATCACACATGGCTTACATTCACAAAATATACGCTAGGCCACTGACTAGTATTCCTGTGACGGTGTATTATAATAGAATGGGCATAGCGCCCGGTATGCACGGGCATACTTAGATAGCTGCAAATATACTCAAAATACAACCAAATTTCCAAATTTTCTGAATGCTCATTTCTCGGGGTTTGGCTTTCCCCTACTTGTGTTCCCCTTGTGGCGTACTTCTCATAATAAAAGAAAAATTGCGCTACGCCCATGGCTACTCATAAAAAATTAGCGTATGCCCATGGATACAGTCTAGGCCTAGGGCCGCTGCCCCCTAGGGGATAGGCTCAAAAAGCGGGTGGATTCAAGTCTGGAAGTATCAGCTATTACCATTTAGATTTAACCAAAGCAGTTTGGCCCACTCCAGTCCAAACGTCATCAGGATTAGATTAGATAACTTGGCCAGGTTACAAACTGTGCGAGCTAAGCAGTTTCGTATGAGCTGTAGATCTATTCAAATGTTGACGCTTGTCAGGTAAATTATTACAAAAAATAGCAAATTGTTTGTATACTCACTTTTTGTCGTCTCTTGCGATATTAAACGTACAAAGGGTAGCGTTACGATTTTCTTCTATCCTTCTTCCCGATCACGTCAACTCCGAATGAAGTTATACAATATTTGCCGCAATATTTATATGTAGGGTTCAATACCTGGCACGTGTTGATCACGTTTATTTTGAGAGAGCACTCTGATTGGTCAGAAATAAGAGCTCACGGCACCTTTGATGCCACTCATCTCGCAGGGTTTGTTAAAAATCAATGCTCAGAATGGGATGACAAAAATAGAAATACACAGCTGGTGCTGTGGGATGAAAATGTTTTTGCTTTGTAAACATTGTAACTTCCAGAAACAATTGCATGAATGAGGTGATAGATATTACTGTGGATGCATGTAATTAAGCCATATAGGAATGTGATCCCACAACAATTATGCAATGAAACTGGAAAGGAGGGGAGACTAGAGAAGAGATACAGTATTGCAATGAGAGATCACATCTTACACTCCCCTCCATAAGTTTGAAAATCAGAAGTTATTCAAGAAATATAGACCGAAAAGCAGGGGTTATATCGTTGAATACACCCTGCAGGGCTAGGCACAAACGTTTTCTGTACCGGCCGAACGACTGAAGGGAGTGAGGGGTTCGAAAGCTTTTGTGCCTAGCCCCAAGGGGTGTATTCGACGATATTACCCCTGCTCTGAGGTCTATATTACGATTCGAACATGAAAACTCACCAAATTGTTTCGAATATTCATCATGGTCCGCCATTACTACGACCCACCGTTATGACGTCACACATTACACGTATTAACTGGGTTATTGATCTCGAATATAACCCAGCTGAAGCATTGACTTTGTTTACAATTTAAAGAAGGCGTGAATACAGTCATGTTCGAATAATTGATAACATATAAACCCCGTCGATATCTTTGTCTCGCTATAAGGCTCTGGATGTCCCCTTATCTACTTCGCTACTTCGAGGTTTGTGGGGGGGGGGGGGTGGTTATAAGGGCTTGGCGCAAGTTAAAACAGGCTTTAAATTATTCAAAAGGGGATTGATAGAGGGAGTGCAAAACTTAGTTTGTAATAGGCCTAGACCTTTCCACTATTTATTTCAGGCCCTAAATGGAGTATCAGGGGTAGTATAGTCAGAGGACTTTTTAAACTTCGTTTCAGAAAAAAAGTTAAAACAAATAAAGTAATTGGAGAAATTGTAATTTTATAAATGTATATTATCCAAATATTCGATTTGAATTATTTCCATAACAGGTAAATATTCCCCAAAAATGTAAGAAATGTGCATTTCATCAATTATTGGTTTATTGGTAACTATAATGATCATGAAAATTACATAAATACACATGTGATACTTGTAAGTACTATTCTTCATTCTTAAGAGTGTCAAAAAGTAGATGTAATGTGGTCTTTACGAGAGAGTATTTTTAATTTTGGGGATAGTGCAAGCAGGTATGCCAAGACTGTTTATCATTTGCATGTTCACATTTTTTTCTAGAAAGTGTTACAATATTTACTTAATAGTTTGATTTATTTGTGCACCGGGATGGGGGGGGGGGGGGGCTTGGGAAGAAGTATTTTTTATTTAGGAGCAACAGCAAAATCGAACTTTTGGAAATGGTATTAGTATACACCTGCAGTCATAAAATCTTAAATACCAGCATGGACTTACCTGCTTACAGGAAGGGGAGTCTACATGAATATAATTACATGTACACTTACCAAGTTAGCCTTCCATTTTTTAATTTTTGGAGTAGTGCAGGCAGGTGTGCAAAGATCAGATGAATCTCTCTTTTAAAAGTGTCTTATGAAGTGTCAATTCTGTGCATTTATCCTGATCATAGGCCAAGAGAAAAGTAGCATTATCAAACTCAATACAGAATGTCTTCTACTAGTATATTGAATTTATACTAGTTTACTCTTGGCCTATGATCCTAATGTAGATAAATGTATTTCATACCTCCATTAGAATATCAACATACATTTGTTCAGTTTGTTGTATTGATCCTGTGTTTTGCATTCGAAGTGCTTGTTGTTTGGGCATGAGGGCACCATTGCATAATACTTTACTAAACCCATTGTTATAATCCAGGTTGAAGAGCAGAAAATGAGGAAAGAAAAATCCTTCTTTTCTTATCCCTTTTTTCACCCAGTCATGCCACATCGTGCCCTACATGAACGCAGATTTGGATTTTTTCACATTGTAACTTTGAATAAAACATTTTGGATATATATCAAAATCATCCTACAACTTATACAATTACCCTAATCAAAAATATATCTAATAAAAACCTGCAGTGTCTATTGCCCATTAGTTTTTCATTATTTTCCTTAATTATTTTTTCAAATGAATGCTTTCCTGATATCATTGTTTTACCCAGTAATATTCTCCCAGGAGTTGTTACAAAATAGTATGCTAAATAAAAAAGCAAAAGTTTGCAATCCCAAATAAAAAATTAATGATTTTAATGTCCAGTGCCACATCAAGCCAATTTTATCAGACACTTTAAGGTGGAGCTTTATATTTGAATGTTTTCAGTCTGAAATTGCAATAGTTCCTGAAGTGGACAATATGGTTCACTCATGTTTTCATACTTTATTTTAAACCTAAAAATAACAGAGTCTTTTAGGCAGACTTTTAGTATGAAGGATTTGAAAGGGTATATTCCAAGTTGGGGTGTTGGGTGATATAACAGTATATTATACTAAAGTTTAATTGTTTGAGTTATTTGCCAATTCAGTTCTTACTTTTCTTGATTTCCAGTTCTAAATATCACCTGTTCGGTTGATCTAATGAAATTATTGTAGGCCTACTAAGTTTTTATGCTGGTATAACTCATATACAACATTTACTCATGTACTGCTGCAGTATCACTGGGTTTGAAAATCATTTAGTTTTGCATCATGTCTCTGGACTTCCCTATATTCTTCACCTTCAATGATGTGGAGGTGTCCTGTGTATGTGTGTGTTTGTGGAGGGGGGGAGCTTGAAGCAAAACTAAAATGGATGTTGACTTTTGGCTTGCAACCGAAGATACCTCAAGAAAAGCTGGATACTGCCAAAGATTTTCTTTGCAAACGAAGTTGGCCGAGGTTACCACGAATGTGAAGAGGACGTCTCTAATTGGTCAAAAAGAGAGGCTCGGCATTCTCCGTCAGATTGAATCAGCAAAATTTGGTTGTATGGCTTACATTCGTCTGCATGGCCCAACCTCAATTGAATGGCCCAACCTCGATTGAATGGAAAAGATGCTGTCCCAAACTAAAATAAGAGGTTTGACACTAGAGCCATCTATCTTAAACATAGAACCAAATTTTTGTTGTTATTTTAATTTCATTTTGGGTTTTCATTTGAAATTCTATTGATCTGTCTGTAGTATACAATAAGTGTATGCTACTGTATGCATTATATACATATGGCTTATTAGGGCAGATTTATCATATATTGGCCCCAGAATTATCAATTTCATGAACCAGTTATAGGATAATCTGTTTATCCTATTACATGTACTACTCCTGTGTTGTTTTTACAGTATACACTTCAAGAATTTTTGGAAGTGACTGACTCAGATTATGCTTTAAATTCAAATAATTTCTAAATAAAACAGAGTTGATAGAATTGTATATTATATTTGGTTACATTTTATTTACTTATTTTTACATCTTAGATGACATTAATCAATCAATCAATCAATCAATCAATCAATCAATCAATCAATCAATCAATGGGTCAAGAGTGAGTCAATTGTTTACATCATATTATCTAAAAATACAACAGGAGAGAATACCTGTGATGTTGCCATATTTTTTTATGGCATATAGATGCCATTTCATGTTTTCATATATATTACACTAGTTCAATACCAATTTGACACATCATATTTCATTTTAACAAGTTACTAAACATGGTTGCTCACTTGAGCTGTAACCAACTTTTTCTTTTATCGTATCCTGATTATATTTATAATTTATACATTTGAATGTTCATTTATAATGAGTGGGTCTTGAATTATACGTACTGTATTCTCTCATGAGTGCACAGAGCATTCCCCAAATTAAAATTTAAAAGAGTAAGACATTGAGAGATTCCAATAAGAGCACATACCCAAAAATTACCAAAAATTATCGCTGTGAATCTTTAATAGTTGTTATCACTAATGTTCACATACTCTACAGCTCCTGTATTTCTTTCTCAGCATTAAATATAATCATCAATCAATATATTTTTGTGGTGTAAATAATCAAAACAAATGCATGAAACTTTGTGTTTTCTCGAGAACATATTCAGCATATGTGCTCTCTGGAACTATGCGCTCATTAAAGAGAATAGGGTATCTGATTGTGGATGCCTCCATGACATTATTGTAACTCAGACTATGTACTGTACAATCAAAAGACATTTTAAATGTAGGTATTTTAGACAAGGAATTATTTAAAATTGTAAAAATTATCATTTGGAAATGTGAACTCCCTTAAACATGAAAATAAAGTTGCTGCTGTTGTAGTGTGACATCTATTTAAAAATCTCCAGGTTCGTTGTCATGGACTCAGACATCTGAGCTGTGTCATACAAAGGACGACAAAATGTATCTGGATATTCTGTCACTCAGCAGTGAATTCATCACTGGATTGTGCCCAAATTGCATAACATAATTTCCATTTTCCATTTTTATTTTCCAGTCTTTTTTGGTGATTTCTTGTCTTGAAACTTCTTCAAGTCAGCACTGAACAAAACCTTGAAAAGAATTAAAAAAGTTTAAGCTAAGCTTTCTGGTTTTGATAATTGAATTTCAAAACATGACTTTATCATTTGAATTCTTGATGAATTTAAATATCGAATTAAAAATATTATCTCAAGAAAAAATTCAAACTGTTACAAAGTCAATACTTTTCATTGCTAATAACAATAAAATTCCTGAAGTAAATAAATAAGATCAACTTTTGACCCATTCTGTACTTGTATTGAAATTTACCTATACATGTACTTACAGAGTGTGCCCAGCCTGCATAAGGGCCCCAGAGTTCCCTAAAGTGGTCACCAATCTCCTTATAAACTTTATCAGTGAGAGTCTTTCCCTGTTTGAGGCCCTTCATGTAGTCTCTGCTAGCAATCTGCCATACATGGGTGTCTACTGGGATGGCCCCTATTTTGTCTAGGGACATCAGACATACACAGTCAGCCACCTGGTTTAGTAAAATAGAATTTATGTCAAATTAAAGTGGCAATGAAGGTTATATATGAGTTAAAAGTGATGCTCTTTTTTATGTTCTTATGTCACGATTGCATTGTTGACTGCTCATAAGATTTTTCATCATGTCTATTTTTCACCAACAGTACTGACTTTATATCATCATACATAATGTTTTGAATTTTAAAATAACTTAACATTAATTCTGATAAATCAATCTGAATCTGAAGATTTCTGCATCTCAATAACTTCCATATTTATCAGATATCTATAAAATCAGGATTGTCAGGGAACATTGGGTTGGTTTGACAGATATTTTGCCACTGCCACTTGTTTGAGAGTGCCTTTAGCCAAAAATTCTTTCAAAATCATGCACTTTTTCACAATTCTGAGCTCTTTTCAAGTGATTTTGGGCCAAAGTTGTCAAAAGTCAACCCTCCTGGAATTTTTGGAAAAGTGAACCCCTTTGGCAAAAACTGGCTACAGGCCTGTCCCTTCCTACAAATGTGACCTCTCTTGAGCAAGGGGAAGTCCAGTGACTTGATACAATACTATAGTGAGTTTTACCTTTGCTCCAACACCATGTAGTTTAACTAGCTGTGCCTTTGACTCATCATATGGTACATCCCTGAGAGAATAAAGCCACTCCTCACTGTGGTTTTTCACTATATACTTGGCAGTCTCACTTATATACTTAGCCCTGTATCCAAATCCTGGAATATATTGAAGATGGTTAATAATTCAGTTTAGGTCCTACCTGAGACTACATAAGTTTAGTATATTCATACCAGGTCCTGCCCAGGTATAACGTTTTAACACTCAGTCAAAATACATTTTTCTCTGGAAAAACGGGTTTCTCTAAAATTGATAAAGAAAAGTTCAACCAAAACTAATTTTAGATAAAGGAACTAGGCCTAGGCTAACGTTAAATATTTCCTCATTGAATTTATTTTTAATCCTTTGGCATTATTATTTGTATCTTGAAGTGAACTTGCTATTTTCCCCTTAAAAACTACAGCCTAACTTACCTAGTTCTCTTAACTTCTGTTCCACATTATTCCCTGCTAAGGATTTTACATCAGGAAATGCATAATACATCACCCCATCGACCTCTGTAATTGGTTTCCCATATGTTTCACACAATCTCTCCACCATACCGCTTATCCTTGATATATGGTTATTCGAGGAGCAGATAAAAGAAAAGAGATTTTCAACTGGATTTTGTCTTAACATCCGTATACCTGAGAAATCAACTGAAACTTTCTTGAAGTTTTTATCAGCTTTGCTCCATTGAGTATATAGTTGCTGTAGATCAACATCAAGTTGAAAGTAGTCATGTAAAATACTGTTGTAAAAGTTACCTAAATCATTACATGTAGGTTCAGTTTTTATCTCATTTTTAACTGAATCTCCACCTCCTATTTCAACCTCCTGTTTGATACTAGTCAACAACTTTGGTTGCTTGGCATCAGGGTGATCATTTTGTTCCTCTTTAATATCCTTAGATCTTTTACGATGATTTTGTTTCCCTGGTTTCTTAACAGAAGTATATGATGCAGTTTTCCTTTTATCGGATTGTTCATAAACTTTATATAAAATGGAATCATCAGTCTGGGAAAGTGTCCATACATAACCAGATAACGCCCCAGTCCATTCTCCTGGATGTGTCTCATGCCATCTGAAAGTGAGAAAATAATACTACTAAGCTTCATTCTATGGCCAAATTCAAGTGAATTAAAGTAATGATGAGTTTTCATATATTGTAGTATATAAAATACGTAAAGGCTAGAGTACCGACAATTGTCGGTACTCTAGACTCTGATGTGGTCGCACGCTAGAGGACCGACAAATAAATTGTCGGTACGGCAGATATGCTGTGTTTACACGCTAGAGGACCGACAAATATTGATTTTCGCATTTCGCATTTTCTGGCGCATGCGCAATGGGCGGGGGATATTTCAGATATCATACGGATATTTTGGGAACAAGTGCAAAACCCGGGGAGGGCATTAGCCCCGGTTACCCAGTCAGTCAGTAACAGACAGGATATTTCTCCTGAGTCGATCAGGCGTAGAAAGGGGCGTTTGCTACCCATCAGATAGAAGAAAATACTAGTAGCTAGAATGTTTTTTATTTGAAGCTTATCGTATGGTATGAGGTTCCATATCCATCCGCCAATATAGTCCGCCTATATAGTCCATTTAAAAACCTGTGGTATCGTTCTAAATAACCCATAGTTGGCTTCTAGGGTACCTAGTATGCCACTATTTGGTATCAAAATAAAGAGGAGTTCAACTTTCATTTGAATTACGAAAATAGCGATGTAGGTCAAAATAGTTCCGAACGTGAGCATGTTTACTACGCATTTGCCCGTAATATCAGAATTGAGGAAGTGGTAGCAAACGCGAGTTACAATAAACGGACGCTGATATCTCAAAAGTAACCTGACTCCCTATAATTTGATGTAGGTCAATCGAACCCCTATATGGACAGGTGCATTTTGATATATAACACTATGGGGGGTAAGCGTTTTATAGTTGGTCACGAACGCCATATGTGCAAAGTATTGTTATGAATTTTCGAATTTGGTGTTGGATTACGGTACCCATACCTTATAGCACAATTTTTGATGGAAGTTGCATTTGGCTCCCTTAGTTAATGGCCACGATTCAATCTCGCATGAGAGAGCTACAGTACCAAACGCAAAGTAAACAGTGATATATTCCAAATGAGATATTTCTCCTGTGCCATGGCGTATAGTAAGGGTAGAGGTCGACGGGGGCGAAAGCATCCCCTCCCCTAACTGTATATATCGACCCATTAGATAGAACAAGAAAATAGCTTTAAAATGTTTTTAATTGAAGCTTGTAGGACAATTTTGATGGAAGTTGAATCAATTTTTGTCGAAATAAATTATGGCTCACTACAAGTTAATGCCTGTACGATTCCATACTGCAAAAGAAGCACTATGCCCCCCCCCTCAAAAGAAAAAAGTTGGTCCTGCCGGGATCCGAACTCGGGACCGAGTGTGTGCGAGTCGTACTCGCTAACCACTAGACTGCAAGTGATGAGGTTATTTCCAAGAGTAAAAGTAGTGTATTTATTTATGAAATTGTCGGCTCTCTAGCAAAAACACGTAGCAGCCACTTGCGTACCGACAATTGTCGGTTCTCTATCTGGCACTACTAGGTGACGATAGAGTGCCGACAATTGTCGGTACCCCAGCAAATACCCCTGGACAGTCTCCAGTACCGACAATTGTCGGTCCTGGAGCCACTCCGTATAAAATATGTATTCCGAGTCCCATTTGGAATGTTCTGGGGGCATTCCCCCCCCCCTTTAGTGGGCTCAGAATTTTTTTTTAGTTATTGGGTCCCAAAATTTTAATGGGCTTTTTTGGGCATAATTTGTCCTTCATAGAGCTTTTTTGTCCAATTTATCAAAAATGGTCCTTAATTTTCATCACAAAACAGACTTGCTTGACAGTTTTTACAAAATTAGCCTTTTTGACCAATCAGATTGCAGCAATTTGAACCGCACATACTTTTTGCTTTTTTTGTAGGTACGGAATATTTCAAGGAATATTTTTGCTTGACAATAATCAGGCAAAATGCTTCTTTGCGTGACATATTCTGTCACGCTAAAAAAACTGGTGTAACTTCAAAGTTTCCAGCAAATCCGTGACATGTCAAATACGCAGTTGGATGACCTGCTGATGTGAAGAATCAATCACGCTCACGCTGCAGATGATACTTTTCAATTCATAAGATATTTATTTTAGGAGTAATCATGGGCATTCAACTCTAGTTGAATGCCCATGGAGTAATGTACCGGAACAGTGAAACGCTATTTTGTTTCCAGGGGTTTTTGATTTTGATGGTTTTGTTAGTGGGTGATAATAGACATAAATATAACTTCTCACCTGAATGATTGGCCACAGGCAAGCAATATATCAAGATTTACTTCTGAAATTTTACATGGTAGTCTTCTCCAAGTATTCATTGTTCTCTATGCATGGCATAAATTAGTATATTGGCTTGCAAATTCGCACAATTGTGTGATTTAGGAAGAAAATGTGAATATTTTATTTTCTGAAAAATTGACCTTTTGACGTCACTTCCGCTGATTTGACCTTGTCACTATGGAAATGTAAATAGCAATGGCGGAAGTGTGTGGACAAAATTAAACACTTATTTTGACATATTAAAGGTAACCTAATAATTAAATCGAGATTATAAACTTACAGTAGTAACTTTGTCGTATGGATTTAATTTACATACAATTTCTTTATTTGTTGATAAGTGGAAATCTCATATATTTGATTTCAACGTCAGAATCACTGACTTTTTTTGTGTAAATTTTCATGTTTTTAATTTATAGGCCTATGTCTCATTATCATTAGATCTAGGCCTTATAATCCAGCCAGGGCAAGTGCTCATTAAATTATTAGGTAATGGTAAACATGTGGTAAAGTCATAGACTCGTCACTCACTCGAGCTACTTGATAAAACTTAGCTACCGGACATTTAGGGAAAATGTGTCCAACTTTATTGGGTTAGACTTACTCACTTCGAGAGCCATGTTAGATTTTGAAACTTATGGCTCTCAAACGGAGAAGTGAACAGCTGATCAATAGTGACCTTTGAAATCGAATTAAGTTGATCCGCGGCTTACTTTTGGTCTCTAACTGTGTCTTACATCAGTATCATCAATCCGTGTAAGTATTGGAGCGCTGGAGTACTTCTTTTTCGATCAAGACTTGTAAATTGTTCATCGAGTTAAAGTTTTACAGACCTATTTCCAATATGGCGGAATTTTGAGAATTAGTTAGGTTCGGACAACCTCCGGAGATTTACGAAAATGTCCGAGCAGAAACCGCCATATTGGAATTTGGCAGTAAAACGATTCACTCGACTAACAATTACAAGTCTTGATCGAAAAAGAAGTACTCCAGCGCTCCAATACTTACACGGATTGATGATACTGATGTAAGACACAGTTAGAGACCAAAAGTAAGTCGCGGATCGACTTAATTCGATTTCAAAGGTCACGATCATTGAGCTGTCCAAATGCTCCGTGGGAAAGCTATTATATCAAAATCCAAATAGCTTTCGCAGGAAGTAAGGTTAGACTACTTCGACTATGAGGTTATTTCGACCATGGTTAATTAGCATTCTAATTTACGGGATAGACCATCTTGGATTTTAAGATTTCACTGCATGAATTGAAAATATAAGGCAATATCCTAAAAGATCCATGACGAATTAACCCCTTGGTTTTGATTTCACTTACTTAGCCCTACATACAAATATTTTAGTTTGCTAAGAATTTAATGATTTTTTCTCTTTCAGTATTTTAAACAGAGCTCGGGTTATTTAGATGTCACTGTCAACCAATGTAAAGATGAACATTTTCTGTAATTGAACGCCTTCCAAGTTATAATCTACTTTACAATCTGTGACAATGGTGAGCATACCTGATTGGTCAAAGTTGGCTCGTCTCACTGATGTCAAATTAGCAGAGCCACTTTCTGCATCAAGGTACAACAAACAGCGTGAACTAGAAGTAGTCAAACAAGCTGAAAAACATGGCTACTTTGTCAAGGCTTCAAAATCGTACATATTGCAAAAGTTCAAAGAAGCAGATCCTGACCAAATCGAGAAGGATCGTTTATTAGGACGGAAGAGGAATTTAGAAGAGGAATGTCAGGACGTTGAGTTTATAAAGCTACCTGGAACACATTTAAGACATTTAGGAGACATAGCAAGATGTGAAAATCTGAAGATATGCTGTCTCAGTAACAACTACATCTCAAGGATTGAGTCACTTATGGACTGTCACCAACTCATAAAGCTTGACCTCCATTCAAACCAGGTAAAATAGCAAAATTTAATTTTAGTTCTATTATAAACAATGCATTAAAATCTTTGAATGACATTTATCAATAATACATGTAAACACATGAAAATATATGTATCTGCATACACATCTGCAATTGTGATTTCAACGTTATGATTTTAACAGTTCAATATACAGAGTTAATATTTCATATGTTTACTAGAAAGACTATAAATATTTATTACATGAAATCATGAATTTCAGATAAGTATGTTGCCTCCAGCTGAATTTTGGGCTGGGATGCAAAGCCTCAAACTGCTTAATCTCCATGACAACCCCATAGGAAAAATGGAAAATATACATCACATTGCTGCCTGTCCAAAGCTGATGGGCTTAACACTCTTTGATACACCTTTAAGTCTCAGAAAAAATTACAGGTAAGATTGTACTTGAAAAATGTGAGTAAACATATATCATAGGGTTTCTAAAGATCATGTACATGTAGATATTATTAGCTACTCATATTTAAGACATTATTATATGTTGTGTATTATTTTTTGCCTCAAATTAGTTAGTTAAAAAGTAATTCAATTTTATGTTAACATATACATGTGGTATAAGTAAAAGTTAGTGTCCATGTAATCAAGAAATGATGAGGTATCTGTGTACAGTATAATCTTTGTGTTTTAGGCACCACATAGTTAACAGTATATGGAGCTTACGTGCCTTGGACAAACATGTCATCTCTGATGAAGAGATAATTGAAGATGCAGACTTTGGCGGAAGATTTTCTGCGCAGAATGTCAACCTCAGAATTGACCTGTGTCCATTTACATGGGATGTAAGTAATACCGAACATGTTTCACTAAATGTTTCTTGGGCAGCTGATAATTTGTTCATGTAATAAGGCAAATAAAAATGAAGCTAGTTCATATACTACTATGTTCACATTATTATAGGATCTTTGTAGCATCACATTCTCTCCCTCAAACTTAAGTCCAAGGATCTGTTTTTATGGGACAATTGTTTCATTGATGTTAAATGCACTTACAGATGTGTTATGAAATTATGTCACCAATTTAATTTAAATATGTTATTCCAGGATGTAGGTTATGATGAAGAAACTACAGTTGTGAAGAAAGTTCTCCAAGAGATCAACTCAATCCTCTCTCACACATCCCCAGTGTTAGTTATACAGAGATTTGTTCGTGGATGGATCACCAGGAGAACATATAAACTCATACAAGATACCAGAATATGGTAAGTTTTATTGCAATGTCCATGTGTTCTTAATGAGCTCCATCAAACATGAATACAGGGTGTCCCGAAAGTATGGGGCCCCCCCTAGGCAGACATATACCAGTGTCGTCATAGTATGTGTTATATATCATTTTAAAGCTTATCCAAAGTTACATTGATTCACCAAGTATCATGGTTCAACTCTCAAATGTGAAAAAATTACAGGCATTTCAAAATTTAGTGTTTGGTCAAAATTAAGTTCAATTTTACACCAAATCAACAGTCAATGTGTCCTCCTGGGCCATCTATACCAGCAGCAATTCTTTGTGGTCGGATTGATATTGAGTTGGAAAAAGAGAACGGTGAGGGTAGAAACTCTAAGGAAACTCTTCTAAAGTGCCTTAACAGGTTTTAAGAAGGTTATAAAATTCCACACCCCTATTTGAAGGGCTTTTAAGGTCATATCTGAAAATAATTGCTGGTGTTAACATGGCCAAGGGGGGACTCATTGACTAGTAATGTGGTGTAAAATTTAACTTTATTTTGACAAAACACTAACTTTTAAAATGACTGTAACTTTTTCCCATTTGGGAGTTAAACCATGATACTTGGCAAATCAATATAACTTTGGATAAGCTTTCAAATGATATATGACACATACTATGAGGACACTGGAATATGTCTGCCTAGGGGGGGCCCCATACTTTCGGGACACCCTGTATGTTATATCTATATAAAATATATTCTGTCGAAATCAAAAGTGTATTTTCTTATGAGCCATGTTTCAGAAAAGACATTGTCTGACAATCAAATCCAGACCATTGATATTTTTCTCCAAAGAATGGTAATTCTCCCAATATCTACATGTTTCTTAGTAGGTGATTGCCTCCACCTTATAAGCTTGTCGCTGTACCTTATGACATTAGATTTTTATAACATACAAGATTGCCTCTATACCTCATTAGAGTCCCTCTGTACCTTATGACATTGCCTCTCTGCTCAACTGTAATTGTAAATTATAAACTGTTTTCATCTGATTTTTGAACTGCCAAGCTGAACATTTACTCTTACAGTGGGTAAAATGTGTATCATAATTAAATAGAATGAATTTCTATTTTATTTCTTCAGCCTTGCAATAAAATACATATATAGGTAATACAGATAAGTAGTAGTTTGTTAATCACTTATCACAAGTGTCACACACTAAACTGCATGCAATTACCTATCACTTAATCAGTATATATTTACATGTGTTTAAATGTGTATAAGTAAACCCTGGAGGTCATTGCTCACAATCTTTGTAGATGTATAACCCATGAACATGTTTAAGTCATGAACTGAGCAATAATATTTGAGAAATGGTCTTGTTGTCAATGAAAAAGAATTTAAGACACCTCAGTCTATTAATATGTTTGGCCATTACATAGGCTACCATACAATTTTCATGTTTGAATTTGTAAATTGAGAAAGCATTACACGAATGGCAATCTTTCAAAACATTTCCACGCATAACATCACTGCCTCAATCCAATGCATTAAGTTTAATGAATAGGCATTATTAAAAATAACCAAATGCTTTGAGTAATATAGTATGTTTAAATTGATGCAATGATACAGATATAGAACACTTTATTAACTTTTTATATTGTGTTACAGGGCTGCAGTGACCATCCAGCGATATTGGAGGACTTTCCATGGATATCCTCACCCCCGGGACAAACTTCCACCACCCCCTTCTACCTCCCCAGTTCTAGATACATCAAAGATCGATTATGACACATATATGAAACTAAGAAGACCAAGTTCAGCAAATGTGAGCGAAAAAGGAGGGGTAAGGATTTTTATTTTGACTATAAAATCTTTATAAATTGGTTAGATCTTGTGGCTCACTCTTTTGACTGACATGTGTATTGTATTGTGTACATGTAATAGACATACGCATTTCATTAACAACTATTCAAATTGATTCAATGTTAGACGCAGCTTTGACTCAATGTATTCACATAGATAAAAGTTTGCTCTGTGTATCATCACATCAGGTTCAGAAATGTTGAAAAAATTGACAAAATCGTAAAAACTCATTGGTCATGAAAAAGTCAGATTTAAGCATATATATGTGTTGATATTTCAGGCTAAGGCTGATAAATCAGATACGGAAATGAGGGCTCAGTCAAGTCCAAACAAAGCACGCAAGAGCCTCCTGATTAACCTCTCCAAGCTTCAACAGGGCACGTTACAAACTCTCCAGGATGAAGCCATTGCCATTGAAACTGTCCTGCCTCATGAGAGCTCATATTACATACAACGAAGAAGCAAAACAGAAATTCGAAAACGTAAAAGGAAAGAAAAGAAAAAGCAACGTCGAATCATGGACATTAAACATTTCTTTGGTCCAGTAGTTGAACCATCACCTCCATCCCCTGTTAATACGACTCAATTCTTGGATGATACTTCTGACCCATATACACCATTTAGACTCCAGGGTTACAAATCTAATGTCATGTATGTAGATCCTACTACTGAAGCAGTGATATCTAAGGCAGACTCGGGAAAAAACATACGTGAAGCTGAACACCATTACCATAGAAGTCATTTGGATGAGAAGTCAAAACCGAAAACAAAACATCGTCAGCATAAAAAAACAGCTAGTACTGATCAGCGTATCTTTGCCCGTGTTCATGGCACCATGGGAATGTCATGTCTACGAGCGGTGCAGCAAGCATATAAAGATCGTGAACGTGCAGAAAAAGTTGCTATGAAACTTGAAACTGTCCTTACCTTGAAAGAGAGAAGGGAAGATGCCAAAGAACGAATTAGGATCTATCATGAGGAAAAACGTGCAGATATTCTGAAAAAGAGACAAAAGGAACACTCAAGACTCGTTGAAAACATGGAAAGGAGAGAAATCAAGCGAATCAATGAAATTGAAAAAAGCCTTGAACTTCGAAATAAAACATCAGATTTCCTCAAGTCTAGTAACATGGAGAAGACATTTATAAGTGACTTCACACGTCAGAATACATCTGTATCAAATGCCTTACTGAGGCATGACAGACAATCAAAGAAAGATGATCATTCACAAAATAAAGAGCAAATTGTTCAAGGCCTCAAAGAGGAGGAAAAAGAGGAAGCAGATCTTGTGAAAAAATATCTTGAACATCGTCAATTGATGCGACAAACGGAAACAGCTGCATTGAAAGCAACATTAGACTCACAGCTTCTTCAAGATGCTAACGATCGTCTCATGGAGGCAAGAACGCGAGTGGCAAGATTGAAAAAGAGAACCGAAACTGTGAATACTTTCTATCCGATGCCTTCTGGTCCTGATACCCAGCTCAGTCTCCCACCCCTAGATACTGCGAAACAACCTGAGAAACTTGATCGCTGGAATACAATGATATCTATGCAGTCTGGTAGAGTTGGAAAACATCCAACAACTATTGTCAATTAGGACACAGTACAACTCAACACAAAGTTGGATAGCTTAATTCAAACTATCTTTGATTTGATTCGTACTGTGTATCCCACAACATGAATGAGGTCTTTTATTGTGACAATCATTATGTAATGTTCTCTTAAGGCCAATCATGATTCAGTTTTGACTAAAGAAATTGTAATTTCTCTTGAGGATTTACAATGGAAATTTTCAGATTTCATGACAATAGTGTTAACAAGGGGATCATGATCTAACATTTTCAAATTGTGAAGTTACTTTATCAAGCAAGGGCTATGTGACTGAATTGTCTGTCACATGCTTAATAAACTGTGATAGTTCTATGAAAATATTGTTTATACTTAGAAAGTTACTTCTAAATATTTTGTTCGCTCTTACATCATGTACGTGGCAATTAATGAGGAGGGGGTGGTCCCGGATGGATCTACACTCCTAAAATGCAATCTGATTTTCGACGCTGTTTCGGTGCCAAATTTCGGTGCCGTTTCGTCACCAAATGGACTGACTAGTCCGGTAGCAAATGTTGGTGTCAAAAGGTTTCGGTGCCGGAATGGTGCCGAAACGGTGCCGGAACAGCGCAGAATTTTTTCGATGCCGAACCTCAATGCAAAAATCAGGGGACTTCATTGCCAGACCATGTTTACCATGTACACTTCATCCATTATGACATTTTAGTCGAAAGATTTTTTTAAATTGTAGGTTACCAACCTGCTAAAGTACGCTATTTATCTGCCATGTGATTAGCTTAAAAATAAAATCATTTTCAGCATCAAGGGTTATCAATTGTCCCGAGCCAAATTTTTTAGTTGGTGCAACTGAAATACATCTCTGATGTATCTCAATGCAGTTTAAAAATTATTATTCCATTTTTCAAATATTATTGGGCTCCAAAAATGTATAGGCTCCAATATTATGTTCTCAGAGACAGGTTTTATTGTATTGCCGGCATATGGAAATTGACTTGTATAAAAGTTGTATATCAAGGTTCAGATACTGTGAACTGTATCTGTGGTTATTTTAACACAATTTCTTAATTTCCTCATTAAGTTTGAGTTGTTCTTCTATAACTTCAGCCAATAAGTGAAATTCAGTTTCATTCAAATTGCCAAATAGAAACTAGTGCAAAAATAACCATAGTAACAGTAGTATACAAAAAATATTCAAGATATTGTACCTGTTTTGAATAATTTTGATTGATTTATTTTTATAAGTACAAACCAATGTTTGATACAATTTATAAATATATTGACTGTACAATCACACTTTTTGTGTTTGTTTGAAAAGTTAGTTTCAGAGTGTGGTAAATCATCAGGATAATTTATTTTGTTATAAGAAACAAGCTGAATAATGGATGGATATCATAAAGACAATACAATTTTCTAATTCCAAAATGAGATTTTTCAATGACCAAAGCAACACGTTAAAGATGATGTCCCCATACCTGCCAACCTACCGTATTTTTACGGGAATCTACCGTCAATTTTTCGTTTTTTCCGTAAAAAAATGACAAACTACCGTAAAAAAATACCGTTTTTTCCCGTAAAAACGCCCGTAAAAAAATCTACCGTATTTTTTTCGAAATCTACCGTAAATTTTTTTTTAAAAACACGTTTATTCCATGAGAACAGCCGTAAAATCTACCGTAAATTTTTGAAAATCTACCGTAAATTTTTGAAAATCTACCGTAAATTTTCGAAAATCTACCGTATTTCTGCTTAAATCAACAGTATTTTTGTTCAAACTACCGTAAAATTTCCCGTTATTCTTGGGAAATGCTGAAAAGTTGAAGTCTTCCTGTACTGTCCCTGTAATATTCCTTCACCAACCCGAATATAAATATGTATCGGCAGGTCTGTGGTTATCAGGCTATTGCGCATTTATCTAAGTAAGGTAGTTAACCAAACCCTTTTGTACACAGATCTTTATTCCGAATGTAACAAAAATATGATTTTAGTTGCTCTTCATCTATTAAATGAGTGGAAATGACAAAAACTACTTGTTTTAGCGTATGAAACATGCGTAGTTTGATTCGTTATGATCAGTAATGAACGCCAAATATACATTATACATAGTTTAATCAATTTGTTTACAGTACGATAAAATGTTGTATTTTTCATCAGAACACATTATATCAGTAACAAATACATAATTAAAAAATAAAGCATTGAGTTTTGATTTATTATAAAAGTATTGCGATATCCGAATCTGAACGATGTCTCAGGGGAAAGGTTTCAGCAAATGCTCATAACATATTATTTTTGAAAGACAATTGATCTGTACTTATTTTCTATTTGTGCCAGACAAACACATTGATATCATTAGAGACTTGCGAGTGAACAAATCAATATTTAATACCATATGATTCCAATGTTATATGAACATTATGTCTGTCATTTCAATTCGTTAAAGTGATATATCATCTAAGATGGTGAGTAAAAATGTGTAAAATCCATATTTTGTATTTCAGTAAATGTTTCATTGGTATTTCCAAACATCCTGATATCTAAAAAACTGGTTAGAAGGTGAATAAAAGTGGAGATATGAATATTGTGTTCGTATTTTGAATCAATCTAGATTTATTGTAAAAGAATTGTAAAAGAGTTGTATTCATATACATGTACATTTTGCTGAAACATTAAAATCCAAAGTTGCTGTCAGTCCATTGTAGGCATGGTAAATGAAGAATAAAAAGTGTTTAGTCTCTATTCATTCTTGAAAATAGTATATCTATTTTTTCTTGAAAATAATGGTTTCGTATAATTCTCAGGTGGAAGTTCTGCTTTACAAACTGTAATTATCAAAAGCACTCTTGCAGTAAAATATGTATTCACAATAACAAAAACAATATGACCACGTAAACATATTAATATAATAGAAAACCGCATTGTATAAAGGTTTAACTACCGCATTTTTCAAAATGTACCGAAAAATACCGCATTTTGGCAAATCTTCCGCAAAACTACCGGTTTTTCAAAAAATTACCGTAAAAACTACTGCAATTTTCAAAATCTACCGTAAAACTACCGCATTTTTTCAAAATCTTCCGCAAAAGTACCGGTTTTTTCAAAAAAATTACCGTAAAAACTACCGCAATTTTTAAAATCTACCGCAAAACTGTCGCATTTTTTCAAAATCTTCCGCAAAACTACCGGTTTTTCAAAAAAAAAACCGTAAAAACTACCACATTTTTTCAAAATCTACCGTAAAACTACCGCATTTTTTCAGAGTCTTTCGCAAAACTACCGGTTTTTCAAAAAACTACCGTAAAATCTACCGCATTTTTTAAATCTACCGTAAAACTACCGCATTTTTTCTAAATCTTTGGCAAAACTACTTATTTCAAATTTCTACCGCAAAATTACACTTGTTTCAAAAATCTACCCCAAACCTCTGAAACTACCGTATTTTTTAAAAATCTACTGCAAAAACTACCGTTTTTTTCTAAAATCTACCGCAAAAACTACCGCAATTTTGTTGAAAAATACTGCAAAAACTACCGTATTTTGAAAAAATCTACCGCAAAAATACAGCAATTTTAAAAAAATCTACCGCAAAATTTTGGTCTTAGGTTGGCAGGTATGGTCCCACACAACTTATAAAGTGATGCACTGTACCTACTTGGAAGCAAAGGATGTAATATTTTATGTTGGAAGAAATATTTTTTAAATGAATGGGCAAATGTATCCCTTGCAATCCGAAAATTAATACTTGAAAAAACATTTGAAATACATTATCAAATATGAAAGTAATCTAAGATGCAGAAATATCTGAATTCTTTAAAATTGAACAAGTCATTAACATGCAAAATGTCACCAACTGCAATTCGTTACAGATGCCAAATGCAAAACACCAACTGCTGAACACCGACACAAAAAAAGTTGGGAGACTATAATAACAATATGTCACCACCACAAAAATGGAATTATTGTTAAATAACCTTAACAAATATGGCATTCTTATGAAATAAAGAAGACAATTTTCAAAAGACCAGAACAACGGCAACGCCAAAGCGTAGCGAATCCCATCGAACAGAAATGGCTGGCATTTTTACAAACAAAATATATAGCAAATATCATAAAACAACACACCAGAAAGGCCACCATTTTCAAAATGGTTGCTCACTATAGCCAAGTTGTCATCAGAAGAAATAATATGCTTTTAAGTAGCCAATTATAAAATTTTTGAAAAATCGCACACATGTACTTGTAAAATAACACACATAAAAATGGCCCACTACTCCCCAAAGTTTTATTAGACAATGTGCCATGCTTAAAGTATTCACTATCCAAAGTGTCATGAGACAGTGTGCAAGGCTCATGAGTATTCACAAATCAAATATGAACAAAATCGCTTCACTACTTTTCAAGTTATAGTAAAAAACGTAAAAATGGTGGCCATTTTTCAAAATGGCCGCCTACTACCCAAAGTGTCATTAGACAGTGTGCCATACTTATTGTATTCATATAAAATATGAACCAAATATGAACAAAATCGCTGAACTACTTTTCAAGTTATAGTAAAATACGTTAAAATGGGGCCATTTTTCAAAATGGCCACCTTCTACCAAAAGTGTCATTAGACAGTGTGCCATGCTTTTAGTATTCACATACCAAATATAAACAAAATCGCTTCACTACTTTTAGAGTTATAGTAAAATACGTTAAAATGGTGGCCATTTTTCAAAATAGCCACCTTCTACCAAAAGTGTCATTAGACAGTGTGCCATGCTTATAGTATTCACATACCAAATATGAACAAAATCGCTTCACTACTTTTCGAGTTATAGTAAAAAACGTTAAAATGGCGGCCATTTTTCAAATTTTTTTTCAAAATGGCCGCCTTCTACCAAAAGTGTCATAGGACAGTGTGCCATGCTTATAGTATTCACATACCAAATATGATCAAAATCGCTCCACTACTTTTCGAGTTATAGTAAAATACACTAAAATGGCGCCTTCTACCAAAAGTGTCTTTACACAGTCTGCAATGTTTATAGTATTCACATACCAAATATGAACAAAATCGCTCCAGTACTTTTAGAGTTACAGCAAAAATCGTAAAATAACGAGTAAAGGCCGCCATTTTTCAAGATGGCTGCCATGTGCTTTTTAATATCTACATTTGTAGCTTTATTACATGTATTAACTCATTCAGTACTGGGGCAAAAAGCACTATAATACTGACGATATTTTCAAAATTGCCATATATGGTACCTCTGAAATAATATATATTGTATATACATGGGCATACATATATAGTGTTATATAGCATTTTAAAGCATATGACATACTCGTTCAGAATGAATAGTTTTTTAAGTCCCATTTTATAAGTTGTCATGGTTACAAGATTCCCCCAAAAATACATTGGGTTTGTGCTTGGACTTGATATCACGTCCTTAGTAGTCAACGTATGTGCTTTATGACGTCATATCACGTCCTTAGTAGCGAATGAGTTAATGTCCTTTATAATTTTTTTACATTTAAAACATATTGCTATTACAGTTTTACATATTGCACCTAAATTACTGTAAAATCGGCACTAAAATGGCCGCCATTTTGAAATGAGGGGCCATTTTGAAAATCGGCTTTCGAGCAGAACTTCTACCCCCATAGGGTATATGTGTACAAAATATGAACAAAATCGGGCGAACGGTATTTGAGTTATTGCCCGGACGTACATACGTACGTACGTACGGACGGACGGAGGCGTTCCCTATATCCCTCCGAACTTCGTTCGATGGGATAATTACTCTCAATGACCCTATGTTGTCTATTTAAGGACAGAAGTAAACAGTTCAAACTACTGGCTTTCTTAGGTGGACCTTATGGCTATATGAAGTGCCTTCATGGAAATATTATTGCTTGATAGAGGAGTTTCTATATAGCTTTGAAATCGGATTTTCAGAGATTTGCGTATTAAACTTCAAATTTCTTTTTAATTGCATACTGTATTTGAATTCAGTGAAAGTTTTTTCACATTTTCTAGGACTTTTTTACGTTTCTAAAAAAAGTATTGAAAAAAGTATCTCCATTAATGCAATGTTCAAATTCTTTAAATCCCTGGTTTATTCGTCCAACAACCAAAATTTTCATGATTAATCACACTATCATATTTTAAGCAGATTGCAAGTTTTTACCATTGAAGCCTATGGCAATCTGCCGAACCAAAACAAATAAATTGAAGAGCTGACATCTATTCACTCAGCTATATAGCAACCCCTTTATTGACTAATCAATTATTCAAGTATACATATAAAATATCTAAGTTTATTAACAATATTACTCACTCTAGTCTTATATCTAAATAATTATTTATCAACAAAATATTCATTTCACTCTTCATCTTCCATCTGTCTCCGCTTAGCTTTACCTTTCAGTATAGCTTCTTTGAAGAGTTTACAATACATGTTGATGGCACATGGCGTGTCGTCATTACCAGGTACAGGGTATGTGATAAGCCTGGGGTCACAATTAGTGTCAGCTATTCCTATTGTCGGAATCAGCATTTTTGCAGAGTCTCTTATAGCAATATGTGGCTCGAATACATTATTCAGCATATTAATGAAAATCACCAAATCAGGTAAGCGTGTCACTGCTCCAAATTGTTTAGTTGAGTTAGTGAAGACTCCACCTCTCCAGAATCTGCAATGTGCATATTCCCCAGCTTCTTTTGCAGTTTTTTCAACATACGGAATAATCTGACTGTTGCGACTTATAAATAAGATGACTCCTCCATTATATGCTATATGGGCAGTAAAATTCAAGGCATCTCCTAATAACTCCTTAGATTGATCCAAGTCAAAGATATCCACCCCGAGTCTATTTCCAAATATGTAAGGGGTCATAAATTCATTCCTGGTGCCAGCCTTATGGCCTAAATGGACCTTATTTTCGAAGAGTTCAGATATTGACGCTAAATTGCGTACGCCGAAGAAATCAGGATGGGCCAATGGATCTGTGATCAATGAAGGGCTGGAAGAATCTGAAAAACATATTAAATTATGAATTTTAAATATACATGTACATGATATTTACATATCCCCAAACCATGCAAGTTAGTTTTAAATTAATGCAAATACTTGCTGGGTTTAATACTGACAGTCAATTGTTATTTTTGGGAAGAAATTACTCTGCACAGAGATATACTGTGAGTCTAAATATTTGAAAAGTTAAGTTTTGATTGAATGAAAAATGTTTTGCCATTTTCTGTAAATTATACTCCATGATAATAACTCTTCAGTCGGAAGATAGTAACACACAATTGAATTATATTGACGTATTTAACTCCAAATATTGCCTCAAATGATTTTCCACAAACCTTGTACCATAAATGAAATTAAGGTGCTATGGAAGTTAACAGGAAATGACAAAACAGGAAGTGACAATTTTTTTGCATTTTTAGACATTTTTTGAACAAAGATAATAGAGTTCTGTTTTGACCTCCAGTCAATTCAACTAGTTCCAAATACCATTTACAGGTCCAGGATCACAATGTTCATGGTTAGAATGACCCTAAACATGAAGAAATAACCTTTTCAGCCTTTTCCCCTAACTGATACAATCTTTGAAATTTCAGATTTGTATCATTTAGAGCAATATATTGGGCACATTTTCTGAAGAATTCGAAAGATTCTGTTCAGTGACCTTCCCTGCCTTCCTACTTTTAGCTTTTTTTCAGTCACACTTTCAAAAGGCTTAAAAGGTTATTTCATTATGTTTAGGGTCATTCTGACCATGCACATTGTGATCCTGGTCATGTAAATGATATGTGGAAATAGTTAAATTGACTGGAGGTCAAACCAGAACTCTGTTATCTTTGTTCAAAAAATGTCTAAAAATGCAAAAAAATTGTTACTTCCTGTTTCGTCATTTCCTGTTAACTTCCATGGCACCTTAATAGTAATATAAAAAATACATAATATAATAATTACCATCTTGTGCCTGTGGAGTTGCTGCAGTTGCATTTTGGCTACTGCTATGTAACAGGCCAAGAGATCTACTCAGACTGTTTAACAGTGGTCTACACTGAAGCATTGCTGCACCTAGAATTATAAAATATTGCATCAAGAAATAATTTGAAGCAACTTCATAACAGATGAATTCCCATCATAACCAACATTTTGTGTCCCAGGAGAAAGTATTCAATATACACCACAACTAGAACAATTGACATAAACATTCAAAATGTCAACACCTGCTATTTATTACAGATTCTGAATGCCAACCCCCGAACACCATCCACAAAAAAGTTGGAAATTGAAACAGTATGTCACCACTTCTGGTGGAGATATAAAAACATCAACTCCCTGGAGTACCAAATCCCACTAAATAAAACATATTTTATCAATCACATGTCACTTGGGGTGGCATCTAAAGTTCAATGTCGGACCGAAAAATAAATAAATCTAGTCCTGAGTTTGACCCCCCCCCCTCTCTTCCCCTAAAAACTAAATACCATAGAAGATGGTCGTGGACTTCCAGTTTGAGAATATTCTTCAAAAAACAAAATCGAAGGAAACACATCCTTTGGTTTTTATTGTCTCAGTTACCTACACAGTTTGAAGGTATCGATACAAACTTGGATAATATTTCCTTAGGGGGATACAATATTTCCTGTGGAGACAATATTTTCAATTACAGCTGGACTATCAGTTTTGAATTTGAGATGACGGATAACATACAATACAAAGGAAAAAACCTTGTAAAGTGCACATCTACAAGTGAGCTGAATGGACCGGACTCAAGGACTCTCTACAATCAAAGTTCAGCACTTTCAAGAAAAAATCATCAAATTGATCAGTTGAGGAGAACTGGTCGGACTTTAAAGCTGCATTGCAATCTGCCATTGATGAATTTATCCCTAGCAAAATGCTCAGTGGTAAATTTAAAAGTCCCTTGGATAAACACCAGAATAATCAGAAAAAAACAAAGACGCTACAATGTTGCCAAGCGCTAAAATGAGCCACATCATTGGCATAAATTCAAATCACTTTAAGGAAATCAATCTACAGTGAAATCCACAAAGAACATTAACGCTACATTAACGACCTGCTTGATAGCAACGAAAAGGAGATGTTTGAAGGACACAACGTAAGAGCATTACCAAACGTTTCTGGACTTACATTAATTCCAAACGCAAGGATACAACAGGTATCAGTGTACTACGGGATAGCAACGGCAATGAAATAACAGATGCCACACAGAAAGCCAATATCCTCAATGAGCAATATAACAGTGTATTCACTGATGAGGGCCCAACTCTCCTTGGGCCTGAGCCAAATCCCAGCTATGCCAAATGTAACAATCAATACCAATGAAATTAACAAACTACTCAAAGGCCTCAACCCCGCGAAGGCCTCAGGACCTGACCTCATACCTACTAGGGTCCTTAAGGAATGCAGTGATATTATCTCACCATACCTGCAAATCATCTTCCAGCAATCCATTGATGCAGGGTCAGTCCCCTCAGACAGGAAACATGCCAATGTCTCAGCTATATACAAGAAAGGACACAGAGACGAGGTAGCGCAGTCAGATGTCCCTTTGGTAGTTCGACTTTTTCAGGAAAGCAACAAACTTGGCACAGTTGTACAAACATATGATCTGAATGAAAAATGATTTCGGGGCAATTGATTCGAGGTGGTCTTCATGGATTTTAAGCCTCTGACCCCCACCCCTATCAGGCGGGGAGGGGGTACATTATAATAAAATAAATAAAAATAGTTGTAAAGTATATTTCTTTAAATGACTTCATTTGGTCATTGCTTTGAGCCTTGAAATTGAGAAAAACCTATTTTAGAAGTGGTGTTTAGGAAGGAAAATACATTTTAACCCAATTATCTAGCGTGAATTCATCTTTCAAAGGGTCAAATATAGGACATCAAGTACTGTATTTCAAGAATGTGATGTCTGATCATCCTGAAAAAATTCATACTAATAGAGATATTGTTGTTAATCACTCGTATGATATATGGCTTGTGTAAGTCATGTATTTTTTGAGAAATAAATTATCGAAATTTGGATATTTAAGCCCTTGCGGCCTAGGGGTGACCTTATTTTACCTTAATAATTTTTAAGATACGCGATGTTTGGGCCTCATATGAATTCTAAATGTTGCATTAAGTATTGTTTTGTCATATTATTCCTAATTAGATGTAAAAAAATTATTGAAAATAAAAAAAAAATCAAATTTTCATTTTCGGTTCTAAAGGGCCAGGGGTAACCATATTTTACCCTAATAATTTCCCAGATATATAATATATGCATCTCAAATTAGCTCAAGATGTTGCATATAGTTCTGTTTTATCATACTTCTTCCAATAAGATGTAGAAAATGATCGGATATATCTAAAAAATCAAAATTTTCACTTAAGCTCTTGATGGCCCTGATGGGTAACCTTATTTTACCTTAATAATTTTCTAAATATGAGACATAGTCACCTCAAATGAGCTTAAGATGGTATATTTAGTCCTGTTTTATCATATCATTCCCAAGGAGTGAAAAAATGATTGGAAATTATAAGAAAATTACATTTTCATATTACACCCCCAATCCGCAACATCTTCTTGCAGTGCTGTAAACAGTACTGAACAGTGCAGTCAGAGTACTGCACTATATAGCAATGTACAATGCTATTCTAACACCATCAGTTTTGGACAGCGTAGTACAGTACTGTTTTTACAGCTCAGTACTGTTTTAGAAAACAGCTGTGTACAGTACTGTTTTTACAGCACTGTTTATGAAACCATGCTGTTTGATGCAATTTGAGATTGGTAGTGTAGTTTATGATAGGTCAGGAATGACCTAATTTTACCTTAAAAATTTAAACAAAGATATATAATATTGTCTACTCAAATGAGCTCAAAATAGTGAATATAGTCTAGTTTTGTCATATTATTCCTACTGAGATATACAATAATGATTAACAGTTATAAAAAATGAACCTCAACAGCCATTTATTCCTTTCTAGTACCAATGGCAATACTATCTAGTTTTATAGAACATTTTCTAAGATGTGAAAATGTTTGATAAGTCCAGTTCATACTAGCACGAGTAGTAGCATTGTTAAGATTCTGTATATTATCATTTGAGTATATAATCCAAATCTATAAAACCTAATCAAAGGAGTCACAATTTATGGATTCTGACAGTCTCCCCTACAGCTACATTGCTCAGAGCAAATCAGATCTGCTTTCAAACATTTGCATCTGTTCTCTTGACACAGGTATCTACCCCATGACCTACATTTTATGTTGTGGCCTCAGTATCAGCAGTGGGAGTAGGCCAGCCACATTCATGTGGTGATAGAAACTGTGGTTAAGAATGCATCAGAATGAATAAGGACTCTAGTCTTCTAATTTTAGGGTATCAAAAAAGATTTAAAGCTTTAGAACACTTGCGTAACCTCTGGGTACACCTTCTATTCCTGCAAATCAGTTGACTAAGAGTAGTAGCAGAATGCATCTAGAGATTGTATGAAAAATGGTAAGGGCTAAACTTCGTTCATGGCCAAGTGGCCTTGAAATATCAAAGACAGGTCGTACATTCTGGAGGAATTTCCCCTCACCATAGGCCATATGCAATCCAAATTGACATTTTCAGCACAAGTTACTGCCAGTTTAAACCACATCAAAATCAACTGTATTGACTATGATTCTTATTAGGTCATAACAGAAGCAGTCTTTGGCATGCTTCTTCATATGAGCGAATGGTGATGGCAGATACTTCACTATCGGGCTAAGATATTGCATTACCTCATTGTGAGGTCACTATCTTCTTGCCATCTTCTTCCAGGGTTTCAGTTTTGATGCCTGGAAGGAAAACAGCTCCCTCTTGTTCCAACTATCTTAGGAAATCTTGCCAATTCCACAGAAGAAAATTAGTAGGATATACTTTCCTCACTGTTCCAGTTTTGTGCTGTTTGTATCTATGCTCATTAACATCAAAGTTGAATGACTAAGCTACATAGTAGATGCCAAAATAATAGACAGGGCATGTATAGTTAAACATGCTAACAGTGATATATAAAGAAAATTGGGTGATTATGCAAATATGATATTACCCAGTAAAAGTCTGCAAATAGTTCATTGCCTTGATGTCAGCTGGAATGTTTACCAGGACACTAGCTTAAAGGGGCAACAAGGTCTGTAGAAGATTCAATTTTTTTACTTTTTCTGAGCTATCAGGGTAATATTTGGCTCAACATCTTCTTTGACATACCTATTTTCTTAAAATGTATGGATAAACTATCAATTTTAGCATTAAGAAGTGTAAATTCAGTTCAAAGCTTCTATAAAGGGAGGCCCACTTATAGATTTTTAAGATCCAAAACATTTCAAGAGGAATCAGCTGAAATAATGTTCATCCAGGGGGTTTCTTTGGAAAAAAATAAACATATATGTTAGTCTTGATGAAATATCCAAACTTGAATATATTTTGACACTGGTCCATGATCGTTGAATGGCCCCTTTGCACTAATTGTTGCACCTTTAAAACAGCACTAGAGAGACTTGTGGAACTGGAACAAGGATAGTCTAAGGAGGAAACTGAAACCCTTGAAATGGATGGAAAGAAGATAGTGACCACATAAATTAAGGAGGCAATGCAATGTTTTAGCCCAACAGTGAGGTTCTGCCCTTGCTCTTAAGAAGAAGCAGATTCAAGGATATTTCTCAATATTTTCAGTAAGAGAAAGAATAATACTCCTTACATTTAATTCTGATGTGGTTATCCTGGCATATATGTGATGTTAAAAAATGAAAAAGTCAATTTGGATAGCATATGGTAAGGGAGAAATCCTATCAATATCTACCTGCCCATGGCCAAAGTTTAACCCTCCCCATTTTTCATACAATCATTGGATGTGATGTTACATCTGTATTCTACTGCTATGGAAAAATGGAATGAATGGATTGAGATTTAAATGTGTCACTGAGTTTTCTAATTGTTGTTACTCATTATCTCAGTAGGAATAAAGTGAAAAACAGACTATTTTCCCCATTTTGAGATCATTTTATCTTGAAAATTAATAACATTTGGCATTC